TCTCACTGCTTCCTTCACACTCCAAACCTCACACTTCACACTTCACACTTCACACTGCGCTCTTCGCACTCCAAACTTAAACTTCGCACTCCACACTTCACACTTCTCACTTCCCACTGCTTCCTTCACACTTCACACTTCACACTGCACTCTTCACGCCCCACACTTCACACTGCTCTAAACCTACGTGGAACAAAAAACACTAATGCGACAAAATGGAGAAAATCTGCTGACAAATCACTGTGGCAGCCTTCATGCAGCCACTCCAATACGATTTACGAAGTCGAGCTGCAAAAAACAATAATATTACGAATGCAGCATAATGCAGCCACAGCACGAAGCAACCTTGACGCAGCCATTACAATGCGATCTGCAGAGGCTGAGTTGCAAAACACAATAGACCTACGCGCAAGTCGAGCTGCAAAAAACAATAATATTACGAATGCAGCATAATGCAGCCACAGCACGAAGCAACCTTGACGCAGCCATTACAATGCGATCTGCAGAGGCTGAGTTGCAAAACACAATAGACCTACGCGCAACGGCGTCGGAAATTGTAGCTCCAAAACCGGATCTCGACGCCAGAGCGAAAAAAAAACGATTTTGCAGCACTTTTTAAAAGGATTTTTAGAAGGAAAATCACTAGCGCCAAAATGGAGAAAATTTGCTGACAAATCACTGTCGCAACCTTCATGCAGCCACTCCAATACGATTTACGAAGTCCAGCTGCAAAAGACAATAGTATTACGAATGCAGCCACAGCACGCAGCAACCTTGACGCAGCCATTACAATGCGATCTGCAGAGACTGAGTTGCAAAACACAATAGAACTACGCGCAACGGCGTCGGAAATTGTAGCTCCAAAACCGGATCTCGACGCCAGAGCAGAAAAAGTTGATTTTTGCATCGTTTTTTATAAAGAATTGAAATAGAAAATAAAAGCAGGCAAAATCTGAAACAATCCAGGAACAATCCCTAGCAAAACACAATGGTATTACGTCCTCAGCTCGTCCACCGAAGCATGTGAAACCTTCTAGACATTGCGGGAACGATCCTACCGTTGCAAAGCACAATGGAATTCCATCGGCAACTCCTCCACCAGCACCACTTGCAATGCCATTTGCATTGCGGGAACGATCCTACAGTTGCAAATCACAATGGAATTCCATCTGCAACTCATCCACCAGCACCACTTGCAATGCCATTTGCATTGCGGGAACGATCCTACAGTTGCAAATCACAATGGAATTCCATCTGCAACTCATCCACCAGCACCACTTGCAATCCCATTTACAGTGAGGGAACGATCCTAGAGTTGCAAATCACAATGGAATTCCATCGGCAACTCATCCACCAGCACCACTTGCACCCCCATTTACAATGCGGGAACGATCCTACAGTTGCAAATCACAATGGAATTCTGTCGACCACACATGCACGAAAAACAGTTGAAACCCCATTTACAATGCGGAACCGATCCGACCATGATCCGACCATGATCCGAGCATATCCGACCATGATCCGACCACACACGAGACCGTCTCGCACCCGTCGCACCGCAGAGGTAGATCATCGAGGTTCGGGGACGGACTTTGTATGGAAAAACATATGCTTTCGTGCATCTGCTATCTCTCAAAAACGCATTTCGTGCGAGACTTCCTCCAAAACTCCATCGGCAACTCCTCCACTTGCACCACTTGCAATCCCATTTACAGTGAGGGAACGATCCTAGAGTTGCAAATCACAATGGAATTCCATCAGAAACTCATCCACCAGCACCACTTGCAACCCCATTTACAATGCGGGAACGATCCTACAGTTGCAAATCACAATGGAATTCTGTCGACCGCACATGCACGAAAAACAGGTGACACCCCAGACACCCCATTTACAATGCGGAACCGATCTGAGAATGATCCGCCCATGATCCGAGCATGATCCGACCACACACGAGACCGTCTCGCAACCGTCGCACCGCAGAGGTAGATCATCGAGGTTCGGGGACGGACTTTGTATGGAAAAACATAGGGTTTCGTGCATCTGCTATCTCTCAACAACGCATTTCGTGCGAGACTTCCTTCAAAACTCCATCGGCAACTCCTCCACCAGCACCACTTGCAATCCCATTTACAGTGAGGGAACGATCCTAGAGTTGCAAATCACAATGGAATTCCATCAGCAACTCATCCACCAGCACCACTTGCAACCCCATTTACAATGCGGGAACGATCCTACAGTTGCAAATCACAATGGAATTCTGTCGACCACATATGCACGAAACACAGGTGAAACCCCATTTACAATGCGGAACCGATCCGAACATGATCCGAACATGATCCGAGCATGATCCGACCACACACGAGACCGTCTCGCACCCGTCGCACCGCAGAGGTAGATCATCGAGGTTCGGGGACGGACTTTGTATGGAAAACATAGAATTTCGTGCATCTGCTATCTCTCAAAAACGCATTTCGTGCGAGACTTCCTCCAAAACTCCATCGGCAACTCCTCCACCAGCACCACTTGCAATCCCATTTACAGTGAGGGAACAATTTCTTTGACTAACTCGTTCCCTAACGAACTCTTTCTTTGCTAACTCTTTCTTTGCTCTTTCTTTGACTAACTCTTTCTTTGCTATTTCTTTCTTTGACTACCTCACATATCCTGACTAACTCTTTCTTTGACTAACTCTTTCCCTCACTACCTCTTTCTTTGACTAACTCTTTCCCTGACTAACTGTTTCTTTGACTAACTCTTTCTTTGACTAACTCTTTCCCTAACGAACTCTTTCTTTGCTAACTCTTTCTGTGACTAACTCTTTCCCTCACTAACTCTTTCTTTGACTAACTCTTTCCCTGACTAACTGTTTCTTTGACTAACTCTTTCCTTGACTAACTCTTTCCCTGACGAACTCTTTCTTTGCTAACTCTTTCTGTGACTAACTCTTTCCCTCACTAACTCTTTCTTTGACTAACTCTTTCCCTGACTAACTGTTTCTTTGCTAACTCTTTCTTTGACTAACTCTTTCCCTCACTAACTCTTTCTTTGACTAACTTGTTTCTTTGCTAACTCTTTCTTTGACTACCTCATATATCCTGACTAACTCTTTCTTTGACTAACTCTTTCCCTCACTAACTCTTTCTTTGACTAACTCTTTCCCTCTCTAACTCTTTCTTTGACTAACTCTTTCCCTCACTAACTCTTTCTTTGACTAACTCTTTCCCTCACTAACTCTTTCTTTGACTAACTCTTTCCCTGACTAACTGTTTCTTTGCTAACTCTTTCTTTGACTAACTCTTTCCCGCACTAACTCTTTCTTTGACTAACTCTTCTTTGACTAACTCTTTCTTTGACGAACTCTTTCCCTGACGAACTCTTTCTTTGCTAACTCTTTCTTTGACTAACTCTTTCCCTGACATTCTAAAAGTCCGTAACACGGAAGTTTCTCCCCCTAAACTTCCTTTGATCATATTACATTATGAAATATTATATTAAATTATATCATATCATATAATATTAAATTATATCATATTATATATATATATATATCATATTATATCATATTATGTATATATATATCATATTATATCATATTATATCATATTATATCATATTATATCATATTGTATTATATATATCATAGTATATCATGTATTACTATAAAATATATTCTATTGTATTATATTATATCATATGTTATTATAAAATATATTCTATTCTATTATATGTTATTAAATTATTATATTATATTATATTGTATTATATTATGTAATATTATAGTATAGTATAGTATATCACATATATTACATCATATTTTAATATATCACATTGTATTATTTCATATTATATTACATCATACTATATTATAAAATAATCTATTGTATTATCATATATTGTATTTGATTATTATATCATATATCCTATATTAAAAATAAATATGTTATATTTTATATTATATATGAAATGATGTAGGATATAGGATATATGATATATAATATGTTCTATACTATATCATATATTATTATACGTTATATATTATAAATTATATATAATATATCATATATTATATATTAGATATAATTTATAATATATTATATAAAATATATAATATATAATATAGGTTGTATGATATATAAGATAGATTATATAATATATGGCAAATATTATATTATATATTGTATATTATATATTATATATTATATATTATATAATATATGTCATATATTATATATTATATATTGTATAATGCAAAATTATATATTATATTATATTATATTATATTGTATTATATTATATTGTATTGTATTGTATTATATTACTTTGTATTATATAGTATATTATACTATTAAATCAAATTAACTGTTTATATTATATCACTTTAAATTATCATATTATATCATATTATATCATATCATATTATATTATATTATATTATATTATAATATATTATCTTATATTATAATGTAAATATATATATATATATACATATACGATATATATATATAGAGAGAGAGAGAGTCATTATTCTCTACGCTTCCCACCCTCATCTTTCCGTCGGAGTCCGCACATCCATCCCCAAAATAAATCATTCCGAAAAAAAAAAGTCTGCACTATGTCTCCTCATTTTGCGCATCATTGTATATTTCTATATTTATGTTTCATGCTATTAGATGCTATTAGATCTTCATACTTATACCTCTCACTATGCTCCTCTACGCTCTCGGGCCATCCGTCCTCTAGTTCTCTATGCTTCCCCCCCTCATCTTTCTGTTGGATTCCGCTCATCCCCCCCCCAAAAAACAATTCAAAAAAAAAAAACTGAGTTTCCAGGCTCAGCTTGGCTGATCTCATGCTGCGGCCGCACAAAGGGTCCACCACAGCGCCCCCCGTCGCCATCCTCGATCCACTCCTCCTCCCGGAGCCCCGAGCGCGGCACCGCCAGCTGCGGGAGCTTCGTTAAGAGCGCCGGGAGCTCAGGACGACTAGCGGCCCAGCTGCACCGCATGGCGATCCCGTGCCCAGTTGCGGCGACCCCAGTGGGGGTAAAAAAAAGGAAAAGGAGGAAGCTGAGCCGAAAATGGGTGGATTGAGATGGATTGAGATGGATTGAGATGGATTGAGATGGATTGGATGGATTGGATGGATTGGCGGATAAGGGAACAAAAAGAGTTCGACAGCTGGGAAAGGGATGCAAGACTGGCTCCCACTGTCCTGGAAATGGGAGACCGAGGAAATCCAACAATGACAACCAAAAACAATCATTTGTTGTAAGTGGTCTTACAATGACAAACCTCCTGGTGTCTTACTTATAAGTTATAAGTTATAAGTATTAAATATATGGCAAATAAAATGATCCCGAACATCCGAAAACGCAAACCTGCTTGATAGATTTCATAAAGAACATTATGACGAGGAGGATATGTGTTAATATTTGTATATGATTGTGTATTGATTGTTATATGCTAAATTGATCTAAATTGCAGTACTTGTGGAGTTGGGACCCGACCATTTTTCGTACAAGTGATCCGCTCTTCCTCATCCTCAGTCACCAGTTCGTCTGACTTTGGGGTGCTTTGCCCCGAGGTCAGCCATGAGGCGAACTACTTCGACACAGCCTAGTTGCGATGCCAGTTTCACAGCAGCATCACTATCGGCACCTAACTCCATCAGCAGGCGGATTATTTCCAGATGGCGTTTTTCAACTGCAGCCATCAAGGGTGTTGTGCCATCCCTTTTTGCTTGATCTTTGGCTGTACCAGCTTCGACTAGCAGGCGGACAATGTTGATATGGCCCTCTTGAGCTGCCATGAGCAAGGGTGTTGTACCATCATTGCCTGCTTGGTCTTTGGCTGCACCAGCTTCGACTAGCAGGCGGACTATGTCGAGATGGCCCTCTTGAGCTGCCATGAGCAAGGGTGTTGTACCATCATTGTCTGCTTGATCTTTGGCTGCACCAGCTTCGACTAGCAGGCGGACTATGTCGAGATGGCCCCCTTGAGCTGCCATGAGCAAGGGTGTTGTACCATCGTGGTCTGCTGGATCTTTGGCTGCACCAGCTTCGACTAGCAGGCGGACTATGTCGAGATGGCCCTCTTGAGCTGCCATGAGCAAGGGTGTTGTACCATCATTGTCTGCTTGATCTTTGGCTGCACCAGCTTCGACTAGCAGGCGGACTACGTCGAGATGGCCCCGTAGAGCTGCCAAGAGCAAGGGTGTTCTTTCACGGTTGTCTGCTTGATCTTTGGCTGCACCAGCCTTGAGTAGCAGGCGGACTATGTCGAGATGGCCCCTGCGAACTGCCATGAGCAAGGGTGTAGCACCATCATTGTCTGCTTGATCTTTGGCTGAACCAGCTTCGACTAGCAGGCGGACTATGTCGAGATGGTCCCCTTGAGCTGCTATGAAAAAGGGATGAGCTGCCGAGAGCAAGGGTGTAGCACCATCATTGTCTGCTTGATCTTTGGCTGCACCAGCCTTGAGTAGCAGGCGGACTATGTCGAGATGGCCCCTGCGAACTGCCATGAGCAAGGGTGTAGCACCATCATTGTCTGCTTGATCTTTGGCTGCACCAGCTTCGACTAGCAGGCGGACAATGTTGATATGGCCCGCTTGAGCTGCCAAGAGCAAGGGTGTTCTTTCACGGTTGTCTGCTTGATCTTTGGCTGCACCAGCCTTGAGTAGCAGGCGGACTATGTCGAGATGGCCCCTGCGAACTGCCATGAGCAAGGGTGTAGCACCATCATTGTCTGCTTGATCTTTGGCTGAACCAGCTTCGACTAGCAGGCGGACTATGTCGAGATGGTCCCCTTGAGCTGCTATGAAAAAGGGATGAGCTGCCGAGAGCAAGGGTGTAGCACCATCATTGTCTGCTTGATCTTTGGCTGCACCAGCCTTGAGTAGCAGGCGGACTATGTCGAGATGGCCCCTGCGAACTGCCATGAGCAAGGGTGTAGCACCATCATTGTCTGCTTGATCTTTGGCTGCACCAGCTTCGACTAGCAGGCGGACAATGTTGATATGGCCCGCTTGAGCTGCCAAGAGCAAGGGTGTAGCACCATCATTGTGTGCTTGATCTTTGGCTGCACCAGCTTCGACTAGCAGGCGGACAACGTTAATTTTGCCCGCTTGAGCTGCCAAGAGCAAGGGTGTAGCATCATCATTGTCTGCTTGATCTTTGGCTGCACCAGCTTCGACTAGCAGGCGGACAATGTTGATATGGCCCGCTTGAGCTGCCAAGAGCAAGGGTGTAGCACCATCATTGTCTGCTTGATCTTTGGCTGCACCAGCTTCGACCAGCAGGCGGACAATGTTGATATGGCCCGCTTGAGCTGCCAAGAGCAAGGGTGTACACCCGAAAGAATCGAGCTGGTCAATCTTTGCATCTGCCTCGAGCAAGAGCAATGCAGGGGACACATGTCCCATATGCGCAATATGATGCAAGGGTGTATTGCCATCCTGATCGGCCTCATTGGGATTCCGGGGGCATTTTAGCAACTCTTCAAGCGCACCTAAGTCATTGTCCCTAGATGCCGAAACCATCTTCTCGCATTGTTCAGCATCCTGTGGCCAAAAGTCCAAGATCACCAGCTGGACTTTCAGTGGAGCTGAAGCAAAAACCTCATCGTCCGGAATCTCACGGAAACTATCCTCCACTAAGAACCTTTGCTTGAATCTGGAAATGCCAACCTTGGCTGCCAAGGCTTGCTTGACTGCCTTGGCTGGTTTTCCTTCAAATTCATCCGAGTCCAAAACTGCCAGAGTCTCGCCGGAGATTCGGAATACCTCCATTGCTGTAACACGAGGCCTACATTTCCCCTCCGCGTCGTCTTGATGGCCTGCAACTGTGTATGGGGTTTCCTATGGCTTGAAGTTGAAGTAGGGGAAGGTGCTTCTGAATCATTGACCCTGCAACTGAGGCTGTAACATGTTGTAACTAGGGATTGGGACCAAAGATTGTGACCATCTGCTGTCGTGTGATTCCCTGTGGCCCCACCATGTGATTTTGATGATAGCTGAGGGCAAGTAAACCAGTCACAGCTCGTGTCCAGGTACAATGGGGTACAATCGCTCAACTCCAAGGCCCCATAAACTGTTCAATGGACTCCCATAGCAGGGGTTTCCGAAGCACGTTTCTTATAGATTCCCCCAAAGCCCTTTGAAATGTTGGAGGTTTCACCGTTCCAGCAATCAAAACCACCAGAACTGGCAGTGTTTGATGCTGTGCTCGCAGGCCGAGGAAAAACTCAATGCTGCGCAGCAGAACTAGGGGGTGAAACAGGTCGGTTTCAGCTCAGAAGAGGAATGTCGCTGAGATCCTGGTTGACACTGAGTCTACACTGACACCGGGAAACGCAAAGGAAATTAAGAATCAATTCTGCTTCAAACAGTGGGGGTCATTGAACATGCATAGTATAACTAAGTACTTTGAAGATCTCGGCCGATTCTGCCCTGAACGTCCCTGAACCAATGTCAAAGCGATGAAGGTTTCTCTGTGTCTAGAAAGATTGCAATTGCTTCTAGCATCAAACCATCCCTTCTTTTTGGTGCCATACCGCCATACCGATTTTGAATTGAAAGCATCAAAGGTGTTTAGGGAAATAAATTGAAACGGTGTGGGGCCAACATTTGTGGTATATCCATTTACATAGTGGCCATTCAATGGGGATACAGTGCCCCTCTATGAACGAACCAGCCAGTGCGAAAAGGACATATTATGTATTTGGGCATTTCTCAAGTCGCTCAAAATTTCATGGTTCATTTTACTGCGAAATGACCACTTCATTTGCAGCTCCAGATGGGTCTTGAAATTTAACCCACCGCCCACTGCCAGATGGTCAACTTTTCACCCATGTGGGTGTGTCCATGGGGTAAACAAAAACAAAAAACTGCAAGGTGTATCAGAAAATAATGATAAGCCCTCAATTTTTTGGTGTGTTGTAGTGTCTAAACCTAACTGTAAATCATCCCTTAAGAACTCAGCATTTTTGTGGATTCTATATAAACCACCCCCAAATGCTCGGTTTACGGCGTTTGGTTTACCACCTTACCCCATGACAAGCCCATTTCAAACTTCGGAAACCAAGCTCCCCAACGACGTCGTCGCCTGAAACGGCTGCTTACCAAGCTGGTATAAACGCCGGGCTGCCAAAATGGAGGATGTCTCTCAGCAAGAGATGGGGGATGAAAAAATGTAAATATGGGATAAGACTCAAGACTGAATAGCATGGGATAATATGGAATGGTATGGAACAACACCAAAAAAAACTGTGTCGCAAACCTGTCAAGACCTCGAAGTCATTCCCCTTTGATCGACATGAAATTGAAACAAAACTGGTTGCCTTTCGCCGAACCATGTGTTCGTTCTGCGGGGAAACCAGGATTGTCACGAGTTTCGAGAAACACCGACAGAATTCTGTCGAAATGTGATATCTGTGGGACACAAAGATATCCATGGACCAAATCCTCATCAAACGCTGTGCTCTCGGTCTCCCATCATAGTTGGTTCATAACATATGGTTTTGTCTGCAAATAGTACCCATGGGTACCGCAAGAGCGGTTACTCAAATGAATCGTATTCTGTTCATTTCTTTTTGCTAAAATTGCCATTCTGGGATATCCGCATTCTCAGACACACCCAGCACTTCTCACCCCAACAATATGTATGCACACTGGATCGCTATTGGTTGTGTTCTTGCCTTAATCCCCATTTTTGTTTCCCATCTCATTAAATACTAGTGAGCCATTCAAAATACCCTGTTTTCCCATCTCGTGAAATAATAGTTTGTTGACAACGCTTTCCCATGGTTTCCCTAATATGGGTTGTAATAGTGGCTCGTGTAACATCCCAAATCCCAGCCCGGAGGTCTAACTTGATCGCACCTGAGGGATGCCAAGCAGGCCTGCCAACCCGGTGGCCGCCGGTGGCCCGTTGAGAGCTGGATCTGCCCGATCCAATGGGAAGTGAAGATCATGTTTAGTTGATGATTCTTACCATTTAATGGGGATAGAATGTGGGGATAAGAGGGCAGGATGGTACAGTGAGGATATGATGGGATGTATTGCTGTAAGACGCCCCCAAACAAGGGACCCCAATTCATAAATAGATCCAATACAAAACTAGGAGTTTGGGAGTATTGAATCTTATGTAGGTGAATAGGGTTAGTACGGATTGACATGGTGTAATAGATGTCTTGAATATTGAACCGATGTGATGAGGGTAGAATGAGTGTGCTGAAGTAAGGATATGATGGAATTAACCAACAAGTTCGTTTATGATACGGCAAGAATCAACAAATATGTATATAAGATTATATCACATGATGTTTTTTTACATCAACCATGGGGAGTTCTTGCATGTAAATTGACCCTTTGATCCAACTCTGGAAGCTTCCATTTCAGAATGATGTGATGGTATGCAGCCTGAAGTTGTCAATGACTGAGATCAGGGAGTATGTGCATGCATGAGCCACCTCTACTAGTAGTTTGATGGCTTGCAAATTACTGTAAATCATGTCCCAACTGTCTACTTACTTGAAGGATCATTTGACTCGTGTGAACGAGTCAATGATCTTTGTGAGTCATGTGCCTGCATGACATTGGGTAACTACTGTATATTTTTGGGATTCCAACACACAGTGAGCGGCCGAAAGGGAGTCGTTCAAGTTGTCCAAGACAAATTCAACCAGTTGAAATAGCTACGAAACACTAAAAAGTTGGGCCTTGAAACAGGGCTACTTCCAGGCTTTGATTCAGCAACTGTCATATCGAACACCATGCCTGTCGTCCACGGCATCGCCTGGCAAAAACTTCAAAAAATGGCAGATCTTGACCAGGCACGGAGAAGAGATCCGGATGTAAACGGAAATTCATGGCAAATCGGAGTTAACCAGAAGAAAATTGTGGAATGTTATTGAAATTTGGATTTAACCAACAGAAAATTCATGGAATTGTCTGGAAATCGGATTTAACCAGCAGAAAACAAAAACAAATTTGGTTTTGACCAAGCGGTGGCCTGATCACTAGATGGAAACCTAGGTAGAGAATGGTTGGTTAAAATCCTGAATGGGTGTATGACGAACTTGGAAGTGCAGTTCCAGTCAAAAATGGATATGTGTCACCATAGTTCTAGGAGTTATATTGTGGTTTCCCGAAATGGTGGTACCCCTAAATCATCCTTTTAGATAGGATTTTCCATTATAAACTATCCATTTTGGGGTATCCCCATTTCATGAAATCCCCATATCATAAGGTATATCCCAACTTATGGGTGTTAAATCACCATTCTTATATCCATGTTTTCCCCTCAATGGCACCCCCAAGTAGCACGCACTTAGCCGTACTTTCAAGGCTTCCAGCTCTCACACCGGGTTTGTCACATGTCGATCCATTTCATGGAATTTGGGGGTTCAATGTTTGAGACAACTCCAGAAAACTCCTCCGGTTGTCTCAAACGTGGCAATGGAACATTCAAAAAACAAGATGAAGCCCACGAACCCGAATGCTCACACGTATGTTGAAGATAACTATGTTAAAGTATCGATAATGACATGAGATGCAAATGTCAATGCTCAAACCTATTGCTCCGGATCTGTTTTCTCTCCGCGACAGCAGCATTGGCGTCACAACGCAGTGGCGCGCGGCAAGCAGCGCCTTCCAAGACATGGAAACCATGCGAGACGAACGTATCACACATGAAATGTCTTGTGTTGGGAATCACATGCGTCGATGCAACAAGATAAAATGTATGGATCAACGAACCAGAAAGTATCGGAAACGTGTTGAAACATCCTGTAGTGGCACCAAGCACGCTCGATGCCTCCACGGCACTGGTGTTGCAAAGCTGCATCGCGACGCAGTCATCACCTGCCAGAACATACGAGCCAGACGAGGCACAGTTGTAGCTGACGAATCATTTTATGAGTTATGGAAACAGAATCTTGATGAAGACAATTCAATAACGAGTGTATGAGACAACGAAACAACCCAAACAAAAAGGAAAATAAGAACGGCTCTTGTTGATCTGTCCAACAAAATCATATCATCTTCAGATTGCAAAAGGAACAGGGACTTCTTTCTACCATTGCCGACGGCTGTAACACGTCCTGGGAGCTGCTCAGCAAGACAGCGAGGACAGCGCCACCAGCTGTCGCTCTATAGACAACCATACAGATTTTGGTCATGTCCAACTTCTCACCAAGACAACGGAGTCACCAACGCCAGCTGTCCCTCTGTTGCCTGAAGTCAAACAAATTCGTCGAAATAGATGCCAAGACCAGACGAAGCTCACCTGGCCATTTCTGTTGCCAGCGACAATTTGGACAATTGCAGGCGGCAACAGCTTCTTGGTGATCTTAACCTTCAAGCCAATGTGCAAAGACAGAAAGGAAATGAGGTTACCAGTCTTGCTTGCCATGTTTGTCGCATTTTAAGGTTACCAGTCTTGCTTGCCATGTTTGTCGCATTCATTTAAAATGCGACAAACATGGCAAGCAAGACTGGTAACCTCATTTCCTTTCTGCCTTTGCACATTGGTCTAAAAGTTAAGATCACCAAGAAGTTGTTGCCGTGCTAACCACCAGATGAGCAGTGTCTGGTTCCATCCAGGTCGCATTTTTGCTCCGACAGAGATGGAAGCTCGATTGAATCAAACCTTGACGCAGAGCAAGCACAGGAAACCCGGGGTCTCTGGCTGGACCGCCCAGCCACAGACGCTGGGAACTGACTCGCAAGGCACTCAGATGGCACGGATGATGAACTGATCCTCAAGATCCGCTGTCAGAATTGCTTGTGTGTCACACGCACTTCCGCTCTCACCTGAGCGACCCGGCCGAACCCGCGGGCGGACCCAGGGCTCCATACCGCGCGGCAGCAACATACCGCGCGGCACGCCCTCGCAAGCAGTTCTGGCGCGCAAGCTTACGCCATTGCAGCGCAGACCGGCGACCCGCCATATTAAAAAAAAGACAGATCTTCAACAACATCGCTATCAACCTTCATGCCTGCATAAGCACCACTTCCGTGCATGCGACATTTGCTTGCATATCTCTCACGATCATTCGAAATGTCTAGATCTTGCAAATTTTCCTTGATCTAACAACATTCCTCATGAACTGTGACTGCTTAACGTTCTCTTGCTATTGAGCCCAGCCGAAATGTTTGCCGACACAGAACCAAAAATATATAAACAACACTGTGTGAAATCTGGATGAGTCCACACAGCAACTTTCCACCTTCAACATAATCGCACTCTTGCCATATATTTACAAACCGCAAGCCTCACTGAACCAACAATCTAGTATATTCAAAATTTGAAACCTTGGCAAAGGAGACATTTTGCAATTTCCCCCATAGACACGGCGACGCCACAGGACAACCAAAGACTCGAAACGAGACTCGTAAGTGCAGAAAAACGAACATTTCATGCGAGACTTCATCCAATTTTAACATTTTCGTCGCGTTATCAAACAGGTTGGAATGTCACAAAGTGCCACGCCTGCCATGCAAAACGACATGACAACCTGCATGGAAACATTCGAAAAGGAGATGTTTTGCCGCTTCCCCATCTTCCCCCATAGACACAACGACGCCACAGGAAAACGAGACACACAGACAAGACACGTGGATGCAGAAAAACGAGCATTTCGTACGAGACTTCCTCCAATTTTGACATTTTCAACACGTTATCAAACACGTTGGAATGTCACAAAGTGCCACGCCTGCCACGCAAAACGACATGACAAGCTGCTTGGAAACCTTCGAAAAGGAGAGGTTTTGCGGCTTCCCCCATAGACACGGCGAAGCCACAGGAAAACCAGAGACTCGAGACAAGACACGTGGATGCAGAAAAACGAGCATTTCGTACGAGACTTCCTCCAATTTTGACATTTTCAACACGTTATCAAACACGTTGGAATGTCACAAAGTGCCACGCCTGCCACGCAAAACGACATGACAAGCTGCTTGGAAACCTTCGAAAAGGAGAGGTTTTGCGGCTTCCCCCATAGACACGGCGAAGCCACAGGAAAACCAGAGACTCGAGACAAGACACGTGGATGCAGAAAAATCAGCATTTCGTACGAGACTTCCTCCAATTTTCATAGTTTGAAACATGCCGCAAGAACATGTTTTCCAGCTTCCCCCATAGACACGGCGAGGCCACAGGGAAACCAGAGACTCGAGACGAGACACGTGGGAGCACCAAAACGAGCATTTCGTGCGAGACTTCCTCCAATTTTCACACTTTGTAGCTTCAAAATCGACGTTTTCCTACGAGTTTTCCTTAGAACGTGAAAATTTGCAACCTCAAAATCGATGTTTCGTGCGAGGCTTCCGTCAATTTTCAGCACATGTCAGAAAATGCCACGCCTGCCACGGAATTTGCACCTTGTCGCCACTTGACGCAGCCCTGCCAATGCGATTTGCAAAAAACACGCAACATGACACGTCTAAAGTGCTGCGCCTGCCACGAAAAATGGCGATGGACACGTCCAAAGTGCTGCGCCTGCCACGAAAACTGCAACACATCTTCTGAAAACGTCGCAAAAGTATTGCGCCTGCCACGCAAAACGACTTTCGACACGTTCCAGAACACGTCTGAATGTCACGAAGTGCCACGCCTGCCACGCGAAACGAAGCAACGACACGTCTGAAACCTCCAAAAATTACCACCTCTGCAGAACTTCCCATAGGCACGGCCATACGGTCCTCGCGCGGACGGTTGCGAACGGTTGCGAACGGTTGCGGACGGTTGCGGACGCGGACGCAACGTCGAGCGAACACACTCCAACCCCCAGACCCCCAGAGTGAAACGGGAACCCTTGCTACGCATTCGGGAATTATAAGTACATGATGCACAGGATTTATATTGGCGGATTTCCGCCCAGCCAACCGCGTTTCATTTCCGGAGGGTCATCCATTTCTCCTATTTCACCCTGCCCGCGCCTTCCACGTCGCTGAGAATTTCATCATCCTCTTGCAACTCCTCTTCACCAGCCTCCAGCTCCTGAAAACCTGGGCATTTTCAACGTCGAGGAACATGAGAAACCCCATCCGAAAATTCTCCAAAGAGTAGATGCGAAACGGAGAAACCAGTGGGACGGCGGCCAACTTATTCTAATTTCGTTGTAGAGTAGAGCTAGGTGACTGTAGTTCACCACGCTTCCGACCACCTATCCCTACCAGCTATCCCCGGTATCCCCTATTCTATACGAAGATATGCTAAGATCACCTATATAGTTTTCCAGTTACGCTAAAAGTACGGTCATATCACTTGGCAACAACCTTGGCATCCAGTTCTGCACCTCAGATTGTCCAAAAAACACCTGGCTTCGGGATTCAACCTCCAAAAGGTGACCCATAATGCTTTGGGTTTATGTCTTGGTTTCACAAGGGCGAATCTTAACCTCTGTCACCGGTGTCACCGAAAGGGGGGTCTCCTTGTATCCCATTCAATCCCCATTCTACAGTATGTGATTTATGTTGATTTTGTACATTTGTACCTGCATTTTCCGTCAATCAGATTCTCCATTTAAAGCCTAGGGTTGCTCAAATCCCCATACTAAATCAAAACTAATTACCAAGAAAGACAAACCTACCTGAATCCCAGATCATTGATCATGAACATCTCCAACATGTTTAATGGTAGTATAACCCCCGATCTAATCACAACCAAACAATCATTTATCAATTATATCACGATGAATCACCATGTTTTTGATGGTGATTCAAACCCCAGAAAAAAATGTTAAATCACTATAAACTATGGTCCTCTCCAATTTTGGACCTGTGAAATGGTGGTGATTTTTTTAATCAATCCACATTGCATCCACATTAAATCACTATAAACATCAACCCTCAGCGGCTTGCCATCCAGAAACCATCACTTTCCTCCACTTCCGCTTCGCTTCCGGCCAGTTCTGCAGCCGTGGGATACGGCTGGTCGTCGAGATCCGCTGCCTTTCGGCGGGGATGTCACCAGCAACATCCAGATACCTCTGGTAAACTAACACAAAAAACTCATGGGAAAATCCCCATGTTGAAACTGGGCAATGAAACTATTTCACTATCTATATTTCTATGGCCATGTTTATCAAAATGTCGCAAACGCTTTGTTTACCAAACCAGAGGATGGTCCCATGATTTGACCCAAAGTTGGCGCGGCGGTAAGGATGATCCAAGCCGACCGGCGTGGTAAAAATAATGTGTTTTTTGATGTGACCTGGTTTAGGTGGTAAATAACAAATGGTTAACATCAATTAATACAATTTTATTGGAATAATTATTGATGTGTATTAGATATATAATGATATATACCGTACCCCACTGGAATTGTCATGTCATATCATTTCATTTGATGTTCTGGTTGGTGGTTGACCTACCCCTCTGAAAAATGATGGAGTTCGTCAGTTGGGGTTACTATTCCCAACTGAATGGAAAAATAAAATTCATGCTCCAAACCACCAACCAGTGTTTATTTAGATACACCCCACTGGAATTGTCATGTCATATCATTTCATGTCATATGTTTCATCAACCTATTGTGTCAACGACAAACGCTACTACATGGGTGTGTCTGAAAATTGACTACCCCAAATCTATCATGGGTTCAGAAAATCATGTTCCAGATTACTATAATATGGCCATAAATTGGGAGCCGAACCCTCCATGGCCACAGACACATACCGTGCCATTGTTGCTGGTCAATCTCTCCACATTGTTGATATGGTGATATTCCCATGGTGTTGATCGTCAATGGTGAGAATATTCCAAGTTCATGATGGTTGTCATGTTTATTTGGAATATGGAAGTGTTCATATCACTCCCAAAATATTCCAACTATTCCTGTGTTTCATTGTTGATGGTTTATCTATTCCAAATAGTTGGGAGTGATAGAGTCATATATATATATATACAGGGCATACAAATGCATACAATCAAACACACTCGTAAGCCACTTGACTGACTGCTCTACAGTCAATGGTCATCAGATTTTTTTTGGCTGGTGAATATTCCATCATATTTCCAGTGCTGGCTAAAGCTCCCGTTTTTTGATGCTTTAATCATCCCTGTCTCATCCCCAAGCCCCATATCCCTGGAATATGCTGGGATTATTCCAGTTTCATTACTGGCATTGTTTTGAGAATCATCAACAATCCCAGGTTGTCCCATATATATATAATGATCCCAACATAATCATGTCATAATCAATATCTATTGGCTTAATTTGTAATTACTAGTCATTCATAGTCATTTATAGTCATTTAAAGTCATATATATATATATATTTAGTCCCTCATTTATAGTCATTCATTTATACTATAGTCACGTATAGTCATTTTTTGTTACCCTCTGGTAATTTAACATAGCTATGGAAAATCACTATTTTCAATGGGAAAATCCACTATTTCTATGGCCATTTTCAATAGCTATTTTGACATAACCAGAGGGTAGTTGGCTGAATCACTTCATCCCCGGCCTCGACCACCTCAGCCAACTTCATCAGTTCCCTCAGCGTCGCTTCCACCTCTGACGGGCCCCGGCCAGGCGCCATCCGCGCCGGGCGCAGCGGCTCCGCTGGCGTCGCTGCTGGCGCCGGCGCCGGCGCTGGCGTCGGTTCCGGTGGGCCGTCCGCCACCTAAAAGGGGTGGGATGGCACCCGAAAGACGTGGCGTTGTCCGGAAAAACAACTCCAGTGCGATTCAGAAAATCATCTGCATAATACATACAATACTTCATTCAAAAGATTTGCGAAGGGTGTTTGAGGCACATTGGAATTTGATTTCTACTGTGTCGAGTCATCATGAACGTATAGTAGAAGGTGGAAGCCACATGGCAAGTTGTAATTAGGGTAGCCGAAGTTAGTCCCCTCAGAAGCAGGGTCATAGTCTACTACATCCTACTTGTAAGTCATTGTAAGTGGACTGACCACCGAAAAGCTTGGGGGATGCCTCTCCCAGTCTGGGAACGGCGAGGTGGATGGATAGATACCCAGGGGATGCCAGGGGTAAACTTCCACTGGGAACCCCAGCTCCAGCCTCCACCACCTGAGCCAACTTCATCAGTTCCCTCACCGTCGCTTCCACGTCAGCCGCGGTGTCTGCCGCAGAAGGGGGCGCGGGGTCCGGCACCTGGATGGAACACATAAAATTGGCTTTGTGTTCATCGGACCACAGAAAATCATGGTTCTTTCATATTATATTATCAACATAAGGGGTTCTTATGTATCTTATTTATCTTGTGAATCTGGGTTTCAACCAAATTCATCAGTACTGTCTTGGATTCTCCCGCTGTGCTATCATCAGGACGGGCCGAGTCAAGGCAAGATCTGGTCGGATCTTTCTTCGTGACTCAATTCGTGATGAATCTCTTGTACAATAGTCTTACATAGTCTTACCATCTCCGCAGACATAGACGTTGCCAAACCGGAGGGTTGGAACATTTGGAACACTATGTTCCTCTAAAATACTTGATGCTAAGGGTCAAACTGTTGATTGGGGGGATGGGATAGTCTGCAATCAGCAACCAATGTTTCAAGCTGAAATCAAAATGTTTGCTGGCCATCCAGAATACCTCTGTGCCATGGTCAAGGTACCTGCCGTTGGATTGTATCTTGGGTGTCATCCATCCAATGGGAATCCTGTTTGAAAATTGGTGTTTTATTACACGGTAAACCACATCCTTACTGATGGATTGATGACTATCTCCCAAGATAGGCAATTTACATCAATTTACAGTACATCAATTATATCAATTTACATTAATTTACCAAAGCTTTGATTATGGCACCATGAATGAACCCCCATCATTGCTGACGCCACCAACTCTACCTCCACAACTTCGGGAGAGGAATCTTCTCGATTTTCCTCATGCTGTGGCGCGTCATCATCAAGGAACCTGAGACAAAGCAGGTGTGGATACAACCATCGGTGCCTGCCTCATGTGCTTCAAAATCAGCTCAAAGACACATAAAACCAACTAGACGGGTTTATCTTAAAATGGGGTACCCCATGGTAGCCCCAATTCTAACGGAATCTCATCACAGTTTCCCTATGTTTCCCTATCAAATTGGCAAATCTTGGGGTATATCCAGATTTGCAGACACACGGATGTGGATGCTACAGTTGGATGCGATTCATCGATGTGGGCTTGCCAATCGCTAGGCTCAGGGATCCAAGGATCTAAGGTCGGGATAGAATGTTTGAAACATGTTGAAACATGTTGAAAGATGCTGAAACTACCAATTCACAATGATCTTTGCAGTTTAACCTTGTCTTCCAGGTCTGAAGGATGAAGTCACATGGAAAGCACCTTAAATGTTCCTCACATTGTGAGGGCACGCAGCAAGCCACATCTCTCAGGATCCAACGATGTGGTTGAAACTCCACTGGCGCTGCCGGGAGTCTCCAACGGTGGAGGTTCAACCGGCTTCTTCATCCTTGGCACATGACCAAATCCATGTCCTATCTGGGATTGTTGAAATAAAATGAAGTGATGCCTTGCACATCTTTGAGACCTCGGAAAATGACACGTTCTGAAGAATTCTGAAGTGGCAGAAGGTCTTTGAAAAGGAAATCTTCAGGACAGTCATAGATTACAACAAAGGACCCCATGCGTCAATTCTTTCCTCCGACAGCAGGCATCAGGAATTCCCCCAACTTCGATCCACCGATGTTTCACGGATTCAATCCCCTAAGTCTTACAGCCCCGCATGTCCCAAGCTTACCATCAAAAGAACTTTTGTTGCCACACATCCCCCTTTGTTGCTATAGATATGTGTGCCCGTCTAGCTCGGTCGCTACAGTTTTTTAGAAGCTTTATCATTTGACAAATGGATACTTAGACAAAAACAATAATTCCAGTGGGGTAGCCAAATAAACCAAGCCAAAACTCTTTAGTGTTAAAACTGGTACTAGTGACCTGATGATGTAGTAATGTTGGGTTTACCTTACTCAGGGTTGATCCTAACACCCCAAATAATTATAAGAGTAAAAATTGCTAACTAAAGGGAATCAAGTGGTAACATCCACCATTTTACCCACCACAGGTGACTTTCGTTTACCAAAAAAGTTGGAGCAACTTCGCTACCTTGACCCTCAAAGTCCCCCCAAAAAAACCTACACAAATTCTCAATGGGGTATCAACTTTGGACGACGGTGATCCAACTTTCTTGGAAACCGGGAAGGAAAACATGGAGAAACGATCACCACCTGCCAAAACAATAGCACCATAGAACCGCGTCGCAACCAAGTCTCAAAAGGAAATCAAAGGTTCAACCATACCAGCCCAAGACAAGGTGTCTCAAGGCACCATAAACGGTTCTGGATCAAAAACCCTGATACCCTACTGGGAACCCGGTAGGTCGTAGGTACCTTAAAAACCTCCATGGGTAACCCAGGACCCATCCCTAAGAACCCCCAGAATCCCACACAATCCAAGTCGCTGTGGCCTAGGCAGCAGCCGCGGAGGCCGAAAGACCTCCTCGGCCGGCGCTTTGCGACGAGCCTTTGGAGGAGAGGTCGCCGAGGCAGACTTTGTGCCTGGGACGGTACGTGGCCGAAATGGGGCCTGCCGTTGGAGGCAACGCCCCGGAAATGGGGATGAAACACGGTAAAAACCGAGTAAAAACCTATACGAAATAGATACGAAAGATGGCCTCATGATCCAAAATTGACACCCGCCGTGCCTGGCTGTCCTGGCAGTTGAAACTGACTCCCCGTTCCAATGGATTGTCATCATCATGTTCATCATCAAAATGGCAACTTTGGGGTAAACCTTAATTTCAGATAAATCCTTTCAATGTCAAAGTTTTTTTCACTACTGCGCTGCTGCGCCAGTCCTTTCGCACGGGGAGCTGCTTTGGCGCTCCTGTCTGCCTGCCAGTTTCAGTGGAAACAGGTGTGGTTGGCCTTCGATTCCAAAGTATAGCTTGAAAACATGTTGGCATGGATCAAAATTGGTACTTTTTTGCATTGAACCTTCCATGTTTATCATGTGGGGGTTTGATAGTTTTGACCCGTATCCAAATCAAGCAACCAGCGGAGAAGAATATGTTTGCGCCACTTAAGATTTTTTCTGATTCATCACTTGGTTGCAACCAGGCTTGATAGCCAGTTGCTACCCGGAACACTAATCACTAATCCAAACAGTCAAACTGGCCAAGCAACACATGTGACCAACTGTCATATCCACGGAACCAAATCGTGTGCCATTGTCCGTCGCTATATAGCCCGTGTCAATCTTCACGTCTCCCTTTTGCTTCATCAAGCAAGCACTGTCATAGAATCCAATTAGAAGAACCAACCAAAAATCCACAAAAATCTATCCCAGTGCGTGCATTCCATGAAGTGGATACTGACATTGTGAAACCACAACGTAAATGCCAATCTCCTGCCATGAGGCACCAACGGCTTCCAGATTCATTCATCAACTCCTAGATAAACCTCGAAAACAGCTACATATCTGCAAGCCCAGCTACATATCTGCTATCTGGGCCCATTCTGAGATACTCTGACCCCTTTCCCCACCGTGATTCTTGGTCATTTGAGGCTGCTAAGCAGCCTTCTGAAACCGAATAGCTGCTACACCATTGTTGGCTGGTTCATATCCCCAGTTGGCTCGTTCATTCAGTGAGAAACTCGGCCAACAGTCCAACCACAAGGTACCCCTTGTTGAACCAAGCCGCAGCCAGGTTTATCTTTTCCCCATTAAGATTGCCATGAATTGGGGTGTGCTCCATTCTCAGGTAAACCCACAAAGCTTCAGTGTTGGTTAAACGCTTAAAACAGTTGTTGGTCAATGTTGGTGTTTCAGCCCCCATTCTACCTGGCCAATCTTAGATACCCTGCCGAAAATTTGGTTCTAGGCTGGTTAGGTTGATATATTGGCAAAAGAGTAATACTTCCTGGTCTGAATATGTCTAAATGTAGGAAATCGACATGTACTTACTATATTCTACATTCAGATACATTCAGTACTTGATTTTCTAAAGTCAGTATATACTCTATGTTCGATAGTTTCCTAGAACTTGCTAGAAGTACCATGTATTTTATACCCATCCAAAGTTTCCCCAGTTTCTAGTGCCCATCATCCTTCCTATCAACGCAGAAATTCCTTGGGGCCCAGCGCGGCCTTCTGCGCTGCCTCCAAGGTGGCTCCAAGAGCATTCCAGGATCCGCGAGGCGTCTCCAGGGGTGGTCAAATCCCAGTTGGCTATGGATCGATACCTGTGGAAGAAATCCTCCAGTTGAGGGAGGTGAAACATCCTTTTTATAGGCAAAAAACCATCCAAGGTGCAGGATTTTTTCCATCCAGAGTATCAATGCCATTCTTACGGGCATTCGCATCCATGCGTCCCAGCTACTTTGATCCCCATTTGGGATGGCCTATTCAACATGAAACCCAACCGTTGGGCCATATCAAGTAGATCGATATGGCACCCTTTTTTTTTGCAAGTTCGGCTGTGTGGTATGATGAGTCACATTAATTCTACTACCCATCATTCCAGTGACTTTTCAGCCCAGCTGGCCTCAGCTTTCCTTTTTTGCCCTTTCGCAACCTACCACGAAAAGCACCGCTGCAATTGCGCAAGGTCCAAATTGGAAATGCCTAACCCGCCTGCCTCACCAGGATCCGAATTTCACTTGTCTCCAGAATCCCCAACCCTAGGCCTCAACTTCAGGCGTAGCCGACTTACTTGCCTGCCAGTGATGTGACCAGGATCACCAACCATCAAGGGGGAAAGTATGGACCACTATGGATCAAACATGTTGCCCCCTGGATCAAACACCAGTTGGCTGGTCATTCCTAGGATGCAGGTAAGATGCAGGTCCCAGTTCGGGGTGATATTCCGACAATCCAAAAAAAGACCACAATCTGCCCAAAACACCTGGGTCATCTCAGTGGTTTCATCTCCAAGAAGAAATGTCCCTTAAGGGATCATCCTAAGATATCCTAAGATATCCTAAGTTTTAAGCCACCCAAGTCACCAACCAAAAATATGGGAAAAGAAAAGTCACCAAGCTTTGATGCTTTACTTTTTTCTTTTATTTACCCTCTGGTAAACGTTTACATAACTATGGAAAGATCCACCATTTTTAATGGGAAAATCCACTATAAATGGCAATTTTCAATAGCTATGTTAGTTTACCAGAGGGTATGTATTCCTTTTTTTCCCCCGCAGAATCCGATCATCTAGGCCATGCCTGGCGAGCTCTCGGGCCAGCCTGACAGGACGGTCATGGGGGAAATTCCATGAAATTCAGGGCGATATGACAGTGGCCCATGGTTAGCAAGCCCCCCCAAAAAAAAACACAATTTTAGTAAAATCTTACCAAAATATGACATGATAAAACTAACCTGTTCGATTTTTGAGGGTTGCTATGGGTGTTGTAGTGCACATGAATCATGGAAAAAATGTGTGGATTGCCACGTCTTTGAGAAGGAATGCATCACCATGTGAATCCCACATGCCTGCGATGGCGTCTTGTCACTTGGTGGCATTTGCCGCTTGGCATCACCTCATTCGGCGAGAAGTGGGCCCGAAAGTCAAGCAACCTCGGGGTTTGAAGCAACAAAAAGAGGGGATCTCGACCAAGAACTGACACTCGTTTTGTAGATTTTAGCATAGGGATAACTATTTTTTTTTTGCACGAATGAGCAAGAAAAGACTGTGAAATTCACCCACGAAAGGTGAGAATTTCGTCCCAGCAAGACCCACCAAAAGGCCCGCCAAGTGGCTAATGTTGGCATCCACTCGTGCCCAGAAGGCCTTCTAGGCTACGTGCGGGACATGGCTTTGGTACCTGAAAACCTGAAAATTTTGGGGGGAAGAAAAAAAACAATGTTTCAGAAAATGACACTCATGAAAACTGCCGTAAAATAGGATATGGTCATTTATGTCCAACCCCACATCATTTTTCCACATCGTTTTCCAGGGTCTGGGGAAAAAGCACGATGAATCTCCAACTTTTAGTATCCGGTCCCTCAACTGACCATCTAACATGACCCTGCCAGGTGGGATGCGGAATCCGGTCCCCACTCTCGCCTCTCCAAATGGAACCGCCTCAGGCGATTCAGGATGCCCGGAATTCACGGAAGATCTGGATGTCTCAGGGAATCAGTGGGTAACTGATCCACCCAATGGGGGTGGTGTATTGGGTTTTCCAGCCACACATTGAACAATCATTTGTTTCAGAATGGGTATCAGAAAGTACTGGAATAATACCTACCTATATTATCATATTACTATTACTATTACTATTATTTTCACATGTAGGGATGGCACATTCAAGTGGGCTTGAGGCAATTCTAGGGGATCATCACTGGTATATGTAGCTATGCTTTGGACACGATAAGTACCTCACTTAAGGGTAGGGGTCAACATTGGGGAAACCCAAAAAATGGATCTTTGACCCAGAGCCACTGTTGACTTCATATTTGGGCCATACATTCCCACGTTTTTGTTCACACTTCCATTCTGAATCGTTATGTTTAATGGATGGACACCCATTCTTGATACTTATTGCTGTTATAATCCCTTCCCCAACATGGAATACCCCCTGGTTTCGGATCGGATGTATCCCACTATATCTCCACTGCAAATCCCCATTATATCCCTATCTTCTCCCCATATTATATCCCCCTATGACTGGTAGTAATTTCCATCACCTGGGGAAGGGTTTGGAGATGCAGTTCTGGATTTCCCGATCATCATACCGATCATGAATTATAGTGATTATTCATTCTCATCACAGTAAAGAAAGAAAATCTTTAAGTTATGACTATGTTAGGTTCGGATTTTACCAAAGTCTATCTTTTCTTGGGGGTCACCCTAGGGTAAACTAACATAGATGTGGAAAATCAACCATTTGTAGGTGATTTTCCTGGGGTTTTCCCATGGCTTCTCCACATCTATGGAACCAGCCTTGGAAGCAGTTGCAGCAGCCACACGGCGCTGTTTCAGCTGCCTCAAGACGTGATGGATCCTTGTTGTGGGGGGTGAGCAACAAACATGGGGGATACAAGGAATTTATGGGATATGATGGGGAGGGACATGCAATGGGAATATAGAATCATCAAGATGACTTAAGTATATTTGTGTGATAAAGTGGGGAAAAAACATGGGGATACCACTAATCATCTGCCTATGGGGTCAGGTGAGTGGGGCAGGCCTAAGTGTGTATTTCTTGGTGCTCAAAATCACCAATGCATCTGTGCGTTTGGAAGTCGTGCTCTTGGACCCACATAAACATGAACTTGTTGTACAGTATATATCATCTTACTGGATAGGCACACCTCTCATATGTCAAAACGACCCCCAGGTTTCTTGACATGAACAAGGTCCAAAACCCATGTTGGGTGGGTTCTACTTCTTGCTTGATGGGGATTCTAAAAAGAAATGATCATATTTTGAAACCTCCAGCCATCCAATAGGATTGCCATGCTTAATCATCCTACACGCCAGACGGGAGCCTCAAATATCCGTCAAAATCTGCTTCCCTGCTCCCAGAAGCGCGCGCAACGCTCGCCTGGAGTCTTGCTGGTGAAATGGTGATTTCGCTGGTCTGATGGCTCTGTCTTCTCTTTCAAAAATCACTGCCGACCTCAACTTGAACGGTCTTTTTCACACCACAAAAGATTACAACATCTCTGGCCGTGGAGGATCAACCAATTACATTATATTTATGAATTCTAAACATGAGCCCTATAAATCACAGAACGACTCAAAAGAGTGTGTGTGTGTGTGCCTTCATTAAATGACTTTGTCTGAAAATGGGTACCTCAAATACGGTCTGGTAAACTAACATAACTATGGAAAATCACCTTTCAATGGGTAAAACAAATATTTCTATGGCCATGTTCAACAGCTATGTACAAATTACCAGAGCGTAATCATTCTGAAAAAACTGAAACTTCCCCTATGATTCAATGCTGCTAATACTCCGATGTTTGATGGTAAAAAAAATCCCCATTCTTCATGGTATCATCTCTCCATTTTACAACAGAACTAAATCTAGATAAATTGGTGCAAAAATATGTCCTAGAAAATCTCATTAACCATTATCAACTCATATCAACTTATATTATGACATATAAACCATAAATAAACCATAAATTAACCATGATTAACCCGTCATAACCGTGATATCCCAATTCTTGTTGTTGCACTCCTCATTTTTGGGCTGAATCCCCCGCCATGGCGGCCATGCCTCCAGGGACGACCGGGCGGCTTTGTGCTCTTTCGCCGCTTGGCTGGCCACCATGGCCGAGTCATTGCAACGGGGGGACCGTCCGCGTCCTGTTGAACTGGGTGGCCCAAGATTACGGTAAAGCAATGGATGGTATTTCGATGTATTTCGGAGTTCAAAGACAATGACTATAATTATAATAGTATGATTCTGCCTGGTGAGCATTGTGGGTAGAATCATATCTCCATTTATATCAAACTAAGCTACTCAACCCAAGGTTTGCCTGGGAGTCAGACATTCAGAAGTGGTGAGTTTATCACATGGCTATGGTGGTTCTGGGTCAACCTGGTACCCTTGAAAGCGAGAAATATGGCTGGTAGTTGTGGATGTTCATCCGCCCCGCGGGAAGACATACATACATGCACGAAATCAATATATTATTAATGACCCATTCCGAACTATGAAACATCTTTCAAGAATGAAATGATAATCCTCTTCTGCTGGTCAGGGACCAGTTGGGTATTTCCGTTCATAGCGTGCGCTTCCGAGCAGAACTACTGGCTGTGCTTGGTGCTCAATCAGAGTTTTGCTCTGTATTTCCAGCCTCAAGGGCTTGAATGAGGAAAGGCAGAAAAAAAACATGTCTTCAACTGTTGAGCAATGTCCAGAAACATACATATCCTGGTTTGACAGCTTGCTTCATGGCCCTATCATGAATTAGAATGTGCGTGAATATGTTATACCTAATAATAAGACTTATAAGTGTCATGGTTCACATTGAACCAAGACCTCTTTGTGGGCTCACAGTCTCATACCCAAACACATGTATAGTAGGCTAGGCTTCAAAATTTGAAGCTGAAAAAACAGTCATGGACATCATGAGAACTTCATGCAGCTGTTTCATCCTTTTTCAGCTCTCCACCTGGAAACTTTGGGCATTTGGTACTACCGAAGTTGGGACTGGACTGATCCTCTCATTGAGCTGAATGAAGTGCAAACCTCGGCCCGCCAAGTTTGTCATTTGGGAATGAGTCAAAAGCCTGGTACTTTGGTGAACCTCAATTCAATGGGAATTTCAGGATCCTTAAATGGAGGTACTGTACCATATAGGGCATTCTAAGGCCATATTTGGGGGGATATTCCCTTACATAGGCCTTATATATGGTAGGTACCACTAATTTAGGTTCCTGAAATGGCCATTGATCAATGGATCTTCATCCACACCAACTATGATAGGTTTTGACCCATGGACCCATGGCCATTTGGGTCCGGGGGTCCGGAATGGCACAGGACTGTGAGTTCCAACACTGCGAACCAAGCTGTGGCTCACTACCTCTGGGCAAACACTGCATCTTTGATCGACATCCAGCTACCAGCTATTTTCGTCCAACATGAAATCGGTTCGAGGGAAAATCAGCAGAAAAATCCCTGGTTTTCCCTACTTTGGGGGTGCAGTTGCGATTATTAATGGGTATAACTTACCATGCTACCAATCAGCACAAATTGGGTTTTCTGAGCTCTTTTTTACTATGGTTCTACATCCACATTTTTCCTGGGATTGCACCCCCAAAGTAGTCAAGTGTCACCAACATTCACCAACTATCAACTGTTTCAAGTAACATGTCATAGCCAACTGGTGGTGGTGACCAGGTCCCATCTCCACAGCTTCCTCTGAGGCCGAGCACGGCAAGCCAAAACAGCTGGGATCGCTTCTCGACTGGTGCACCTCGAGTCATGGAAAAGTCTGCGCTGCGAAAACGGTCATTTGTATATTATATTAAGCGACTATTTATTAATGATACTAACATATATATATATTATCTATATATAGTTCTACTATTATCTATTATAATTTGATAATATTTAATATATATATATAGGCGTCATTCACTTGCAATGATACTAATCTACATGTAACATGTATATGATCCAGTGTCTCATGTTCACTGCATACGTATATACACACCAATGTATATATACATATATGCATACTACATATACATACTACATACTACCTTACTACATACTACATACTACATACTACGTACTACATACTACATGCTACATGCTACATGCTACATACTACATATACATATACATATACATAAACAGATACATATACATAAACAGATACATATACATATACATAAACATATACATAAACAAATACATATACATAAACAAATACATATACATATATATATAATGTACATACATATAGATATATAATGTACTGTACATGCATATAGATACACACATAATTGTATACTCTTGTATTGTATATATCATATATCCATATAGCAGAGGGACCATCACCATCTCGGCGGGGGGGGGACCACCAGACACTGGGCTCATACTCTTTCATATCGTTTGCACCTTGACTTAGATCATTCACCAGCATTTCCAACTTCCTGGATGCCATGCATGAAAAATAATGAGGACTAGAACTCATCCAAAGCTGGAAAATTAGGTGACTTTACCAACAAGACAAGAAATTCAACCTGTGCAATTCGCATGTGGAGCCCCAAAATTTCTGCAAACTCATGCTCTGTCTTAGTCATTTAACCCGGCTCCTCGTGTTTTGCGTCCAAACAAATGCACCCCATGTTCAGCCAGGTGTGATCTACCTTCTGATGTTCCCCCATTAGTTTTAGCTTCCATGGTTAGCTTCTCCGTGCGGCACGTTGCGATAAAGACCAGGATTGGAGAACAGAATTGGTCCAGCCTCAGCCAGGCATCGGCATACTGGGCTCAAAGCTCCACCAGTAACTGGTTGTTGGTTTCAACCTACCCCTCTGAAAAATGATGGAGTTCGTCAGTTGGGATGATTATTCCCAACATATGGAAAAATAAAGAATGTTCCAAACCACCAACCAGGTAATTAATTGTTTACCTTATGAACCACAATTAATATCAATTGATAGGCCCTTTGCCATCCTTTACCCACTTTTTCTTGGCAAAACAAGGTCGGGTCTGTGGATTCCGCTGAGGATCCAGCATATGCACCAGCTCTGCCAAGAGATCGGACACGCCGTGGTTCTCACTGCCTTCCTGGTAGGAGCTCCGGCTCGTTTCCGAACGCAGGGGGATGGTTGCCACTCGATGGCTGGGGGCCAAGGCAACCATCTCAAAAGGCTAGACAAGGCCATACAATTTGGGTAGAAAAGATGTGGGTGTCTAAAATGACAAAATTCCCTCGCATATGAAATGTTTAATTGGAAAAACAGGAAAATATGATGATGCATCAAAGTTTGGGGGTACCAAATGTTCAGACAAACCGCTTTACCATCAATCATTGGAACTTCAACCAGCAATAGTTCATCCATACTACTGTACATTGTTACGAAAACGGGCAACAGCAAAACCAGCAACTATAAACGGAAAAAGTGTTATCGATAATGCAGAAGACAATAACATGGCTTGGGCAATCGAGCAAAGCCTGAAAGTACCACCCAGTCACTTTTTGGTAGATGTTGTCCCTTTTCTCGGTCTCTTGGGACAACACCAACAACCAACAATGCTTGACACCACAAATGCATTGACGACCTCATCCTTCAGATCCAATAACCACTTGGACATCTTTCATCTAGGGTACTTGTAGGTCTGAAAAGCTGGCAAAGTCATTACAGTCTACAACCCCATTTCGCATCCCATTGGTAGTACGTACCCCCAAGGCACGCCCCCCCCTGTGAGATTTCAAGGGGGTAATCTCCAGCAATCCTAACCGCGGATTCTCCAGCTTGCCATGTGCCATTTCAAGGGGTTGTATCATGCCTCCCAGATTTCTTGTGATGAAAAAATATGAAAAACCTACAGCAAAACCTTCAATTTGGATGGTCCCAAGAATCTATACGTCCTTTTCAAAAGGGAAGTTTACCTCTGGGAAAAAAGTAAGGCAGTCAATGTCAGTTAATGTCATTCCTCAAAGCCAGCCCCATCCCATGCCTGCCCTCGGAAGAGTTCATCAGCATCATCTAAGGTCACGCAGGAGGGCTGTAACAGCTGCGCACGCTCAAAGTGCCTGGCTCCGGATGGGTTTTTGATGACAGGAGGGAGGAGGAACCTTCAAACTTCATTGGCCAAGCTTAAATGCCTTGCATCTCTTTGGGACTTGGATGATGGTGAGTCAATATCCCCAAGATTGAAGATTCATAGAAAAAGGTTTAAGTATGTTTAAGTACTAAGGTAACCATAAATCTCGGAATGTGTCATTGCCATCTTAGGTTAATGGATGATTTACATGGATTAACTCCATTTTTTACAGAGGGGATCGATGATGTCAATTCGCTGGCTTACAGGAAAAACCACTACCCATCTTGAGGTTCCGTGAAACAGTGAAACAATTGTTGTGGGTTGAGTCCTAGTATATTCTGACAATTTATTGGTTGATACCCATGCTTCACCACCTTGACTCGTCCTACCCGTATGTTGCTTAGTGATATCACATTGACATGTTGCACGCTAAATCTACGTCATATTCAGCTCGTCATATAAATCCCTGTCTTGGAATCATATGTGTATGAGTATACATACATTACATATATATATATATATATACGTATAGTTTGTTTTACATATATATATATATGTATATGTATTTATTTATTTGTGTGAGTATTGAACATATGTGCATATATGTCTATGTATGTATATATATATAGTCTATATATGTGTATATGTGTATATGTATATATGTATATATGTATATGTATATGTATATGTATATCTATATCTATATGTATATGAATATGTATATGTATATATGTATATACATTGTGTATGTGTATATATATAATATAATATATATATATATACATATTATTATATATGGTATCCATCTTTGGGATTCTTAAATCCCACAATTTCATTGTGGATTCCCCCTTCTCAGATCGCCTTCGCACTGCCAGGTGGGTGTCTCCAATCCCAGCATTGATCAAGGCCGGAATGGACATCTGCAGCACCTTCGGCCCAGGATTCAGCAGCCCTCCGGGTCCAAAAATTGTGGGTTCGTTGGCTGAAAAAAAAAGAAAAACATTGCTGGGAAGAAGCAAACTTTGACAAATTGCCACCAAAAAATAGGAGTTCAATCTCATGGTGACCCTTGGCTCTCTTAGCTATCAGGAAATGGACCCGGTTCACCTCCAAACTTCATGGCCTTCATGGGCAAAGTCTTCAAGGCTGCCAGGAACGTGGACTTGCCGGACCCTGAAGGACCTCGATCTTGCCACACTGGCCGTTTCGGCAAGGCACCCCGTTGCAGCCCTTAGTGACTTGAGCTCAGGACCCACCAGTGCGATGGCATAGGGCAAGGCCTTGCCTTGACAAATGGGGTGAACCAACTACCCACAGGGGACGAAGCAGGACCTACGACCTGGGAGTTGATTGGGATTAGAATTCATTGTTTCAAGGCTTGGTAAAATCCCATTTGCGAGAATGTAGTGGCCCATCCTTGTAAGACAATCTTCAACGGTAGCAAGATTATCAATTCGTTTGATCAAGAAGACTTCCAAGTATGGTCCTCTTGCGATTTACCCCAAGGTGAATCCTTCAAGTAAGTCTCGAAAATTGTTTGTTGATCTGAAACCAAATGTTCTTCATGGTGAGAGTCCTGATTGCTGGGTACAAATAGACAAGATCACGTTGCCAAATCTGAAAGTGTCGCTTCGAAGGAGGGTTCTCAAGAATGAACATGGGAGGCAGTGAAACTCCAAAATAAAAAATCTACTCTGGTCGGATCAATGTTGGGTCTATCCCAAAAAAACAAAGGATGTCCCAAGCCCACTGGCTTCCTGGATTTCCAGCACACCCCCATTTCTGGAGATATGCAACTGTCAGCATGCAATTGGTGTTGCTGATTTGATACCATACCCATTACCATACCCATCCATACCCTATCCTATCTCAAGCAATTTAGGGTCCATGGATACCGGTAGGTAATTATTCAGTTTCTGTGCCCATCACATCAACTATTAGGAAATAGTAAAATGACATATTTGAAGGTGGCTGTCTATTACTGTTTGGTTATCCGTTTACTATTACATGGGGTGTCTGACTAACCTCCAACACCCCGTTTGGAAACTTAAATCTTGAGCGGGGCATCCACCCATCACCGGCCTGGCTTTGAGGCAAGGATGTCTTCGAGCCATTCCTGGCCACATGTGGGACCCATCGGGGTCCATCCATTCAACCCTCCATGGGGACAACTAAACCAAAGAAATCAGGAAGCTCGGCCACCAAAACTGATGTTTTTCTTTGGGTATATCCCAAGTTTGCTTGCCCAAAATCAAAGGCGTGATATTCTAGCATGGTCAATCCTGAGCCCGCTCCCCCTTCCACACAAATCCAGGCGCCTTGACTTCAGAACAGCTGGTCACTCTTGTCAGAGCCTACCAACCCAGTTTTGCGTTATGATGTCGGCGCAGGCCCAAATGGATCAAACTGGTACCTATCAAAAAATGGATCAAACTTGAAGCAACCAGAAGGATCAGAAGGTAATTGTAAGTAATAGGTAATCCCCAAAACATTGAATCATGGGTCGCGACTTTCAAAAACTGAGGAATTTTTGTGAGTCGCCAGTCCTGGGGTTCCAAAATTGCCACTGCCACTTCCTGGCCTCCCTATGGCAAGGTAACCTCAGGTGGGTCGTAGACTTCGGGCCCCAACCTTCAAAATTGGTCCCTTGGATCCAGGTAGTAATGCTTCCTTCTTGAAAGGACAAATCACGCCCCCAGTCATCATACCCCAGTCATACTTCCTCACAATGTAGTGCTGGATCCATAGGGTAATTCCTGTTTCATCACCAGGTTCTAGTCTTGCAAGGCTGTGGGTTTTCAATGTTCCAGACCCGAAGCCTGGAGCCACAGATTCATGGGCCCATCATGGCTGAGCTGTGGACTGCCTGTAACCCATGGTCGCCTTAGGGAAGTGCAGCAAAAGTGCCATATTCTTCGGGCCAAAGGTTGACGTGGCTATGCATCCATCTTTTAAAGATTGATTTGATAGATATATAATATAATAGTTGTATATACAATAATATATCTCATACAATACATATGTATACATATGTAATCAATTGTGTTTATGTGTATATATATATATACATATATACACACTGTTGAATTCTGACCACATACCCGTGTTTTCAATGCCGGTGAGTAAGCTTGCTAGTCAATGGAGCGTGCACTTCATCAACAATGGTCAGAGGCGGTCTACTGTAGGCTACACATCTCACCCCAGAACAGCCAGGAATCATAGGGTGCCCCAAATTGGATGGTTGATCTACGATCATTTTTCCTGAGATTCCCCCAATTTTCGGTGTTTTGATTCCCCCACTTTTCGGACCCAGACATCATTGGTTACATCAATCCGCTATCCCCATGAAATGGTCCATGTTTGCCCTAAAAAATATAAGGGCTTTGTTGGTACACCATGATCTCCACGAAAACCGGCACAAAACGTTCACACCCAAGCTCCATGGATCCCAGATGATATTGGAAAATCCCAGCATTTCTCCATTTACTTCGATGATTGTCCCAAAACCTCCGTTTCGTTCGAGGATTTCCCGACAGCGGAGGGTGCTGATCCCACCTGGCTGAGGTCAAATTCCAATGGAATCATCTCATCAAAGGCCTTGGTTCTTCGGGTGATTTGAAAATGGCCATGTTGAATGGGAAAAATCGAGGAAAATGGTAAACACGTAGGGAAACTATGGGAAAAGTTAGGGGTGCCCCATTTTCACAAGAATATGCTCCATGTATGGTTCTAGACATATACCATACATGGAGCATATGGGCTTAGATACAATCCACAGATCATTGTCACTTCGTTTAAATCCCGTTTTCGTGGGATATGAACTACCCATCAAAATGTCATCCATTGATCAACGATTCACGAACGCTATGGGCCAATTCACCCTGGTACCTGGTAGTTCACCCCAGCTGGTTGTTATGAATTTTCACCCCCCAAGACATTGAAACCAGGCTGATTCAATGGATGTTGCCCCCATTTACCACCAATCTACTGAACAGAAATGACCCATCACAATTCCATGGTTGATCATAAGGTGTCCTATCAAAAAAATATGGCATCCACCCCACATGGAAGTAGTTGCCCCTTGGGTTTCCTTTTCAAGCCCAAACTCCCTTGGTTTATCATCATGTTCCCCGCTGAAACAGCTAGAAATGCAGTGTAATTAGACCCCAGTATCAGACATAGCCATATCATCTCAAGTTACTGGTTATAAAATTCCCATTATAAATTCCCGTTATATGTGTCATATATTGTCATATAATTCCATACAATTCCCATTTGAAATTCCCATACCATCTCAAGTTGCATGTAAATCTATGAATCCCCAAGGTATTTCCACGATATCCCCATCATATCCCCCATGTCAAATTTCATCCCGGCCTCCCGCCGCGCTGAGCTTCGCGGCATGGTCCCAGGCTTTCGAGGGAGCGGAGAGAACGGAGATGAAGGCCGGCCCGTCTGGCCCGAAACCAAGTGGGGATACGCTGGGGTCGTGGCCATGGCCATGGCCATGGGGAATCACACCACAAAAAGACAAATGGTGAACAATCAACAAATGGATGAAGCATATAATGGGGCTAGATATGTGGTTTAATGTAAGGCTAACCCCAAAAAATAAGTGATGAACAAAAAAGGGGAATCCGGTGAGATGGGCGTAGCAATGCTACTTATCCGGTTTAAGGGAGGAAGATTGAATAGTCTTGAGTCTTGAGCCATTCCCAATTTTGCACGTATCTTGTGGTAAACCAGACTTCCTTCCATTTGGTAGATGTTTTGTAGGTGGAGCCCCCAATCTGACACACGATTATGCTCTGCTTGCCCTTGCAGTGGCAAGTGGAAGCCTCTCCTGATCCTAATTTTCTTCCACTCGTACCGATGTCCCAAAAACGATAGACGAGTTGAAAATCTTCAAATTACGAAGCAAACATAGGTAATGTCTGGAAATGGTGTATATCTCCAAATGGTACTTTAAATGAGGATAATGAATGAGAAACCACCGGTACTTGTCATCTCTTGTATCAACCATCCCATGTTTCGGGTGCCCAGGTTTCCTCGAAATGAATTAAACATAAAATTTGGAGGAAACCTAAAAACATCCGAACCCGCATATATATGTCTGTATGTATGTATGTATGTATGTATGTATATATATATACATTAGCATATGTGTGTATCATTGTATATCTAATTTACTTATCTATCTATATGCATATATGTGTGCTGGTTAAGCAAGAGTTTCCTTGTGATTCCCACGCACCGGTTTTTCAGACCCCGCTCTAATCAACTGCGGCCTGGGCCGGTTGTTCTCCATCCACCTCAGTGAAGTCACGGTCACGTGCTAGTCACGGGGCTTCCCGTGGTTCCACTGGATTGGTCTAAGGGAAATGGTGGAAACCCCCATATGTTGCTATGAAAATGCTGGTTCCCTGCAAATTGCCCCTGAAAAATTCCGGGATCAATGGATGATTCCATCGAAATTTTGCGAAGCGCCAACATTCGCCACTCATGAAATGGTAGACATGGCATTGGTTGATATTGGTGGATCATCTCCATGAAACCACCAGCTACGTTGGTGGTATACCCTCTATATTTTCTGACACTCCCCATCTTGATCTTCAAAAACAGAAACCCTGGTGTCCTTTCTTTTTTCAGCCCCTGCTGATTGCAAACTCAGAACCTCTTTGAGGTTCCGATTCGACTTGCTTGTCAAGCAATCCTTGGCAAGGGGGGGTGTCAATTGATCCGATGGGTTTAAACACATCCGGTAGCACTTATCTATGTGTTCCTTCATGTGCAAATGCAAATCACTCCATCCAGCATCAGCCATGCCCCGTGGTGCTTTCCATCCCCCACTGAGTTCCAGGCTCACACGCCTGCGCTGTTTTAAGGCTCTGGACCCGCATCTCATGGTGAATATCATCGAAAATTTGTGCGAAAAAGCAGGAGAAGCATCTACAAATGGAACTGACTTGGGGGTTATCATCATTATCCTATGCTATAATGATCTACATTTGAAATTGCCAAAAGGTGGGTATGTATCCCCAATTTTAAGAGAATCCAAGGTTTTTGAGTACAGCCAAGATGGATACCTAATCCTCTGCCTTGAAGTGGGTGTCCCAAAAAACGATGGCATTTTTTGTCCTAATGCCTGTAGAAAAGTTTAGTATTACCTAATGGATTTGAGGGCTGTCCAATGTTCATATCCAGTGGGTGTGTCCTAAGATTCTGGACCCAAAACTTTCCGCCGGATTCTCTTCCCAAAGGGGCGTTCTTCCCTCGCAATAGTAAACCTGCCTGAGAGGAGAATATTAATGTGTATTGTAATTGTCATCATTTATTGCTACTATTAATGTAGGGATGCCAATTCAGTGTCGTTGTGATTATGGTTTATAATTAGTGGATGCTTGGGTCCTTCCTGTGCACACTCGGCCTTGGCATCTGCCGCTGATGGCCGACTGGCCCCACAGGCGTCGCACGTCTGGGCGCTGGCCGCGTTGTCCAGTGTGCATCCTTGGAACAGTGGAGCGGTTCTTTGCAAAATTAACTGGGGATTAATGATGACTGAAAATGGGGATCTATGTAATGAGATATTGATGGTGATATATGGCATTTAATATATTATATCACTAAGCATGCAACTTGATATGATATGTGGATGTGTTTGACTGTTTGACAATGGAGTATACCTTCAAATCACATGTTTATTCAGGAAAACTATGATAAGTAATGGAAAAATCATCAAGTTTGGCTACTCCATCTCCAGATAAAGAATCGTTCCAACTGCATACATACAGGTAAGTAAGTGGGTATGTAGGTATGCACCACGGTAGAAAGAAAAGTGGGGGTTCAACCAGCATATTTGGATGTGTTTGGATGTTTCTTTGGCCAAATTGAAAGGCTCTCATCCCCTCTCTCTGTCTTTTGAGAGAACAGATGAAAATCGACAACTCACGGAGCCATACCTCGAATTCTTCGTCACAGCCCCATTGAAAAAGCATCATGTTACATCCCCATGTTGCATCAGTTTGTATATGTTTGCTATATGTTGCCATGCTTTCCTTGGTGATATCTCCCAATTTCACGCCATCCCGAACCCAAAGCCATCGATTCGTCGAACGTCGGCCGCAAGTCCACTTGCCCGCCGCCGGTCGTTCAGGTGCTGGTGCGGGCGCGCCATGCGTGGCATACCTGGGACTGGTGGCGATAAGTCAAGACCCAGCCGAGGTCTGTTGCTTACAGTTTTTTCCACTGGTGGCTTAATGGATGTTCATGATTGTTGATTCCCCTAAATATCATCATAATAGATGTTATCCCATCCCATTTATCAATCAAAAAAAAAACATCAATTTTTGGATCGAATTTCTTTAAACGGTTCCCCGAAGCGATAAAACAAAACAATACTGGGAAAATTAAGCCATCTACTATGATGAAGGAAGTAGGAAAAATGTGTGGGTAATGTCAGGACGGGATATCAATGGCTATCCGAGATGGGTAAATGGGGTAAATGGGGATGGCTTATTATTGGGCTCACCAAATTCAAAATGTGGGAGCCCCCTTCGTACAGGTTTCTCTCAATGTGGGGATCCCCCGCAGCCAATGAAACATTGGGAGTTACTTCAGGTGGTTGTTCCCTTTGTGGTCCAAAGATGAGGTCACCTGCTGATATGGTGGGTGAAATTCAGGATGTTTACTCAGAAGATATCCAAACATATCCAGCCAAAGTACCAAAAAACATCTAAAAGTATCTGTGGTTTGCCCCAAATATGTGTATATATAAATATACACATGTGTATGTATATATATACAATATATTTAAATATATTAATAATTTATTTATTTTCATATATTTATTGAAATATCCATCCCATCCCCTTCTCCAAGTCACCCAGCACCACAGGCGTCGCACTCCACCGATCCTCAAACTTTCGTCGTGGCAGCGAACGAGAAAAACACGGGGGCAATATGGGGGTATAACGAACAATAATGGATAGTTAATGGATCATTAATGAATAGTTAATAAATCATTTATAGTGAATGGATATAGTTTTCATGGACAATCAATGGATCTTTGAAGATTTACCCCTTGTTCCTTCGATGGAACATACAACATCATTAAAAAAAACAGTTTCAATAGGTAAATCATCGAACTAAATGTCCAATATCTGTCGCCTTTAGGGATACGTTTAACCGCAGAACGTCAAGTTTCAGGGATAACATGGAGTAACCCCCCTGGGTCCACGTCTCCAGTCTCAATGACTCAACATCTGTTTAGCAAACTGATGATTTGGCTGTCAAAAGATGTGGGATCTCGATTTTTTTAGTCATCTCCCCTTAAATGTGTCTTGCTGTCAGTAGTTTTCTCATGGATATCCCAAAAATTCGCGAATATCCCCAATGGGTACATTGCCTAACCTTAAAAATGATAAATCACGAAACAGTCTTTCCCACACCTTTGTAGGCATCAACACTCACCATTGCATAATTGTTTCGGGCACTGCGTTCACTGGGCAAAACATGGTCCTATGGTGCAGTCCCAGTTCGAAGTATGTAGATTGTAAAAACCATATATATCTGGTGTTATCCCAAATCATGGTGGTTAGCATTGTGGTTATACCATGTTATACCCATCAAACATCACCCCAACTGGGAAGGAATCCCCCTTGCTGACCAGGCACCAGCCGCGTTGACCAATGTGCAGCGGCGACACTGCCATCCACCGGATGCGCCTCTCGCGGCGCGCGCAGGACGCGCTGGGGGTGGACGGGAAGGCGTCGAAGTGCAGCCATGTGCCTAGGCAACTTGGAGAAGGAGGTCATGACCACTGATTATTATTATTGTTATTATCATTATTTTTATTTCTATTATTATTACTATTATTATTACTATGATTATTACTATTATTATTACTATTATTATTACTATTATTATTACTAGTATTATTACTAGTATTATTACTATTATTATTACTATTACTATTATACATACATACATACATACATACATACATACATACATACATACATTACATTACATTACATTACATTACATTACATTACATTACATTACATTACATACATACATACATACATGGGTGTGTCTTTAAGCAGACTGCCCAAAAATCTAAAACCAGTTCTTCCCATCAAAATTGCAATTTTTGGGGTACCAGGATCAATGGGGACCCCAGGACCACATCAGCTGGTTAGTAAAAGGGCTCAATGAGACCATTACTACCCATATCTCTATGTGTGTTGATTGCATAAAGGTACATCCCTAGTTTTGATGTTGAGGTTCCCATTTTGGTGAACACGGATGAATGCATCTCCCCATCATACAACCAGCAACGAACCGCACGTCTAAGTGTGCCATACTTGGATGTGCATCCCTGAACCTTACGTAGTTTATAAGCATGTTATATTGATATGATTATATAACGATTATAGATTATAACACATCTCAATTAGTAAGTGGTTAATAACACTCATACCGATATTGCATTGCAACTATAACCCAGTTGTATATAGGATATACAGCAGTATACCCCTGTCAAAAAAATGGTTTGAAAGTCACTGACGACAGCTGCGTCAAGGTTCGTCTTCGAAACGGTGCTTGAGGCACACTTTCTGCTGACAACTGGAGCAAACCACCTGAGCAGCGGGCCAAAAAACCACCTGAACCACCTGAGCAATCCTCCATTTAGTTCAATGATGCTCAATGTTTTTCCCATTTCAACACCTCTATTTATCGAGGATTTCCCATCAAAACTACAGCCAAAATGACCATAAACCCGAGTTGATCTAGTTGCAAACCAACTTCTCTAACCATGGTATTTTTATCATGTACAGTTGATTTTCCCATTAAACCCATCATTTCGTTCAGGGATTTCCCAGCTGGTTTTGTTTTTTTAGGACACCGGGTAACGGAGGGGAACTGAGATCCCTGCACTATTGCTCATGGTCAACAGTTCCTTGCATCCTTTCACCGGACATCTGGCCTGGCAGCCAAGGAGCCTCAACGGCCACCCTTCAAGCTGGCACAAAAATGAAATTCCGAGTAGTTGTGATCTAGTTGGGGAAATTGGATATTTGTGCATCCAAGCACTTCATATCCGGGTGATTAAATTCCAAACTTTCATATACAGTTTCTCGTAGACATTGCGAAAAGTATGACCTTCAATGAGTAATTCTTTTGGATGAATTTGGCGTCCAAAACTTAAGCCATGGAAACCATCCGTTCCTTCAGGTGCCTTTTTCTCCCGACTCTCGGACCCCGCAGGATTGGTGCAGCCATCCAAAGTGTGTCCTCAGCCCAAAACAGCCAAGTTAGCTGGAGCAGACTTGGGGCATTGGCATCATCCAGCTACAGTACTCGAAGATGCCTGGGAAACCTGGGAATTATGGGGAAAACATCATCGAACTACGTCCTGGAAATACGTTTCGCATCTTTTTCGGCGCTACTATACTGAGCTACCAGGCTTTTGACCCCCAGATGGGGTCTGATGGCCCTCAGTCTCCCATCTATATAAGTGGTTTCCACACGCGGATGTGCACCATGAAACAGGAATCCTGCCGTCCATGATGAATACTTATCGAAGGAAGTTTAGAAGTAAAACTTCCGACAATATGGACAGATGGAAAAGCAGAGGTGGGAAGAGTCTGAAAGGAGAAGAGCACAAGAGAGAAAGGGTGAAAAGAAAGAAGATGCAGGCGCGCGAAAAGGTTGGAAAATCGCGAAACACTATGTTTTTCCACTGATTTGTGGCTCCGGAGGGTCGAAAAGTAGGCTCGCTAAAGCGGCGGGTGCGGAGCCATCTGGCCAGATGAGAGATGAAGCACATTTCGAAGTCAAAAGTGTAAAAAAAACTGACAGTCTCAGACCACTTTTGCAAGTCGAGCTGTCAAAAAAGTGCACGCCGTTGTGGTGCGAAGCACATTTCCAAGCCAAAATGTACAAAACACACCATTCTCGAAGTTGACATGTCGAAAAAGTGCACGACCTTGTGGCGCGAAGCACATTTCGAAGTGTAAAAAACTGACGGGTTCGGAGCACTTTTGCAAGTCGAGCTGTCAAAAAAGTGCACGCCGTTGTGGCGCGAAGCACATTTTCAAGTCAAAATGTACAAAACACATCATTCTTGGACCGCTTCTGGAAGTTGACATGTAGAAAAAGTGCACGACCTTGTGGCGCGAAGCACATTTCGAAGTCAAAAGTGTAAAAAACTGACGGGTTCGGAGCACATTTGGACGTTTAGATGTTGTTTTGCGTGGCAGGCGCAAGGGATTCTGCATGTTGTCAACAGTGAGTAAAACCTGAGGGTTTTGTGGCAGTTTCAACTACAACCACCACTACACTACATTCCACTACACAACAACTACAACTGCGACTACAACTACAACTACAACTACAACTACAACTGCGCTACATTACACTACACTGCACTGCACTAACTACATTACACTACACTACACTCCACTACACTTCTCTACTGTACACTACACTACACTCAATTACCCTACACTAACTACAACTACGAGTACCACTACAACTACACTACATTACACTGCACTACACTACACTACACTAATTACACTACACTACGCTACACTACACTACTCTACACTACACTACACTAATTGCATTGCACTACACTACACTAAACTACCCTACACTCCACCGATTACACTACACTACAACTACAACTACAACTGCAACTACAACTACAACTACATTACACTACACTACACTACACCAGTTGCGTTAGACGACACCAATTACACTAGACTAGGCTAGACTACGCTACACTACATTACACTAGCTACCACCACAACTACAACTACACTGCACGAAGCTAATTACGTTACACTACACTACGCTACACTACACTAAACTACCCTACACTCCACTACATTACACTACACTCCACTACACTACACTACACCCGATTACACTACCACTACAACTACAACTACAGTTACAACTACAGCTACGACTGCAACTACAACTACAACTACACTACATTACACTGCACTACACTAATTACACTACACTACACCACACCACACTTCACTAACTACAACTACAGCTACAACTACGCTACTTTACACTACACTACACTAGACTAGGCTACACTACACTACATTACACTAACTACAACTACAGCTACAACTACAGCTACGCTACTTTACACTACACTAGACTACACTACACTACTCTACGTTACATTACACTATACTCATTACACAACCACAAATGCAACTACACTACACTAATTACACTACACCACAACTACAACTCCGCTACAACTACAACTACAACTGCAGGTGCACTACACCGCACTACATCCAGCAGTTGTGGGTGAGGTGACCGACCAGGTGACCACTGCAACCATTGTAACCACTCCAAAAAGCACAACTCCAACCACCCTTCAGTCCATCAGTGGATTCGCTCTGCTATCCGTGATTCACAACAACCAGCCTCTCCTATAGGTTTCCTATTTTTGAAACTTCCGCCACTGCCTTGTGCGGTACTACTGGTACAGTATATATACATATATCTATCACATATGTATGTCGTACATCTATACATTCATGTACATGTAACGTCAGATCAGGTCACAACTAGTATATAATAATCCACAAATACAATCAAATACATATAATCATATATGGAGGTTTCCTAAAATGGGGGTACCCCCAAATCATCCGTTTTTGTTTGGGATTTTACATAAACCATCTAGCTATTGGGGTACCCCCATGACTATGGAAGCCCCCATATACCAAGCCAGTTTATCCATGTCGTCAATGACTCCGAGCCACGTTCCCAGGTGATGTTGAGATCTTCGCCTACTTCCAGGCGCACGCCCTTGTTGCACAGGGGACACACCAAGACGCGCTGGTCCAAGCCAGCAGCCAGGGGACCTGGGAGGGATGGGACCCGGGAGGGCGGAATTCATGGGAAAAATCCTGGGATTAGCCATCAAAACGCGGAATTCATGGGAAAACATGGGGATGTACCATGAAAAATGGAAGTTGACTGAGGAAAACAGCAGGAGTTACCATTCAAAAAATGAGGGTTCAATGGAAAACCTATGGGATAATTAGGCTAATCATGGACAAAATTGGCAGATTTTCTATGGCCAGGTGAAATTGTTAATTTACTGGAGGGTTAAGGAAATGAATAAATATATCATGATAAATCATGATGCATCAATCAATGAAGAGATGCATGTAGAGAACTCAATGGCCGATTTTCCGTAGCTATGTTAGTTTACTGCAGGGTAAATGGCATGCTCATCTCGGCAGACACACCGAGAAGGGTAAACGCCGTAAACGGTCATAGTGGGGTTTAACCCCACTGCACCAAATGGAAATCTAATAGTTTATATGATTTAGGCAGTGTGTCAAAACCTTGTACCCCTGTAGTTCACATCAAAATAGCTGGGATTTATGGATGTTCATCCCCCTAAAAATGGTATTAATAGGTATTGATCCATACCATTCCATACCCATATGATTTATATGTTTATGGCCATTGATATTTATCCATTGGATGGAATGGGGTTAACCAGTATCCAATGGAACCCATCATCACTTAATAGCTTATTCCATCCAATGGTTACCCTCTGGTAAACTAACATAGCAATTGAAAATGGCAATAGAAATAGTGGATTTTCCCATTAAAAATGGTGATGTTCCATGATTTTCCATTGCTATGTTAGTTCACAAGAGGGTAATCATCTTGTTCAATCACGTTCATATCTTCATACCTTTAATCGCCATCTACTGGAAAATTGATCCAACTTATCTTCAGACACCCCCATCCATTTTCATCATTATCCGGTCCATTGGTTAAATCCCCTGGTGTGATGAATAAATCACGATGTTTCATCAGTTTTCACCATGTTTGATGGCTAAATCGTGATTTTTCGCCATGTTTGATGCTTCCAATCCCCAATTGATGCGGGGCTATTCCAAGTCCGAGTCCCGTAAGGCTGTACAACTGGGGTTCCGAGCAGCTGTGTTTCTCGAAGCGGAAGTGATCCAAGCAAAACACTCCCTGACACTGGCCTCGAGGTGAGAAACATCGTGGGGGGATTTTTTGGTGGTTCTCCCACTGGGTACCCTCTGGTAATTTAACATAGCTATTGAAAATGACCATATATAGTGGATTTTCCCATTAAAAATTGTGATTTTCCATAGCTATGTTAAATTACCAGAGGGTACTAGTGGCTTAAGTAGGGCTATTTGACTCATGACTGGGGTAACATCTTACTAAGTTGGATGGACGGCCAAGTAATGTTGCGAAACCAGCCATTCTATGGTGACTGGGATGTAAATGGAGATAACCAACAACTAGTGAGTTCAAAAAGGGTGCATCCAAACAAAACAGAAAACTAAAAAAGGGAGTTGAACCATGAAAAACATGGCGTTAACTTATTTAACCAATGATTGATCATGACGATGGTGATGGTGATGGTGATGCTGATGATGATGATGATCATGATCATGATCATCATGATCATCATGATCATCATCATGATGATGATCATCATCATGATCATCATGATCATCATGATCATCATGATCATCATGATCATCATGATCATCATGATCATCATCATGATGATGATCATGATGATGGTGGTGGTGGTGGTGGTGGAGGAGGATAGTTGGGTTTGGCTGAAAATGATGGACTGACTCCACATTATGGCCATTTTCTGAACAGAAATGATCGGGAAAATGATGATCTACCAGTGGTGGTTGATGGACAAATTGGGGATTCACCAACGTTTTTTTCAAGGGAACTGGGCTATTTGGTGTGACAATACATTAAGCGATTCTGGGAATCCCCTGTCAACCCCAACCAGCACAACTGGATGACAGATGGTTTTGTGCAATGCTCGGCTGGAAGGATCTCTCGTCCAGCTACTTGGGTCATCATCCCAAGGATCGGAAGTCTGACGTCCACCAACTGGGGTAGTCCAAACAAACGTGTGGTTACAAAATATCACAATTCCCATCCCCTACATACTAGTAGACTTAGTAGACCCCAGAAAACCAGCTTTCGTTCTGGATTTGTTCATTTTTGGGATCCGGCGTGGAGTTATTGAATAAGGGGCAAATGAGTTTCTACAGCTCCCTGTAGATCCACTCCAAGCAGCTACATGTGAAGGGCAAAAAATCCAGGCGCGAGCATTCCTTGACGCCACAGTGTGCCCCGGTATTGCTCAGGACGGCCATCCCATTCCGAAAAACGTGAGCGGCTCGGATGGTTCTACAGCCGTGGGTGCCATGAATGGTTTGTGTGTGGTGTTTTAATGTGTTTGATTCACTGACTCTACATGCAAAAAACATCCACGATCTTGCTTGTTACGGGATGTGCCTGGTCCTCTTTTATTTCACATGTCACAAGAACATGGTGGCCCTGTACAGGCCGACCCGCTGGTGATAGAAGAAGAACCTCTCGTGTAGAGTTGTTTTTATCCCAGCTTCGGTCGCTACTGAAATAGAGATCGTTTCCGAAAAGGAAAAGATATGAAAAAACGACTCATGTTGCCTGTGTTCGTCATCTTCAAATCTGATCTTTCACCAGAGTTCCTTCAAGCAAAGAAGATGACAAAGATGCTGGCTTGGATGGTATCCTTTCAGCTGAGTCACTTGTCCGTGCTGTTCAAACATAGTGCATACCTCTAAAATCCAATGGTTTATAATCATTCTCCCTGTTCAAAATTGTCAGAAAATGGTGATAAAATATAGCATGTCCGGGCAAATCCCCTATTCCGTACTATGTTGCTACCCCATCATTGACGGACAATACAGTATGCCATGTTTGATTGTTGGATCATTGCAAAACCATTGTTGCTTCCCCACCACTGTCATTGCTAATGGATAAGATCTCAAGCTTTGATTGTTAAATCGCAGGAATCACCGTATGGAGATTTCCTGAAATGGCGGTACCCCAAAATCATCCAAATTAGGCCAGTTGAGTATTGAAACATTTGAAACAACCATGGTGAATATTGGTGAATAGGGATCCCCCATGACTTTAACCCATTGGTGATGTTGGTTTCAATCTCATGACCCAGGGATCCCCACATCTGGCCACCACTTGCCGCAACAGACCTCCCAATTTCGCGCAGCATCTCCATGTTTCTTCGGGCTTATGTCCCTCAAATGTGTCATCAAACATGATTGAAAAATCCTGTACAAATCGGATTTGGATGGGAAAAGGATTTTTCCAGCAAGCCATGTTTCATGAAACGAGAGGGGTATGCTCATCTTATGGCTTCTTCTATCAACCCAATGGACATGCCCAATGGACGACACCTGGAAAATCGCTCTTCCTTGGGTCTTCGGAGACAAACCTCGGTCTCTTTATCGAAGTTCTGGAATCCCGAAGAACCCGGAAGTCTCGGGATTGGGGTAATTTTGAGCAATGAGGGGTTAATCTATGGTTAATAATGGTTAATAATGGTTAATAATGGTTAATAATGGTTAATACTGGTTAATAATGGTTAATAATGGTTAATAATGGTTAATAATGGTTAGTAATGGTTAATGGGCTTGGAATTCTCAATGTTTCATGGAATGTGGGCTTGTCTTGCAGATTTGACCCACCGTATCTCAAATTGCGATGTTCTTGCTTTTTGAGGGGTCAATAGTTTTGAGATGTTTTGAGCGCTAGCCATCTCACGACAGTATTCCTGGCATTGTGCAGCAGTGTGGTTTACTCCAACATCCGGGATATACCGATAATATCCGATAATTATACCAAAAGAATAAAGAAAATGAAAGAAGTGTTGGTATTCAACCTCCAATTTGTGGCTTTTTTACTGGGAAATGTTATGGTATGGTAAACCTGGCTGATTTTTGGGGTACCCCATTCTTGGACAACCCCGTGTCTCCTTTGATGCTCTTCTGAGGTAGCTGCCACTCTGTCGGTCGAACAAGCACGATGACAACACCGTCCTTTGCCCACCGGAATTTCTCTGGAAAAAATGGGGTGTCGGTTTAGGATCTCGTGAGGTAAGCTTGGTAATTAGTACTGACAAACAAAAGAAAAGTCATCGTTTATTTCACAACATGACGAAACAAGCAAATTTCCCTGAGCTTCAGAGCAGCCACAGAAATGAGGGGGTCCTGAAAAAAAAATCGCCTGAGCCAATTAATTCCGGAACTACACCATGGGGGATGGTATTCTTTTCTGCCCATGATTTGAATCGATCGGCCAGTCCCTGGGCCAGGCCTGAGCACCCTCCGCTTCTGACAAAAGCCAGCGCCGCAATGAGGGCAGATCGCCACCCACCTGCAAGTTTCCAGGAGAAGGGAATCAGCCCAGGATTCATAGACCAGTTTACAAAGGTTTTGGAATCATTTGGGGAATTTTTATGTGTCCACTTCGGGGAAATATGTTCTTGGATGTCCTCCGTAATCCGAGGGGTCCCATATTTGTTGAAGATCGCTGTTTGAGGCTAACTCCGCCTAATTATCATCAACAGGCTTTACTAATTCGGAGCTGGCATTATGGGAAGAAACCATGGTACCCTTCTGTTACCATCCCAAAGAACCTTGCCGACATTGATGGGATGGTCATTATCCATCGCCATGTCAGCCGGCATTGATGGGATGCCACACCCGTCATTTTCTTCTGCATCAGAGAAGCACGTATCTTATCTTTGAATCGCTTTGAATAAAAAACAGTACCTTAAAATGTGATGGCTTATCATTGTTTCCCTATGACATTTTTGGAATTTGGGGTGTTTTTTTTACCCCCTTTCCCATTCCAAAGGCTCCGCTGGGAAGCTGAAACTCGTCACCAGTTGGAAATGTTGCTGTTCAACCGCAGCTATTCCCCCATGTGTGGCATCTATATGAGGATTCCCCCAGCAAAAAAAAACATGTAAAATCACACAGTACATACCTTTGAACAAGGTTTGTATGGAGGTCATTCGAAGATCAGATTTTCCATGAAACACAACATCCAGCTATTGGGGTACCCCATGACTTAGGAAACCTCCAAAGACACCCAGAAGAATCCGCTCAACTGCTCTGATGCCCAGCCTGCAGCAAGCTTGCGGCTGACAGAACAACCACCCGAACGCCTTCCGCCATGGCAACAATCCTCGACGCGTGCAGTCAAGGGGGAAGAACGGGAGGAACAAGCACCAAATGTTGTGGATTATAATGGGATTGTAGTGGTACTATAAATGGGATTGCAATGGAATTGTAGTGGGACCATACATGCGATTGAAATGGGATTATAAACTATAACATCGGTAATTGGGGATCTAGCCAACAAAGCTGGGGGATGAGCAGCAGCAAAAAGTCTTTTCCTAAGCCATGGCAGACTCCAAGTTATAATCCAGCTAGTTCGATGTGATAATCGTGTAACGCTCGTGGAAGGGGTTCACCACAAATTGTTGTGTATATACATTATACACAGAATACATCTCAGAATTATGATAAAACATGAGTATAATAATATTCATATACATATATATTTATATTATATTATATATTATATATTATATATCATATATTATATATATTATATATTATATTATATATAGATATATATTCTTACAAACACCAAAAATATCAAAAAACCGTGGGAATTTTGGGTTGTCACTGTTCAAACAACCCCCAAATCTTGCCCTATCTCCAGACGTGTGGCCATGAGATCGCTTCGGCAGTGTGGGGCCCAACCACCTATGGCCGGAGGGCAAGTGCCGTGCAAGTGGTCAGTTCAAAGGTAGACCCTGGTAAATCACCACTGGTAAATCAACTTGGACATGGAATGACATGGAAAACCTAGAAAAAATCAAACTGAAGAATGGTGAATCATGTACAAATGGCTCGCCATCTGGTATTTGCAGAGATTTGTCTAGGTGCAAGAATAGATCATATGATGACCGGTCGAAACCTAGCGACCAAAATCTTGGCGGGTATTTGAAATCGCAACATATCATCTAACCTCTGTCCGTCAAACCCGACACTATTCGTTCCATTTGCCAGTTCAGACGATTTCCAGACGGTATAGCTACTGCCCTTCAAATCCCATGTTCTTGAAGATCTTGAAGACATGTCCTTTTTTCTGGTTACCCTCTGGTAATTTAACGTAGCTATTGGAAATGGCCATTTATAGTGGATTTTCCCGTCAAAAATGGTGATTTTCAATAGCTATGTTAAATTACCAGAGGGTAATTCCCATAAAAAACAATTGTTTTAGTATTTTCCGGTGTGAAAAATAGGCTGCCCAACCAAACATGAATGTGGTTATTCTCCCCATTGAAATTACCATCAGATTTTGGACAAACCAACCTTTTGAGGCTTGAATGACCAAACCCTCCAATCCGCCAGTTCAACTGGATTCTACTGGAGAGATCCTCCATTTTTACCGAGCCGCCAGCGCCACGTTCTTCACTTTGACTCTTTGCTTACGGAAGACCTGCCATTGAGACTATTGGAGCTGGAAAACCAGCAAGCCATTGATCTCAAAGTGTTCCCCACTGGCCTTTTTTTGGGGGTTGGTGAATCTGATATAATATTAGATGTCAAGCATAATTTCTGAAGCAAAAGATGTCAAGGAACTTGAAAAATTTTCGGATCCCCGTGAGATGATCTGACTGAGATAGATGTAGGAATGAGAAACAATGACAAGGGGGAGAAACCTGGCTGGTTGGTTCATAGATGCGGAGATAGATGTGAGATGGATATGAGCGTTTGTAGGTATGATCTTAGGTTTCAACCCCAACGCCAAAAACATCCAAAAACCGTAGCCCAGCACCCGAGTTTACGGGGTAGAAGTATGAAGAAAAACCATTGCCCTAAGAAAGGTGGTTGTCGGTGGTTGTGTTTATAAGAATCAGTTGGTTGGTAGTTCACTCCCTACAATGCCTACAAAAACACGCAAGACAACTCTGATCTTCATTGAGAAAAGTATAAAATGATGTAAAATGAACATATATAACTCCTCATTTCGGGTTGTGGAGCAAGATCCTTCCATTGTAATTTGATGTACTTTGTGAAATTGGTTTCACCTCCTGTTTTCATCCGTTTAACAGCCGTTTCTCCCTGGCATAACCCCCAGTTTGGTTTGTTTGATTGGATTGTTGCCCAATGTTTACTCCATGTTTGACGGATTTGATGTTGTTTCCTCAATTCTCGCTGAACTGTTGTACAATCATTACATGATATATCATGATATTACATATCATGTTTTACGCATAGTTGCTTGGTTTGAAACCAACTTCTTCTTAGCCCCCATTTTTCATCCAATCTCCCAGCATATTTTTTTCCCCACCATTTTCCCTCCCAGTGTCGTGTCCTCCTCTAAGAGCTTCCGAACGTGCAGAGGAGGAGCTTTTCCCTCCACCTGAAAGCGGAGATGGCACCTGGGTCAATGGGTCAGGATTCATGCTGGATGTTACTGGTGTTTTTTCCCATTAAAACTGAGAAAGAAGATGTTGTAATCGAATCACCATGCGTCCTGCCATCATCCAAATAGAGGCTTTCAGGCAGTTGGCTCAGGGGCCATTGGGGTACCTGTCTGGACCCAATCTACGGTTTGGTGCGTGATGATATTGAAGCGGAATTGAAGCGTCAAAATAGGGCTGAAAATCTTTTGTTGCCCAAGAATCACGAAAACTTTCCGACAATCCGGGGAATTCTGGATTTGAAGCTTCAAGCATGGCCCAGCTAATTGCTAACCATCAATCCTATCTTCCATGGTCAAATCACTGTTGATTCATCCTGCCGTGGCATCCCCTGTACTGGCTGATCGATCTTCACGGTTTTGAGTTCCGCACTTTCTCCTGTGTATGCATTACGCATACTATCATACTGGTTGGTCAAGATTATAGCACCCCCCCAAACAAGAGATAGAAAAGCTCTAAACCTAGAAAATATGGAGGAAACATCATCTATCATCATCTATACATATCTATACCATCCTGGAAACACGTGTCTATCTTTTTGGGGATAGCTATAACCCCCAGTACGTTAATTTGAAAGTCCCTGTCCATGACAAGGGGATATAAGATGATACAAGGGGTACGTAATCCAAACAAATATTGCCAGTCGGATCATCTTGGTCTGCCATTTCATTGTCTCAAAATCTCTACCCCAAAAAAAATGCCTTAAGGTTTATGATCATGTTCTCAATGGGAAAAAAAGAAGGGAGACTCCAGCAAAATATCCCAAATATCCCGTCGCCCACCTTCCAACATGTCAGTTCCGTTGTGATTTTTTCGCCTTGGCTTGCCTGGCCAAATCGTCAGGAGAATGGAGGTCTGGGACAGGATGGAGGTCCAATCTGGGAAACACAGAACATGGCCATGTTCATGTCGAAAATATTACGGAAGATTCGGTGTTACCATAGGATGCTGGGTTCACCTCGATTTTCAGATGCTCCAGTTCCAACAGGTATATGCTGAGATCCCGATGGAAGATCCACGCAGCTGTGAGATGTGTTCCCCCTGACCTGACCTGTGCCATTTTGCCATGCGCACAGGGCAAACCAATCAGGACTTGGTGACCCTACTTAAAAACTGCTTGCTCGTTGGAAAAAAACAAGTGTCAATCAGAATCATCATTCATTTTTGGGATGGAATTCAAACTTATATCAAACCACCAACCAGTTTAGGACACGCATCAAAGTTGGTGCGATGTTTCAACATGTTGAAAAACTGTACCATCCATCCACAGCATCAATGTCTAGCGGCTAGCCCGGGCGGCATCAAACATGGCAATGGAATGCCCTGCTTCTAAATCCACTGACTATAATCGTCATTGTCCCGAAAAACTCGCAGAAGCTTCAGACTGCAGGAGATAGTGATGCGGAAACTAGCAAAACGCAAGCCCCTTTTTGCTCCTTTCAGTAGCTGCGACCAAATAAGCCCCACCTGCGCGAGGGGCGATGTCTTCTTGGCATTTAAGGACTTTAAGGACAACATCACAAGGTTCGAAGAGTCCGAGCAGCCCAAACATTCCGCGCACTTGCTCGATGAGCCAGAATGATGTGATTCTGTCTTGATGTGGCTATGATCAAGTCCCTGGTATGTGGCAGTGTGTCAAAACCTTGTACCCCTGGTGAACATCAAAATAGCTGGTAAATGGATGTTCATCCCCCTAAAAATGGTATTAATAGGTATTGATCCATACCCATGTTGGTGAATAATCAAAATAACAAAAAAACGATCTGCTAAACAAAGGTAAATGTTCATCCCCCATTCCGATGGTCCCATTGGTGGTATATGACCCACTCCCATGTCTGTTGCGGCTTGGCAAATCTCCCAGTTTGATTCGATTTTTAGATTTTCAACAACACCAAAACGGACGGTAAATGGATATCATATTCCCAGCCAATCTGGGCAAATTGTACTGGTTCAAAATGCCTAAAACTCTGCCTTTTGGCGGGCGCTCCAGTAAAGAAGCATTGGCTTCCAGCAAGCATCGGCTGGTCAGACCTCGGTCGTCGAAAACCTACTGTACATTACATGAAGGTTTCCATAAATGGAGATACCCCAATAGCTGGATGGTTTATAATGGAAAATCCTATTGAAATGGATGATTTCAACAAAAAACAAGTGGGCTTGATTGCCCCCGGACTGTGGCAGGTGATCGGAACCCCCAAAAAGATAGGAAAATCTATTCCCACTAAATCATGGCAGTGATAGACTACTTTTCTATCTTTTTGGGCAATAATGGGGTTTAACCAACACAGAAACAAACATCAACCCACAAAGGATAGAACCAGCTGCACCTCTGGTAATCCCCCTGAGCTGTAGGGCGGTATGCAAAGGCTCTTCATCGCACCAGTCTGCAGCGTTTTTTTTTGACGCAGCGGACACTTTCGGTGAATCTTTGGAGGTCAAAGAGTTCAGCTGAGGTCTGGGCCCATCCTTCAAAACACCCGTATTTGTTGCAAGGTAAAGCTGTACACATAGATGCAATAAAGGTGGTTGCCCGGACATATAGATGCAAATTTGAATACATATCCAACTATGTGTGTATATATATATATACGTAGATCCACGTGGAGAGATATCCAACTACTGTATAAATATATATATATATTATACACATAGATGACTGTGGTATACACAAATATACAGTATACATAGAGAGGGAGAGAGAGGAAAAAAAGGATAGATACAGGTTTGACTGAAATTTTCAGGTATCCCATGTATATCCATAGGTATCCCCAAATCAACATTAATCAACAGGTTTATCATGATTTTCCCCATACTGTAATGTGGTTAAAACAATGTCATAAACCATCCCCCAAGTCATCACAATTTTTATAGGTGGTATAAACTTAAACATGGTTACCATTCCCAGTCATGGGTGGTTTATGGCATTGTTTTCCCCATAAGCCTGACCATGTTGGGGCCATCTTCCACAGTGCCCTGTGCAGCGCACCAGTGCAGCGCCATCCTCCATGGCCTGAACGGAGTCGAACGGATGGAACGTGATGCCGATTTTTTGGTCACCCCCAAAATGATGATGTATTGGGAGATCATCATTATTATTGTCATTCTCTTGCTCTTATTATTATTATTATTATTATCAGTATTATTATTATTATGATCATTATTATTATTCGTATTATTATTATTATGATCATTATTATTATTCGTATTATTATTGTCATTATTTTTATTCTTATTATTATTAGCATTATTATCATTATCATTATTATTAGCATTATTATTATTGTTATGTGTATATATATATAATCAGGATGTGATTCATCGGCCGTCAATACATGGGAAAATATAACCAACCAATTTACGGGGACGGGGGATGAATGAGGTGTACAACCAACCTGAAGATTTGTGTGCGTCTGAAAAATGCGGCATACCACCCAAAATGGACATGTTAAGAGGAATATGTAGCAAAATTGAATATGATAGTGAAGCAAAGGATTTGGGATCACCCTCTGGTAGTTTAAGATAGCTATGAAAATCACAATTTCTAACAGCTAGATCCTCTGTAAACGGGCAATTTTCCAACGAAACACATGGAGAGGAAGGCCTTTTTTTTCGAGGACTCACCATCAAATAAACATGGCAGCAACTCGACAAATCCCATGTGAAAATAGCTATGTTTCATCACTGCAAGTCCTTCATCTCCAGTCCAAAAATGGCCAAGAATGCTCCACAATCCACCGGGGTTCCATGATTTTTCCGATGATGGCCATTTTAGGACCGTTTCAGTGCCCCTTGCGGGTCCCAGTCCGGTGCCTCTTTCGTCCGATGTTTGATTTGGATCTCGGACCTCCAAATAGTCGTGGCCGGGAAATCCTGGAGGTTACAGGAAATTCAGCTCTACAATTGGTGGATTTTCCACGTTGGATTACCGGTGACCCACCATGTTTCATCATGTTTCGGGGTGAATATTTCTCTGGGAGTTAGAAGGATTTGTTTGAAGATTAAGGGAATACCCCGAAATCCAATCATTTTCCCAAGGGTTCAATATCAAAATATTGGGGTATCCGCCTCATTCTTGGACAAACGCACAAAAGATCTCCCAGTAGAAGGGGCAGGTGACTGGATCACCAGTGAAGCAATGGGTTGAGATCTGGGGAAAGCACTCAGCAGTTTCACACCATGGAGCCAGGATCAGTTTCTTTTGCTTCAGCAAGGGCATCACCTGCGGAAAAACATCGATTCATGCATGACTCCAAGGTGTCTTGCAGCTTTGAAGTCCAAAACAATCAGTGAAAACTGCAAAACTGATTTGGATGTGGCTGCAACTGCAGATCCAATTCCACTGATACTTGGATTTGCTTAAGGAACTTCACATTTAAAAAAAAAAACATATCCCTACAGATTTCCCAAGTAGTGGATTTCCCCTTGGGAAAGTTAACATTTTTTAGACTCAGCAAATCCACTGAGACCGCTAGTCCCTTTGAAGGTGAAAATTCCAGCCTCGCTCCAGTGCGTCACCTGTTTGATGCCATCATCCCGCTCCTTGGTGGCCTTCCGCTTGCAGCTGTGCTCCCCACGAGGCTCCAAAAGGACTATTGGACCAAAAGAAAAGAATCCATTTATCTCCAATAGTCCATTAAAAAAAAAAAACATTTAGATAGGACTATTGTATGTTGAAGGTCACCCATCTATTAATCAAACATCTCTCAAGCAACGTGTCAAGCATGGAATTGTTCCATTCTTGAAGGCTTCGGGCCGGTCAAATCTCAGCTCATGCATTATGCTAATTTCCATGACAATATTTAGATCGTAATCACAAACATAGCTTAGAGTATGTTTAAAACATGTTAAAAACATCATTTCTGGGTAAACCTCAACCTGGTCTGACATGTATGCCTCAATATTGCCTCATTTACCAACGCTTAGAGTGCATTTCGCCCTTTTTTCATCGGCCATGGGCCACGGAAAATAGGCATTTTTTGGAATCCCCTGAAGTATGGGTTATGATCCCCGATTAAATTTTGAATAATAGGTTTAATAACACTATGATTATAGGTACCATAATTATAAGCTTAATCACCTATAAAACCTATAATCAAAGTGTCAGAGAAACGGTTGAAGCAGCAACATTCGTGGCTCTACCAATCTATACCGTATACTACCTGGAAAAGGGCTGCAGGCTGAAGCCGCTGCCTGTGTTAACCCATCATCTGCATTTCCCAAGGGATTGGTTTCTGCGGGAGAGGCTTAACCGGAAACCATGGTCTTACCATTAGGGTCCCCTGAACCTGGTTTATCACCAGTTTCCCATTTCAATGGCCATTTGGGAGGTATACCCCATTTTCAATCAATAAATTCCTAACTCTGCATGATCATGATGATCCCCTGATGAAATCCCTATATAGTTTCCCGCCCTGTCATCTAGCCTTGGCCAGCATATCACTGTGGATCTTCCCAAGCTCAGCGGTCACCGCAGACAAGACGTCGGACTGCGGCACGTCCTTCTGGAGATCAATCACCATCACCGGAATCATGGCGACCCTCCGATAAACGAACCGTTTGCGACATTGGAAATGGCCATTGACTTCGTTGATTTACCCACTAAAAATGGTGAATTTCCACAATTATGTTAGTTTACCAGAGGGTGACCTTAGATAATATCCGCAGCCAAGCCAATCTGCAGGAAATTGTAGATCTGTGTTGAATATGAAAATGCCGAGAAAACAACCCACCACCGTGCCAAATAGATCCTGTCAGGAAACTGCCTCGTTTCAAATGTTATATCATATATCTATACATGGATTTATCTATTTATATGGTCCACCGTCTGGTGGTCCCCCCATCCCCCGCCGAGATGGTGATGGTCCCTATATGTATATTGATATATGATATATGATATATACAATACAAGAGTATACAATTGTGTGTGTATCTATATGCATGTACAGTGGGAGACCAGCAGTTAGAATTTGGAATCAATTGGTTTTTTTTTGAACCTAAAAATCCAGAGTTTTTTTTTCTTTTACGACAGTTAGAAAATCCCGAAAAAAAACACCACAGATAGAATATGAACATATGTTCCATAGTAATTTGAGTTTTTGGCAACACACATCAATGTAGTATGAACATTATGTTGGATTTCTTGCAAACGTCATGCGAAAATCATGCAGATAGAATATGGAATATTAGCGATAATTCTGGATCAATCATTTCATGATTAACATAGTGTTTCACACATAATTCATTGTATGTATATAATCTATATGTATGATAAGTGCAAATTATTGCAACTATGTGTTTGTTGTGAAACATGTGGTGCGCAATATTTGATTCTGATGACTGGCTACGATTGGGTATGTATGACTGGCTATGTATGATTATACAAGTATGTGTATATATATGTATGTATGTATGTATGTATGTATGTATGTATGTATAAGTTATGTGTGTATCTATATGTGCATACATAAGTTATGCATGTATATATATATATGGTCCCGTGTCCCGTGTTCCCACCCCCCCCCTCCCCCCCCCCATGGGATGGGGGGGGTATGGTGCCCCTGTGGTGGTGTATACACATATATACATACATACATACCTACATACCTACCTACCTACATACATACATACACACATACACACACACAGACATACCTACCTACCTACCTACCTACCTACCTACCTACATACATACATACATACACACATACATACATACATACATACACACACACACGCATACACACACACAGACATACATACCTACCTACCTACCTACCTACCTACCTAACCTACCTAACCTACCTACCTACCTACCTACCTACCTACCTACAAACCTACATACCTACGTACCTACGTACCTACGTACCTACGTACCTACGTACACACGTACCTACGTACCTACGTACACACGTACATACGTGCATACATACATACATGCATGCATGCATACATCCATACACCCATACATCCATACACCCATACATCCATACATCCATACATCCATACATCCATACATCCATACATCCATCCATCCATCCATACATACCTACCTACATACCTACATACCTACATACCTACATACCTACATACCTACATACCTACATACCAACATACCTACATACCTACATACCAACATACCAACATACCAACATACCAACATGCCAACATACCACCACCACAGGCCACAGCGGGGGTGGACCAGAAGAACCATACCACCACCACAGGCCACAGGGGGGGGGGACCAGAAGAACCATACCACCACCACAGGCCACAGGGGGGGGGGACCAGAAGAACCAGACGATACTGTCCACCCATACCCATTGGTGGGGGGGGGAGGGGGGCTGGCCAACGCTGCACCATATATATAAGTAGTATACATGTATATATATATATGCATGGGTGTGTATACACGTATGCAATATGTATGTAATATGTGTATGTGAGTGCGCAAATGTGTACAGCATGTAAATGATTATGTATTTGTATATGTCTATGTATCCCCCCCCACAGGACCATGTATATATATGTGTGTATACCATCTCTTTTCAAATTCATTGTTTTCAGTAAGATTGAATCATATCGGAGTTCATTGCCAGTATCTCCATGGATCATCTTTCCATATTCTCTTTGGAAATGATATTGGAGAAGAAAAATAATACAACGAACAGTTCCGTTCTCTGTGTGTGTCTGAAAGTGGAGTGTACCCCCACATGACCATTTCATATCGCTCAAGGCATCAGGGTATCCTCCATCTTCAGACAAACCAAAAAATCCTTTGATGCTTAATTGCATTTCTCCCATTTATATTTCTATTTATTTATTCATTTAATTATTTATATGTATATTTATTTTTATATATATATATCATATATATATATCATATATATATATATCATATATATATATATATCATATATATATATCATATATATATCATATATATATCATATATATATATATCATATATATATATATATCATATATATATCATATATATATATTTATTTACTTATTTACGTATACACACATACATATATATACTATACATATCCATACATATACATTTATAATCACATATGTATACATATATATATATATATATATATCATATATCATATAATATATCCTCATATATATATATATATATATGTCTTCGCTTCAGCCTTCCCCCGCGCCTTCCGGGCACCCTCCAGGCGTCGGACCAGGCAGCAGCTCTTTCGTGCCATGTCTTGGGGTCCCACCTGGCGATCCCCCACACCATCTGAAAAATGATGGAGTTCGTCAGTTGGGATGATGACATTTCCCAATATATGAATAATCCAAATGTTCCAAAGCACCAACCAGATATTCATTCTGATATCCTGATATTTATGGCATCTAGTCTGACATTCTATTCTGGCATTCCGATATTCTATCTGGCATTCTCTCTGTTCGGGTCCAGGCCCAGCCCACAGAGTCTGGAGCTCGCGATATGAGGTTCGGGTCCAGGCGCAGCCCAGAGCGTCCAAAGCTCGGAAAAAACATGAAGCACTCCAGATATTTCCAGATGTTTCTCACAAAAAACATGAAACACTCTGGATATTTCTGGTTCTTTATCAGGAAAAACATGGAACGTTCTTGATTTTTCTCGGAAGAAAAAAATGGAACATTCTGGATGTTGATCAGAAGAAAAATCTGGAGCATCCAAACATTCCCATGCAACTGGCACTGCGTCATGTTACCAATGTTTCAATGGATTGGGGTAATTGGCTACATTGACCATGCAAGAATTGGAGTACAGTAATTGTAATATGATTGAGGATGTGGAGGTGGGGAGCGCATGGATTGATTGGTTCGGAAAAACCTACAAAAACTATGGCAATTATACCCTCAGTTTATGGAGCATGTTTTTTGGTATAGTTGTCCAAGCTCTCGGCTCAACTACTACCAGTGGTAGAGCTGTTCAGCAAAAGGTTGAGGGTCGGTTCAATCATGGCGTGAACTTCTTTGACGCCTTCTGCCATCAGGATGGCGTTAGCCTTTTCGTTTGGACGCAGCAGCTGCATCATACAATGACAAGTTGTGCTCAGAGCACTTTCACCTTTTTGTCTGCAATGTCATGCAAAGCTTTGCTGCTTGGGTCTGTTCCTGCGATGGCCTTTGTAGAACACAAATCCCTCGGAACAGCTTGTTCAAATTCCATGCCTGGTACAGCTGGTACAGTACAGCCCCTAGACTGGACCTTCACCTGGAATGCTATTTATGCCGAACAAGTTTGGAGTTGAATATGTCACGAGAGCCGGAGTCTGGCCCTTCCTGCATGCAAGCTGGTCCTGCTTTGAGGAACATGACGGGCGCCATGCCCACATTCTGACACTACAAGGTTTTGACCATCATTTCAGTGGATCAGTGTACCAGTTTTTTTGTGCTTGCAGTCAGCAAAGTTCTATGGCTTCACTGAGTTCTCGCTCAAGTCTTGGATACGCTGAAGGTTTGCAACCCTTTTGTACACAAATTGTCCTGGCCGTCCACCTGAGACTGGCAACACTTTGGCAATCACTTATCATGTCCATGTGCCACATGCGCACTGAACCTCGCTTGGTTTGACTGCCACTGCTAGCGCCGTGGCATGAACCGTTACCGAAGTCCGCGCGTGGTATAGTTGTCCAACAAGCCCAATATGCATATGTGCATGTGTTTATGAATTTCTGACTGCAGATGTCTAGTAAGTAGATTCTGACTTACAGATCGTTCTGTCTTCCCCATGCAGGATGCCCAGTTTTCCTTGTCCTAGAATTGCGCGAAAAGGAAACACAGAATGGAGGAAACCTGATGCAACTTTCATGGTGGAAACAGTTAGATTCTAGATGGTCCCCGAAGCTCCTCCCAATGATGGAAGGCGATCTACCCTCCAGTATTCAAGCATGGAATTTACCCATAAATGGACATGTAAATGGGAAAATCATCTATAAATGGGTGCTGTTCAATGATTTTCCAGCAAGCCATGTTTGATTACCAGAGATTGGTTAGAATTTGTTGATGATTGTAGTGTCGCAAACCCAATGCCATAAACCCAATGTTTAGATGTGTTTTCGAACAATACCCCCAAATGAGTCAGGTCAGGATTCGGGGATGGCTATAATTCATGGGGAAAACAACATTACTCCTATCACAAAACCCGAACTTTGCGGATCCAGCAATGTACATATCCAATTTCACAAAACGCTAAGTCTGAGCTGCGTCTGAAAGTGAATCTCTGCACATATGTGCGGATTCCTCGGAATGGCACATGTCCATCAAGCAACGGATTGTTCCCTTCCCTATTATGCAATTTTCTGATGTAAATCTCGCTCCAGGTCTGTTTGCCTCTTCACCTTTTATGTTAATTTGAGGATGGTTGAAAATTTCGACCCCGAAAAATGATGGGCAAAATTACTTTAAAACCATGTCCAGAGCCATTTGAGGTGGGAAATCATTTCGATGAATTCCTATCCCATCCCTTTGTACTGGTTGTTGCATAAACGGTATTCCTACTATGGGTCAGTTCACAATCCCAAAAAAGAAGGTGGTTTAATCCACTATTTTGTGACCAATCAATTCAATCATCAATTATTCAACATCTGAATATGATTGCTGGGTTTTCCGCATATCATTGGATTGGTGAAAGGGAAAACCTACAGGAACCCCTATAATTGGTGGAAAAAAAAGACATGGTTTCCTGTAAATGTTCGCTTTAACCAATCCATTGAGCATATAAATGGCACCTCCAACCGCAGCGGCACCCCTTTGAGTTCCCACCTGGCTCACAGAAAGTGCAGCTGAAGCTTGTGTCATATATGGTATCTGGACATATTGGTATAGTCAAATGATCATACCACATCATAATATCTGAAAATGTCTGACAAATGTATATACATACAATTACATCATTATTTACATATATGTATCATATACTGTATGTATATAAACATACACACCTATCAGCATGCACACAACATCGCCATTTTGGAGCTGACTTCCCAAAGCGGCTACCTGAAGTCTCTGGGCTTCACACCAATTGAACTTCCAACCTGCTGTATAGTTCTGCCGATCATCCACCTGGGGTTCCCCAGCTGTGCTGCTTAACTCATCACTGAAATTCCATCTCCAACCAATGTGGAACACGCGATTCTGCAAACTTGGTTTAAATGTAGTAAATGTGATCCCAACTCTTGCTGGTTGGTATTATATGTATGATCACAATCCACCAAACAAATGGAGAAACTTCCAGTGACCGACCAAACCGCACCACGCCTGCGCGCGAATGCCTTGAGCTTTCAAGAGCTGCGCCAACTCGTGGCACTTGGACTCTGCGCCTAACAATGGGTTGTTTCAATGGGAATTTCAGGACCCTAAAATAAGGTACTGTACGGCATAGAGCCATAGAACTTGGAACTATATCTTCTTACATAGCCCTTACATAGGTCTTATTGATATGGTCATGGATTGTTTTACTATTCAATAGGCTGGTTTAAGAGAAGCACTAGAGGAAACCATGGAAGTTGCCATCAAATATCAGGGGAATTTTGGGGCTGAGCAAAACGTTGAAATCAGCAAGGACCCCAACTTGTGCTGGGGTCTAGGGTCTTGACCCCCTGCTGCATTTCGTTGATCTCTGCATATTTCCGATGTTGACATGCTTTGTGTGTAAAAAAAATGCTGCATATGCATAATCATTGTTCAAATACAGTTGAGTGTATGGTTGCTCTTACAAGCAAATTGGCTACACAACCATGGAAGCGCACTGCAAGACACACATTTTTATTCCTTGCTGTCCAATAATATGTTTATAGCCACTACTCGGTGACAATCATGGAAGTGGACATCCAACAGTTTCAGTCATGTCACCTCTCTCCGACATCCCTAACTGCTGACAGTTTCAGGAGGTTTTTTTCAGACACGTCATCACTCACTCTCCATAATTTCCACTTCCAAATTCAGACACTACAGCACTGTATATCAATCTCCACTTCCAGTGATGCTAACGCTTTCAGCATTCGTAAGACACACTTCAGCACTTCACAGCCACAAGCAGCAGCCATCAGGAATCCATCCGGTCCCAGGTTTGAAGCAACCGCTCGATCTTCCCAAAGACTTTGGCCGTGTACAGGGCCACCTGCCCTGCCCTGCGGTCTTCGCGGGCCAAAAAGCGACCTGCTAGGGGCAGTCAGCATAGGAGACGAACCAAACCTGGGGGAGCTCCACTTTTTCGAGGAAAACCAGCTGTATCCAGCTGTGAAAGGATGTGAAAATGGCTGATTCTCCACTATCAGGAGTGTGTACTGCAGGTTATGAGGCACTTTCTGTTTGAGATGGAAGGTGAAAAAAAAGCACCGGATTGGGGCCAATCGATCATCTCCAGTTATGTCTAGCTTATAATGTCAACCCTGGATTAATAAGCCCCTAGGCTGTTTACTTGGAGAGTTACCATTTAAGTATTAAATCACCACTATTTGCGGGGTACCCTCCACACCCCTAATTCAACCATGGTTTATGAATCCAGGGACATTCAACCACTTCCAGTACCAACTGTACCAATTCCACCGTTCGCTTTTCGATGCCAAGGAACGTTCGCGCTCCTCCATCCGCAGCCGCTGCCGGTCGCAGATCCTCTGCCGCTGTTCCTCCTTGGCCATGCGCTGTCGGTTCCATTCCTCCAACTGATGCGTCTTCCTGCGCGCCTCGTGGCGCTGGCGCATGGCTTCCAAGCGCCGCCGCGTCTTGACCTTGGCGGCGTGGGAAGATTTGAGGAAAACCCCATGGGTTTTGGATGCCCAGAAGATGCCAGGGGGAATTCATATGTCACCATTATTTGAAGATGTTATGACTTATATAGTTGTACTATGTTGTACTTGTACAACTGCCATAAACACTACTCGACATATTCATCATCATGATGATGATGATGGTGGTGATGATGATGGTGATGATGATGATGATGATCATGATGATCATGATGATCATGATGATGATGATGATGATGATCATGATGATGATGATGACATGATGATGATGACATGATGATGATGACATGATGATGATGATGATGATGATGATGACATGATGATGATGACATGATGATGATGATGATGATGATGATGATGACATGATGATGATGACGACATGATGATGATGACATGATGATGATGATGATGATGATGATGATGATGATGATGATGAGATGACATGATGACATGATGACATGATGACATGATGACATGATGACATGATGACATGATGACATGATGACATGATGACATGATGATGATGATGATGATGGTGATGGTGATGGTGATGGTGATGGTGATGGTGATGGTGATGGTGATGATGAATATTGTTAATATGGTTAATATGGTTAATATGATGAATTTGATGAATTTGATGAATTTGATGAATTTGATGCATAGTATTGTTCAATGAGTAGTCTCAGGTGTGTTACGGTGTGTTCGCCCAAGATATTTCAACACTTTCATGATGTGTCATGCAAACAAGTGGCTCCCTCAAAAACCCACGTACCAACCTAGGCTCCTTTTTCATTACAACCTCTTTGATAACTTTCCTCCCATCTCCCCCAGTTTTTTTAGGTCCTTTCGGCGTTGGGTTTCACATCTGGCCTCATCACATCCTGCTTTCACCCAGATCTCCACGAAGATCTCGCTGATCTGATTCCAGGCATTTTCCACCGCCAGCGGACTGTTCTGGAAAAACACACCACCTGAGAGGCGTAACGAAAGGTGGGTGGTGTTTTTTCGTGGGTTTTGTAAGTGGCTAGTCATCGACCTCTTGAGTTAACTGATGAAAGATTAAGACAAGTTTAAGATGTTGAGATACAGTAATTGATGATGATTGTTAATCGGTCGAAATAATCTAGTTGTAATCAATTAGCTGGCCCATCAATGGCTACTTTAACATGAAAATGGCTGCTTCACTGGTTTATAAGTGAGTTATCACCTACAGTAGTTTTTGGTAAATCACCGTAGGGAAAAACTGCCTGACTGATTTCATCACCCTGTTACCTGCCAATAAATGCTGGGGATAACATGCGACAACTGGTTTCGTGCTTTATCCAGCTATACATATACGACATCCCTCTGGAGACTTACTGACCAGGAACCATTGACGTTTCCTGGTATGCAAAGTACCTCCATATCCTTTAGGCCCCATGGGTTTTTAGGGATGGAAGGTGCCGGATTGCGCATGGGGAACGGGGGAAAATGATGGAAAATGTCTTTGTTTCACTATTGGAAGTTTATTTTCAGACCACATCATCCCCCAGAGTTGGGAAAGAAAACCACTCGAAAGGCACAACCAGAGTCGCCCTTCTTCGCACCAAGGCCGCTGTACTGCAAACGAGACATCTGCAGCTTCCGCCAAAGATACATGCCCTCCTCCCAGGATCGATCTGAGGTTTTCCCCAAATGTTCAGATTCCGCTCATGTGTCACCAAAATTTAGGAACTAAATCTACCATAATCTATACAAAGTTTATGACTTAAAGATACTTAAAGTATCCCCCACAGATTTCACAGATTGTCGATGACCATCCCAAACATCCCACCTTCAACTCCCGAATGGGATACGTCGGGGAGCGTAGGCCGCTGCCGGTCCAGTGGTGCACCGGAAAGTGCACGCGAAAAGAGATCCGCTGCTCCTTGAGGACCAGGTCGTGTTCTGACATGGCCTGGGTCAAAGGTCGCTGGGCTAAGCACCGGGAACCTTCTCTTCTTACATAACAGGCATGTCATGTGGTACCCCGTGGAAAATGGGACATTCAGTTTGGATTCTCAAGCCAAATAATCTTAACCAGTTATGTAAGTTATGTATATGTCTGGGTTTGAAACAGTATAATCATGACATATACAGTATGATTTACACGTGGGTGGGTCTCAGAATGGGGCAAGGCCCCTCAACTTATGGCTAAATGTTGTCTTCTCAACGGTGAGATTTTGGGGCGCCTGGGCCCTATTATTTTCAAACAAATCCACGACATCTTGGAGGATCCGCCAAAAACTGTTCCGAACAGCGAATGTCACATGCATTGATGTCAGCTTATGCTGGTGGAGAATGCTTGAGAAAAAGAGGATGAAAAATGCGAAAGTTTAAAACTAGATCACTGATTTCCTGAGATGGGCAAAATTGAGCCACTTTGATCACTTTGGTACAACGTCTACCATCATTTACATGATGTTGGTTGTTCATGGTCAATAGGAGGGTCACACAGCCCTTTATTCTTTGGGGCTGCACCTATTCATCAAACAAATAGAAAAGGACGTCTATGGGCTAGACCCAGTGGCGCACTCAAGTTCCTCTGCCAAGCGTTCCCATCGCGAGGGTGTCTTCAAAACACGCTGTTTCAATTTCGTCAAGGCCATATGCACATCCACTGCTCGCGCCAGTTCGGTGGTTCCCCCCGCCAACAGTTCAATGTTGTTGACCACCACAATGACCTGGGCTGCTGGGCTGTCCGTTTCCCAACATCAGTCCCCACCAACATCAGTCCCCACCAACTGTCCCTCATTTTCCCCCAGAAAACTGTCCCCCCGGCCTGGTACAACCGCACTCGCCCCGCTCTGGCAATGATCCCTTTGGATGGCTGTTGCCTCGGGGCCCGCGCGGCCTTAGCAGCTTTCACCTTCGGCGCCTTTGGTGTCCTGGGTAGATCCTCCAGTGCCAGCGGTGCAGCTTCCTCCGACGTCTCCTCCGCGGCCACCCTGGAGCCACCGCAGCGACCGGTGCCGGCAGTCGGACAGAACTGGGTTTGGATCCAACCCTCCAGGGCCACGCGATGCCGCTCCGCTAACTTTTGGGAGATGGCGATTTTGCCTCACGGGAATGGCTGAGAATTTTGAATCCTAACAAAAATGCTGAGTTTGGATCGTTTTGCGTGTGAAGCACCTCCAAGTTTGGAAGTTTCGGATACCCAAGTTTGATGTTCACAAATTGATGATGCAACACGAAGTCTGGGAGCAGAAAATGTAGAAAGCAAGATGCGAATGCAAATGAGATGGATTATTGCAAAGAATGAAGATTGCAAATGAATGAAAGTTCCACTGTAATATCATATAATATTTGCACATGTCCACGCACCCAAATCTCGTCAGTATGGATACAACTCATCCTGGCTTGGCCAAAAACCTGGTCCAAGCTTCGATCATCCCTTTGTAGTTGCCGCAAGTAGGCATGCAAGCGCTGGATCAAGGCGTTTCTTCCGCGATATTTTCCCTGCGACCTCTTCTTCGAAGGCTCGGCGGTTTTTCTATGCGACTTCGGCTCAGCTTTGCGGGCGCATTTGGTCGAAGGTCCCTCAAATCCGGACCGTTTCACCTGGGGTTGTCAGACTTGGAACCCCATTCCGCTCCGTGGTTCAAAACCTTTTTCCCCATTTTTTGGCCGTAAATGCAGGACGCATCCCCCATCTATTTGGACCAACCCACCTTCTGCCCCCTTTTGACTTCAGCTTCTGAGGTATTTTCCACAGAGGCTCTCTCAAAGGCTAGCATGACCTGCCGGAACTCGCAGGCTCTTCCTCCTTCCAACATGGAAACAGTGTGAAACAGTGCCAGTGAGGTTTGGTTACCCCCAATCATGGGGGAATATTGAGGAAATATAAGTCCAAGTCTTTCTTTCTCCAACATCTTATTTTTTGTTGAAAATTAAAACCCTTCTTCGTTGGGCCCATCATATGGCTATACAACCATACCCTGCAAACCAAAAGTCCTTATTCCTCCACTCATAACATGCTTACATTAAAGATTAAAGCAACATTCACCAACAATTCACCCCAAGTGTACCCAGATTTCTGGTACCAAGCCCTGTCCTTTGTCAGGATGTGTTTCCAACACTCGCCTCTTAAAGGCCGCACGAATTTCTTCATAGGAAGCCCAAGGGGTCACTCCTGCAGCGATTTCGGGGTACATACCTTCTCCAGGACCTATTGACAGAAATCAGGACTTCCAAAATCATCCAGAAACCACTTTAGTTTGTTTGAAAATGGGGTATGTCGTATATCCAAACAAATTGATGGTTGATCATCATTTTCATTTTCCCCCATGAAATCGGCATTAATTGGGCTATCCTCAGACAAGCCCACCTTCGATCCCAACCACCCAATCCTAAGGTGCTATGCCACATGGCTCAGCGTCAGCCTCACAAGGCAACCGTCTGCACCAACAAGCCGCGCAACCGTGCTGCCTTAATCCAACCGCGGGCGCCGAAGAAACCGGTTCGGGATCCCACCTGCCGCGCGGGTCCAGTTGTTGTGACGATGTTAATGAAAATAGTGATGATTAACCCGAATAAACCAGTGGGTTTAGGAATACCCTGGTTTCAGACATGTTTCAGACAACTCCAAATGCCCTTTCTGATCTTGGAGGTTCCAGTTTGATAGTAGGTCAAGACTTAGAGTAGGGGTCAAATTTCTGTTTCAGCTACAAGGGCCACCCCCGGTAGAATCCGCATCAACCATTGCCGGTGGCCGGGGCGGTGGGGCCACTCCTCACCTGGAAGGAAAACATCTGGGCGGAAGAATGCTCCATGGCGGCAAGTTAGGAAGGTCGCTGACGCGAACGGCTGTTCCGTGTCTTTGAAGCCAAATCTGCATCAGCCGGGGTGAAATTTGCAGCAACCAGTCCCTACAATCCCGGTAAATTATCAGGGTTTCCTGACACTGTGCTTCAGATTGACTTTGGTATGAATCGATTTATATAGGCGTGTCCACAAATGCAGGAAGAACCCCAAGCCCACGCAGTGGATTTGACACCACTCGGAGAACCATCTCGCTTACGACAGTAGCTGGTATTTGATTTGGATAACTCCAAGGTATCTTCGGGATGGTAGTTCGATGATATTCCCCCCCATCTTTTTGGGGATTGTTCCTTAACCATTGATATTACCCTGCGGTAAGGTGGCAATGGAAAATTCCCCAGCTATTGATAATTATTGTTTCCCATTATGTAAACCTCTATATCCTCTATTGGCTTCCGGTAACATTGATTCAAACCACATCCGCCAGTTGCGGCTCGACGTATTGAGGCCTGAGTCTGCGGATTTGCGAGAGGCAATTGGAATCAGAATCACCTGCGAATGGCAGGGATCATCCCAGGTAGGATGATGCCCAGTCCTGGAAAATGACCTGAGAAAACTGAATTATGTGTTGTTTATTCAACAAAATGACATATGGCTTAGAAGTTAGCAAAGGAAAAGTTGAAAAAATGTAGGTATGGTTTATATTGGTGGTGTTGCCCTCTGGTAATTCAACAGTTGTGAGCTGCAAAATACCAATTCAAATAATAGGTAAATCATCTATTTCTAGAGGTCATGGCTAGCTATGAAGAAACCTTTACCTTAAAAAAAAAACTTTGGATTCCCATTGTATCAATTTTTACTTATATACATATATATATATATATATGTGTGTGTATATATATACATATATATATATACATATATATATATATACATATATATATATATACATATATATATATATATATATCGGTAGTCCTATATATATAATGTATACACATATCTTATATAATATAATATCATATGATCTGATCTGATATGATATGATATTATCGTGTATGCTTGTATATTAAATCATATTATATCATACTACAAATATATTGTATTGTATTATACTATGTTATACTACATTACATTGTATTATATAACATATTATACTATATTGTATTATATTGTATGGTATCATATTAAATTACAGTACCTTATATTGTATTTTATTTTATTATATTGTATTATACTATATGGTATTATATTATATTGTACTATATTGTATTATATTATACTAGATTGTATTTTGAAATTAGTATATCATATTATATTACATTGCATTACACTACATTATATTATATGGTATAATACTATATTATATTGTATTATATTATTATCTTGTATTATGAATCATATTATATTGTATTATATATATTATATTATAGTATGAATTTATGAAATTATTTCATATTGTATTATATCATATTATATTATATCATATTATATCATATTATATTGTATCATATTATATTGTGTTATAGTATAGTGTATTATGATTTTATATCATATTATATCATATTATATCATATTATATTATATCATATCATATCATATCATGTTATATATGTATTGTATATACATATGTATATGTACATATGTATATATATATATATGTTAGATAAAAACCCCAGTTCTATTTATGGCGTTACCATCTTTCCCAGCGTTTGGTCTCAACCCCGCCTGGATCGGCGCGACTCTTGGAGGCAACACTAGGCCCTTGTCATCACCATGGACCTGGAGTCACCGTCATAACCCACATAGAACTGGGGTATACCATGGTATACCCAAATAGAACTGGCTGAAAAGCCGAAAAAAACCTACTGTAATCTGGTTCTGACTACGACTAAGTACTGTAACTGGGATGCACATCCCAGGTGCTTCTATACTTGCTTGGAAGTTGAGTATGCTAAACGTCGATTTCTAAGTGGGGTCAACCAAGAGCTTGATCCTGGCCGGGTGGTAATGGACAAGCATGTGGAGTTTGACGAAACAACATGGAGATGCAAATATCCGGAGACTAGTTGATGGTTTCAACCAACAAAAACATGGTATAGTGATGTATTTTTACCAAAGAAGCTGTGGATTTCAGACGAAAATTGTCTACAGGTGGCCTGTTGCCATCCCCAGGCTGAAAAATCCCCCATAGGAATTGATATAACTCTCCTACAAGCAACAAAAAATGGATCCATGTGATCGGCCATTGAGAAATGACTGGAAAAATCCATCTAGACCACACACCACCTGCCAAATGATATTGAACATCTTTACGTACTGGTACAGTATCGGTTCGTAAGTGATTGTCACCTCCTACTTCTTGTAAATTCAATCCCCTTTTCAAAAAAATGGGTTGATGTTGGATGCCCTGCTAAAAAGGTTCAGGTTCAGTCAGGTATCATACGTATATGGATTATGTACATATATCTATAAACATGTGTATACATATATATATATATACACACTATATCTATCATCATATATCCATAAAGACACTTGGGTTACCATATTCACCATTCTCTATCTACATATTCTATCTATCTATCTATCTATCTGTCTATCTATCTATCTATCTATCTATCTATATATGTAATATGTACAGTGTATCTATCAAATGGGTAGGGATCAAAATTAAAGACCTGCAAACAAACATAGCTATTGAACATGGCCATTTAGTTCGTCGATTTACCTATCAAAAATGGTAATTATTCCATAGGTATGATATATCGTTTTCATGGTTATATCATATCCCACTATATTCCCATTATGTTTCATTAAATCACCATTATATCTTATTAAATTGTGATGTTCATTGATTTTCCGTAGTTATGTAAATGTTTACCAGAGGGTCGACCCCCATCAGTTGGAATAGAACATTACTATGGAAATCCCATATGTATATATTATATATACCATCTGGTTATTTAACATAGCCATGGAAAATCACCATTTTTAATAGGTAAACCCAGGTAAACCACTAATAAATGGGCCATCTATACCATGGCTATGTTAAATAACCAGAGGGTATATATAATATATATATACCCATATAATATAACTATTACATACCAGTTCTTCATACCCCGATCCACCAGGCGGCAAAAAACCAGGGTGCCATGATGCTGATGCCCAGGCAGCGCGTGGTCATGCCCCAGGAAGTTCTCGGCGGTACCGAAAAAAACACGGTGGAAATGAACAACGAAAGAACCAACAAAATTGGTGCCTATATATATATATATTGTTTCATGTTTTGAACCTTAGATATCCAAAATGTGTGTGTGTGTGTGTCTGAAAAAAAGATTGTGAGACTTGTAACTTTTTATAAGCAACAAAGTGAGGATTATCCAATACTCGTGTTTATCTGAAAAAGGTGGGATAAAACAACATCTAGTGGTTTGGAAGATCATTTCCCCCAGTGAAATGGTTGACCTGCAAATGATGGGGCAATGATCGGGATATGTAAGCGATGAACCACCATGGTGGAAGGACTTTTTTCCATGGCCAAAAAAAATGGTGGCAAATGTGAAAAGAATTTTGGTAAAGCAAGTCTAGAAATCTACATGTCCTTTGCTTTTGTACATTGACATGTTCGTTTACCCAAGGGTGTCTATGGATAGCATGGTGAAAAAAGATCTCCAAGTCAAGAGGTGGGCTAGCCTACCCTGGGTACCGCGCTGGTGCACGTAGTGTTTCTGTCCCAAGTCATCTTCAAACTGGATGTTGAACCTGTTGCAGAATCAGCCAAATCACGAGGATACAGGTGCAAGTCCGTTGATACTGGAATTATCATGAATTCTCTCGAAAATCACTGAATTTTTGCTGAAGTTGCCAACTTTGCTCCAAGTTTTAGCGGGCAGCTGAGGCAATTTGGCACACTGGGCAGCCAGACATCTCTGCAAACCTCTGGCCCAGAAGATGGGAAGTTGCTGCCTCCCGTCCCAGGTGGAAAAGAAATCAGGCTGATTTCTAAAGATCACCAGGAATCCCGGCACCTTCCAAAAACTCACATCACTTGATACAGTACTATCAGTAAAAATTCACCTATCATGGGTTACTCTATTTCTATATATATATATACAACTCAAATGTCTTGCTTGTCATTCCCATCTCTTCACGTCACTGCATCCGCTTTACAAATAGGCCCAGCAAATCTGGCCTGAATTCCCCGCCCAGTTTCCGGAATGAAGACTTCCAAGGTCTGACTGTGAACGGAGCCAGCAAACTTCTCCTGGCTTCATTCATGGGCTGCACTCAGTCGGTAGGGTTTATACCACCCATCTGTGTCAAAGAGCTGTGGATCTCTGTTGCAATGCCAGAACTTTAGTGTTGAGACCACCCATGTCCACCCATTAAAATGGTGATCTTGAGGATTTAATTTAATGATATACCATTAATGGTGATCAATTGGTGTTTATACCACCTAATGATAATTTACTTTTTCTCCAACACCCTTGCGCCACACGGGCGATGGGGTTCAAAGACGACGACCGCTTAGGGTGGTTTGGGCTATGGTATGCGAAAGACATGCACTCAATCCGCTGCAGTAGGGTTAAAATCAGGAAACCACTTGGCAGCAGCTTTGCGTACACCAAATGCTTTCCCTTCTTGGGGATAATTGATTACTCCAAAACAACATGTCCCCGAAAAATCGCCGTCCTCTTCGGACTTCATGCCCTTGATCACTGGCACGGCCAGGAGCTCTGAATACCTGAAGGACAAGGTATGAACCGACTCAGTGCCGCCTCAGTCTACTCGAAAATTGGGTACCAATGGACCTACGGCCAAACAAAATGAGCGTTGACAGATCACCCTAGGAACCAGGTCTCGCGACGAGGCAACGATTCCTGGAAGTCTTCAAAACCACTTGTCCCCATGACTCATTGGCCCAATTGGCGATATGATCAGCATGTTTGGTGGTTTGACCCCTCTGTTTTCGTGACTTGCCGCAAGTCACTGAATTCACAGTTCCCGGCCCCAAGCTCCACGGAAAGCAGCCTTGAATCCCATGATTTTTTCAATGTCCACATTCTCTGAGAATCAGGTACTGTACCTCCAACCTCCTCTGGTTAATCAGTGTTCTGCTAAGATGGCCACAAAAATGAGGGGTACTGTATACCCCATTTTCACACATACCCATATTAATCAAAATTGCCAGAGAATGGCTCTGTCTAAAAATAAGAGGACCAAAAACCACAAGGCTTATTATCATTTCTTGTTAAACTTGCCATAGAGGTATCTCTTGATATCATGTTTTAAATCCGTGTTTTGGATAGCTTCAAATCATCATGTTTCACCATTTTCTTCATGGCTGGAGCCACCATCCCATAGGGATCCATGGGGTGTACCCCATGGTTCCAGCATGGTTCCACTGCTCCATCCAGCCCCATCCGCACGCGCGCGCGTAGAGCTCCAAGGCTGCCTCGACCATCTGCAGAGCCTCGCTCTCCGAGCGGTGCGCCGTGTGCCCTTCCTGACGCTTCGAAAGGTCTTCGAACGGCTGTTTTTTGACGTATCTTGTGTCAAAGTAGATCAAAAAGAAGAGTTTGGAGGTCAAAGCCAAAAAACAAAGATGATTCATAGATGATGAATGGATGATTGATGGATGACTAGTGGATAATGAATGGATAACTGTTAAGAATTGGATGCTATTATATAGCCTATTATAACCCAGCTATAATTCATGGATGATTGATGAATTGATGGGTGACTAGTACATGGTGGTTTGCCACTTAGCTGGGCTAGACTTCACCCCTTGCCAACTGCTGTGTTTTTGTGGCATGTGTAACAAAAAGAACAAAAAGCCAGTCCAACCTTCGAGTAGTGGGTCAATCCAGCAACTGTTTACATCGAACCCCGTAACTGCCATTTTTCGATGGGAAAATCTCCCAACTCCCTCTTTCTCAAATGGATCACCACCCTATCCCATTTGGCTTGAGCCTCTGTGTGGGTTGGACCCTGCCATGGCATCCACACACCAGGGCCCCAACCTGCCAAAGGAACTCTCGACTTCGAAGAAAGGGTGTGGGCTGGCGAAACTCCCTGGGTGCGCAGCAGGAGGCATTGGTCAAATTGCCATGGGGCAGTTGTTCAGGCCCGCATTGTTTCGTGCTTGGCGGTGCATCCCGTTTAAGTGGGTTATAGCCCACATATCACTGGGGTACACTGTCTGTATATCTGGGTTTTGATATGGTTGTAAACTTTTACGAACCCCTTACGATTCCTGGGATGCACATGCTTCAAACTATCAAAAATAGGGCTCGGGCCAGCGCACGATGTTCGCCCACTGATTGATCTTCCTGAAGCGTGGACAGCGTGGACCATCCCAGGAAATCCAAGCATAGCTGGTGAAGCAGGCTTGGTGAGTCCAAGCTAAGTGGGGTTCTCCCATGTATTGGCTGAAAGATGCTGTTTGGGGATGATTCCCCCCACCCAATTCCCATTAATTCCAGTGAGGTCCAGATAATATCTGGTTATATCATTCTCCATTAATTATATACAGTCTCTTAAATGTCCTTTAGCGGGATGCACATCTAAAAACTTGGGGACTTGCGGAACTCCCGGGCCGCTCTTCACATGTACCAATGTACCACGGGAATGCCTTGGGGACAGAATCTGCCCATGCTAGTGGGTATCTATCCCCTATGTTGTGAAACAACTGACCAAGTCGCAAAAATCATCATGCACATGATTAATAAATAGGTCGCGCGTTTGACAGGTGTATTGTGTATATATCATCAGCAACAATGGGGATTCTAACAGCAACCATAGGCTCACTGCCCGGCTCCTTCGAAATTCACATCTGCTACTGGTATATTGGGTCCGTGTCTTCCCGTGGCGAGTCTGACAAGGCTCAGTGGCAAGTCTCGGTGTGAACGGATCCACTTGGCAAAGTAGGGATACCTTGAAACGCGTCATGGTGAGCAAGGTTGACCACAAATGAATAAACGACGGCTCGTCCAAACCTAGCAGACTCAAGAATTGAGGCATACCCTGGACCCTCAAAGCACGCAAAAGATCGCAAAAGAATCGGATTTCAATTTCCAACATTTTTTTTTTCAATCTCCTCGCTGGAGGAAGGAACCCTGGCTCATAAATGAGGGAGTCTTGCAATAAACATATCATGTTTGCCATCAAACCAGCCAGGACAGCAGGAAAGTTGAAGTGACTCAGATTCAACGTTACCACTTTTCTATACCCGGAGGGTTGGGGTTGGTTTGGCCAAAGTTGGAGCAGAAAACCTGATCCATCCAGTGGTTTGGAACGTCATCTTCCTCATGAAAATTGATATGAAGCTGACGTCGTGGTGAGGTCGTTATAATGATTACCCCGATGTATAACTAGGATATTCCATTTACAACTGGAATGTTTTTTATAACATCCTCCAAACAGAAGTGGATTCCATATTATGTATATACATATATATATATACATACATGATATATGTATACATATATATATAATATAATATATATATAATATAATATAATATAATTATATATATACATATAATATATATATACATAATATATATATATATACATATAATATATCTATACATATAATATATATATATACATACATATAATATATATATATACATAATATATATATATATATACGTATAATTTATATATATATATACATATCTGCAATCTCTATCCCAGTGATATATCCCAGTTCTAAATGGAATATCTTAAACTGAGATGAAATCCTCCCCTCTCTGGCCAACTCCCTTGAGGTCAACGCATAATCGTCTCGCTCGTGGGGCGTAGCGCGATCTGCGAGACCGCTGCTGCTATGTTTGCTTTGCCGGGAGACATGCACGAAAAGGACGTGGTGGGCTATGACTACCAGAGATTTTGATGATTATTAGCAGTTTATCAGAGGTTTTGATGATTTTCTGGCAGTTGATCATGGCAAAATCCTCGATACCCTTCCTTTTGGTTGGGCTAGTAAACATATCCCCAGTAAACCGCCGCAGTCCGCCCATCTCCAGCAGATCCACCGGCTTTTGGAGTTGCGAAGTGCCAGACTTTGTGACCCAGGCCACCTGAGTTTAAACTCAGCCTTGATCATGGGGAATATGGGGATATGAACTCAGCAATCATAGGGATAGGATGAATTCATAAAAAAATACCAGCATTGACAATCAATATTTGGATATATTTGGGAATTTACCACCAATATATTGCCATGTCAAGGGGAAGATGCTTGTTCTCAACCATGAGAAAACTTGGGGTGGGTCGCCTATCAATCTCTTTTTTTGTCCGTGAAAGCTGGCAACATCAACAAATGTTGCCACTCCAAACAATCTCGGCATTGATCTTTCACACATAGCTTAACTTTTCGTAAATTTCAAATGAACCATTTTGGGATGCTATAGCGTTATTACCTGAAGTGCGCATAGTAGTTCACCATTTGGGGAAGATGAGTATCCTCTATGAAACATCATAAGCCACTACCATTGATGCGCTATGTCAGGTCCTGTGGCGCCTCAGGTGCGAAGCCCTCCAGGTGCGTTTGCTCCGCTTCCAGCATCTCCTGGGGATGCTGATGACTTGGGAATTGGGGGTGGTTTGTTATTGAATGTTATAACGGGTTCGTCACATTGGGATGTAAGTGGGATAGGGGATGGACTGGGGATATGATCAAGAGTCTTTTGTGGGGGATTTTCTCGGGATACCCCCTGGTAATGACCAACAGTTTGCGAACTGGAAAATCCCCATGTTGATGGATACATCATCTATTTGTAGGCCATGTTCCATAGCTATGTTAAATTACGTGTAGCACTTCCCTAAAAAGAAAGAAAGTAACATCCGAGTCCACAATAGTGTGGTAAATTGAACCTGTTCTGTATCTTTTTGGGAACAAAAAAACATGAAATAACCAAAATGAACCAAAGCTGGGTGTGAACAGTTCACCATTTGGATCCCTTTCCATACTGCATGAGTTTCAACCAACAACCCAATAAGTTTCGATGGTCAAGTAAAATGGGTCGCTTTGCTACCAGGAACATCCATAGTATTGTAATGTGCAAAAAATCTGTGCTAAAAAAAATTGCCCCAACATATCCAACATCCAAACATGACATTCCCTCCATGGCCATGTGACATTCCCATGGCATCCTGGCTCACAAAGCATGGAAAATAGGCGTTTTCGACTCCGAGTTCTTTGATCCCGGCATCTAACCTCAGGCGATCCAGCGGATCCAGCGATCCCGCCAGGATCGGTGAAACCCTGTGGCTGGGACCATCGAGAAATTTCTTCCCAGATAAAGAAAGACCATGGCCGCAAGATGTAGCACCTGCCAGCGTAAAATGGCATGTTTTGACCAAAATCATGCAAAATTCATGGCCGAAACAGCAAAGTGTCGAATTTTGGGGCACTATCAGTTTACAAGAACGACGTTCGACTTACGAGTGGCAGGACTTAAACTGTTGGAAGGGATGCGTTTTTGGAGGTTCATCCCACTTGGCAAGTGGGTGATCACCAAAATCAATGGATATCAGTGGTACTATCATCTAAAATCTCTCTATTGCAAGGGGACTCACTCACCCCACTTGACCCCGAGCCCTCTTCTGAGATTTGGGCACCCGCTGATGTCATGGTACTCGATCATCTCAGCACGAGTGATCACCTGCCATCGGCTCGTTCCCAACAAAAAGGTTTCTTCCCCAAGGACGCATTTTTGAGGGGCCATTCACCATCATCAACCCCCCTCAGTCACTCTCGAAACATGCTGCTGTTCGGATTCGGATAATTTTCAGAAGCGGTGGGACTTGGGAGCCCAAAAATCCCGAGCACCTGCGTGTACCATGCGGCGAAGTCCTGCGACTTGGAGGCAGACACACCTTTGGTATCCGCCTGCATTGAGTCGGGAGTTCGCAGAAACACAGGTGGAAGTTCCCAGGGAAAATCTACTGGAAACTTAAGGGGGTTGGCACCATTCAATTTCTGATTAGCGGATTCTGGGACCAGAGGATCGCTTGGAGGCTGGGGGGCAGACAAGTGAGTGTATGTCTCTGTAGGGCTGACAACATGGCTAATACACTGCAATGAAATGTTCCTTATAGTTGATCACCATATTATGATATTAAATAATATAGTTTGATATAATACCAAATCATCATATTTAAATGATCACCATATAGTTAATCACCATATAGTTGATCACAGGTTTTCAAACCTACCGTACGTCTCCCATCGCCTTGTCCCAGCGACGGGAGGAACCTCCCACGGTTTCGGGTCGTGGCCGCGGGAGTTGATTTCCTAAAATGAGAGCACCTCAACTCATCCAAAAATTGACCGTTTCATTTTAATATTGAAACCCATATTTTTGGGGGATCCCCCATTTAAAGAAACCCCCATTTCAGTCAAAGACAGCAATGAATCTGGGGTTGCCTCAAAATTTCGAATTGAAAAATCCCACGGGCGTCGCCCTTGGCCTGGCACACTTCGTTGCAGGAACGCTTCGGTGGCAGTCCTGGCACAAAATGTTGGACACAACCGTAGTGACCCTTGCAAGCATCATCCTCAAATTGTCATCAGTGTCACCATCCTCATGATTCTCTTCTACTTTGCCTTTGTCTTCCGCTCCTTGTTCTTCTGCTTCTGATTATTCTTGTTCCCTCTTCTCCTCCTCACCATCGTCGTCATATGTTGTCATCATCATTGTTTTCGTCATGTTCCACGAGCCCCTACTCTCAAAAGTTGGTGCGCCCAGAAGTGTTGAGAACGTCCAAATCTCGGCATGGTTCATTATACAGTGTATATATATATAATTATATATATACAGTATAGAGAGAGAGAGAGAGATCCAAAAGAAGTAGGCGATTGACAATGTTCTTTCCTCAAAGCTGGTGTATAACAATGATATGTTTCTTATCCCATTCTTGTCATCATGTTGTAGTTGGTTGTATATCCCATAGAATATCCCCATTGAAAATATAGAAATCCCCATGGAATTCCCATTAAATCTACCGCCATTTTGGAGCTGCGACAAACGTCGCGGTCCTGCATCTGCTATATCTCTGAGCCAGTAGCACCTAGGTGAGAGATAGAAATTGGGACGTCGATGGCCTCAAATGTGGAGAAAAAATGGGACATCACATGGGAAAATGTTGGATGTTTATTTGTCAGGAGGTAAAACTGCAAAAATATGCAAAAAACTGGGGAGGTGATGTCCCAAATGATGATGTCTCAACTTAGGACAAACAAATGGCGTTGTTCAATGGATGCTTTCCTATGTCATATAGCCCTGCATCTATCACCAGCCACTTAGAAAAGGACTGCAGGATGCTGGAGGATGCTGAGGATGAAAGTTTTCCAAGCCAGGTGTGCCGACTCCATTCCCAAATCGGTACAGGCTCGAACCCACCAATCATATGTTCTAGGAAAAGCATCGAACTAGTGGTCGGGGTTCCTTGGTGTTCTTACAGGAACTCACATCGGTTTGGTCCTGGGGTGGGTGACTGACTGTGAAGTTTTCCTTTGGGATCTTCAAAGCATGATATATTGGTTTCGGTTTCCAGCATGACAAGGGAGCAAGGTTCCAAATTGAGGTACTAAAACCAATTTGCAAAGTCACGATTTTTGAGGCACCATCAGGTTGCTAATCCAAGCCCTGAGCCGGAACCTTTTCTACGCGCTGATTTCGGTGTCAGTCGCCTTTCACCTCTTTCTCGGCCGCGGGCTTTGAGCTCGCTGGGCTGGCTGGCCTAATGGATGATGCCAGTGGGCAGGGATGGTATGGAGCTGGCTGCAGCAAATGCAAAACCTGAAAATGGTCTATGTTTGCATTTGTTTACTAGGGAAAGCTGCTGGGCATCGGTGGTTCACACTGGAGCCCAACCTTAACATCTGAAACCCTTCATCAAGCCACAAAGCACCCTCCATCTGCTCATCCTGCCTCAAGCATGTGCACATGGCCCATGCTGCAGCAGCACAAACCATGCCAAGGCCGAATCCAACTGCCTCAGTCCCAGCTCCCAAGTCTGGTTTTACGCAAGCCTCTTTCGTACACGTTGCACTGCTGGGGTTGCTACCAAATGTATGGAATTCGAGCGCGGAGCCCCTCCTGCAAGGCCAAAAGCTACATGGACTGCATGGGACAGGCTGTCAGAACACGTAAAGGGTAGTAGTGATAGTAGTAGTAGTAGTAGCAGTAGCAGCAGCAGCAGCAGTGGTAGTGGTAGTGGTAGTGGTAGTGGTAGTGGTAGTGGTAGTGGTAGTGGTAGTGGTAGTGGAAGTGGAAGTGGAAGTGGTCGTGGTGGTACTAGTAGTAGTAGTAGTAGTAGCAGTAGCAGTAGCAGTAGCAGTAGCAGTAGCAGTAGCAGTAGCAGTAGCAGTAGCAGTAGCAGCAGCAGCAGCAGTAGTAGTAGTAGTAGTAGTAGTGGCAGTGGCAGTGGCAGTGGCAGTGGCAGTGGCAGTAGCAGTGGCAGTAGCAGTAGCAGTAGCAGCAGCAGTAGCAGCAGCAGGAGGAGTAGTAGTAGTAGTAGTGGTAGTAGTAGTTCTAGTAGTAGTGGTAGTGGTAGTAGTAGCAGTACAAGTAGTAGTAGCAGTACTAGTAGTACTACTAGTACTAGTAGTAGTAGCAGTACTAGCAGCACTACTAGTACTACTAGTACTACTAGTACTACTAGTACTACTAATACTACTAGTACTACTACTACTACTACTAGTACTACTAGTACTACTAGTACTACTAGTACTACTAGTACTACTAGTACTACTAGTACTACTAGTCCTACTAGTACTACTAGTACTACTAGTACTACTAGTACTAGTAGCAGTAACACTAGCAGCAGTAGAAGTAGTAGCAGGGAAAGGGAAAGGAAAAGGAAAGGGCAGAGGCGAAAGCGAGAGGGAAAGGAAAAGGGAAAGGAAAAGGGAAAGGCAAAGGCGAAGGGAAAGGCAAAGGCAAAGGCAAAGGGAGAGGGAAAGAAGAAGCTGAGAGTTTAGTGTACTACTCAACTTTTACGAGAGCGAGCTGCTGGATCTCCGCTGAGCACTAGCCAGGTAAGTTTAAACTTATAGCCCAAAACATGAATGATAACCTTCCTTGTAAGACACAACGCTTCTCCTATGATGATTGTTTTTACCTATGGGGGGGGGCGGCACAAAATACGGCGCGGAAGGGAGGAAGCAGAAAGAGTAAAGGGAAAGAGGAAAGAGGAAAGAGGAAAGAGGAAAGAGGAAAGAGGAAAGAGGAAAGAGGAAAGAGGAAAGAGGGAAGAGGGAAGAGGGAAGAGGGAAGAGGGAAGAGGGAAGAGGGAAGAGGGAAGAGGGAGGAGGGAAGAGGGAAGAGGGAAGAGGGAAAGAAGAGGTTGACAGTTTAGTGTACTACTCAACCTTTGTGAGAGCAAGCTGCTGGATCACTGATCAGCACTAGCCAGGTAAGTTTAATTTTATAGCCCAAAACATGAATCATAACGTGCCTTGTAACACAGAACTCCCCTGCTATGGTGATTTTTGTTTTTTTTACATCCCTTGCGCCTACTAGGTGTCGCCCAGCTCCCGGAGAAGTTCTTGGATGCAGCTTTCCAGGTAGCGCATTTCTTCGATGCGCCGAAGGGCCTGCAGCTGCCGAAGGTTCTGCAGCTCTTTCTCGATGCAGCGGTCCCGGTCCAGGCTTTGGTTTTGCCACCGTCTGCGCCACCCCTTCAGCTGGGTCTTCTGCACCACCGGCATGACACACAGTCAGCGAAGCGCTTGGGTCTCTTGATAAACAAATTGCTGCGGATGCGGGAATCATCATTCACGCCTACATGACCTTCCATTCTTCTCCCATCCATCCACGCCAAACCACTGACTAGTTGCAGGATCAATCCCATATATGTGCATCTATATAATACGTATGTGTATACATATACATATTTATATATATATAATGAGGGCAGAGGCTGGGTTCCCCGGAAGGCAATTGAAGTTCATTGTGTTCCAGTTTGAAAAATGTCATGTTTCACTGTGTTTTACAGTGTTTTGTGTTCTTCTTATAGCGTGAGAATATCAGGAATTAGTTCCACATGCGGACAACATATCCGGGATATGTTGTCCGCTCTTTCAATGTTTTTTGTTCAAGTTCATCAACTTATGTCATTTTTGCTTTTCCCATAGGTTCTTTTGATAGACATAAAAATGTCATAATCCACCAGAGAACCATGGGCGAAATGAACATGAGCCTTTCTTCTCTTCATATCCACAAAGCCGTTTTGAAAGCATTCGTAGGTGCACAAGCCCCGTTCACTTTGTGTCGGTGGCATTTGTTTGGCTTCCAGCACTGATTGAAGACCTGGGTGTCTGTGAATGTAAAAAGCTGATAAAAATTTACGAAATTCCAACGTAATAACATCTTCGACGTAACAACATCTTCAACGTAACAACATCTTCAACGTAACAACAACTTGAACGTAACAACATCTTCAACGTAACAACTTCTTGAACGTAACAACAATTTCAACGTAACACCCTCTTGAACGTAACAACATCTTCAACGTAACAGCACCTTCAACGTAACAACATCTTCAACGTAACACCCTCTTGAACGTAACAACATCTTCAACGTAACAGCACCTTCAACGTAACAACATCTTCAACGAAAAAACTTCTTGAACGTAACAACAACTTCTTGAACGTAACAACATCTTCAACGTAACAAAATCATCAACGTAACAGCACCTTCAACGTAACAACATCTTCAACGTCACAACATCTTGAACGCAACAGCATCTTGAACGTAACAACATCTTGAACGTAACAACATCTTGATCGTACCAACATCTTCAACGGAACAACATCTTCTGATGATGCAATGCAATGAACGTGAACATCACCCCCCACCCCCCCATCTGTATGCAAGAACGATCTTCAACGTAACAACATCTTCTGAGGACGCAATGCAATGAACGTTAACATCCCCCCCACCCCCTATCTGTATGCAAGAACGACAAAATATGCATATATCAGAGAGAGAGACTGAAGGTTCCTACGTCTTCCGGGGAAACCCCAGCCTCTCCCCTATAATTATGTGTATATATATATATTAATACGTATATATATATATATAAGCATGTATATATATATATATGTATATACACATATATGTATATAATTATAACCATATACCTATATATATAATATATATATAAAGATAGATGTAGATACAATCCAAAATAGTAATGATATGTAATAAAGACCACAATAATAATAGAATAAAATACTAATCGTAATACGAATAGCGATAATAACAACCACAATGAAAATAGTAATAATATTGGTAATGATAATTAATAATAACAATCATCATAATAATAGTGATGATAGTAATAATGTACTTGTGTGTCTGTGTGTCATAGATCTGCAACCCCTCACCTGGCTGCGCCGTCGAACTCGGCAGATCGCTCAGCCGCGGCGGCAGGGGCTCACCCGGCAGGGCCGAGAAGCCCTTTAGGGCAAAGGCCTTGGAAAAACCTAGGAAACCTAGGCATTTACCATTCAAAATAGGGATTAATCATGGAAAGAATGGTGATTTTACCACTAGAAGTAAGGTGTTTACCATTGAAAATAGGCTTTAACCATCAAATATCGCTGATTTTAGCAGCAAAAACGGTGATTGCTGCGATCAAAAGCATGAAATAATCATCAAAAAATTGGGATTAAATGGTATATCATCATATTTACCATGGTCAAGGAGGGGATGAATGGGTTGTGGTCATCCATCCCATTTCTGTACGGGGAATCCAAACATGATTGGTAGATCCCTACTACTGGATTGATGACTATCCTCCAATGTGGGGATGTAATATTATATAATCCCACTCTTGACCATGACATAGCTGAACGATGCTGAACGTATGTGCTATTGAGAAAATATTTATATTCATATACTTCTATTTACTCAAAGAGTTAGGAACGTATGAACCATCTTTACTTATTTGTTGATATCAGTTGGTTTGCTTTTGTTGTTGTCGATTACTTCGTCTATGTGGTTACAATTTGGGTCAATACCATTGTTCATACTTAACGACAGGAAATTCTATTCAGCATGGCATTTCTCGACCAAGAAACAGGGATCAAGACTAGAGCATTTTCCTGCAAAAAATAAGATGTGTGTGCTCAAAAATACTGACCTGAAAAATGGATGGCCAAATGCTACCATCTAAGCCACAAACATGGGAGTTTCAGTTTTACCATGGCCACTGAGAGTGGGAAAGAACGAACCTCTTTTTCAAGTGGACAATGCGTGACAAACCCCATTGCTTGTTGGTCAATATCCTAATCTGGGATTGTTAATATCCCCATTCGTGGTGATTGTGAATTTCCACACAAGCTAAAAACCCTGTTGTTAACACTTAACCAATACACTGAATTCCCTGTAGCCAGATGGAGGTTTCTTAAAATGGGTTATCCCTAAAACTATAGCTTTCGGTTTCAGTCCTAAATTGGTCTAATGACTTGGATAATTTGGGGGTACCCCCATGACCTAGGAAACCTCCAGATGTCGCCCAATGTTTATGGCCCAACAGTAGCCATTTCATCCCAATTTCATCCCTCGGCCCCTCGGACTTTGCACCTTGAGGTCCTCCACTTCACGGTCTCCCTCAAAGTCATAGACGCGATTGCCTCGCGCCGTTGAAGCCACCCAAAATCGGAGCCGGGGTCGAAATCCTAAATGCCTAAAAGTTCGACGGGTGTAGAGGGAGGGAGGGAGGGAGGGAGGGAGGAGAGAGAGGGGAGATTCATGGTGATTTCAATTTGTTCTCCTGATCCTTCAAAGATTGGTTTCTCCAAAAATATTGCAGCAGCGACTAGAACCCGCCTGCCACCAGCTTCATGGTTGGAAAACGCTCGACGCGCCACAGTTCCGTCAAAGGTCGAAATTGTTGTGCGTCTAAGCTAGCCACCTGAACCTTGGTTTTCTTGGGAGCTGGTCCGACCATAATGGGGCCATGGGGGTATTGTGATTCTAGTAGGGTATCGGTATAGTAATCACCAAATAGACAGAAAAGTGTATAAATATGTGTGTATATATATTATATATATATATCCAGGATGGAATAGATATGAATAGATCCAGGATGGAATAGATATGAATAGATTTGGTGTTCCCCATGACTTATAGTCCTCCATTCCTCCATGTGTTTTTAATCTTTTTTGGTGATGCTTTAGGATATAGGATACCCTTATATGGTGGAGGATTTTCTTCGATCTCCCCAGATCCGGAATGTGAAAAACTGGAACCTTTACGGAACTTTTTCCGTAAAGGACAACTCAAATTATATCTATTGTCTATTGTCCTTTCAATACGGAAAGCAAAAACAACTGAAGGACAACTCTATATATTGTTTCTGCTTTTAAATAAAACAGTGTTCCCAGAAACGTGTAAAAAAAAGAAACGTTCTTTCCAAAATCTCAATCCAGTGATCAGATGTCGCCAGAAATGATCGCCCTCTGCACATGTCGCCATGAGGCTTGATCTTTGAGTTCGAGTGCTAGGGATCCCCAGGTGCTTTCCATGCTCCTGGGGGTTCAAACAGGCAACACCCTGTCAGACTGTGAGTTAACAATACCTAAAATGCAAATCGCATCCAGTTTCCTGCAGTGTCCACAACCTCGCAGGTAGAAGACGATGAACCTTAGCCAAACTGACAACAGCTTCGTATCATCCCAATTGGTCCGTCCACCACCGGATTTCTAGACCAAACTCCACAAAGCTGTTGCGTTGGCAGTGCCCAAAGCCTTAAAGGTTATCAGTTTCTACTCTGTAAGTTCTTGTGAAATCCTGCGACAGATTGTATACCATCCCCAAAACTAACATGACGAGTTGGGGTTGGAAGACTACTTTGTTTGTTCAATTCTCAGGGTCTATGTCAGTTGGGGGGATGGTATTAACCACAATGATTGTCAACAGTCATTTAATATCCATCAATATCCTGAAATATGCTGTAAATCCCACAATAAATCCCACAATACTTGCCATTTGAACAAGAAATTACTACCTTTTCACAGCCCCACTGAACCGCTTCCAATAAGATCATCCCAAGGAACATGGCTTTTGCAGACGACCGCACCACCTCTTCCATGTCGCCTGCCACCCAACTCATCAAGGCCCATCAACCCAATGATTTATGGCGATTTTGATCACCATATTATTATGGGGGGTTATACCGTTATACCATATTTATACCATATTTATCCATATTTGGTATAATAAATATCAAGCCAAATCACCATGTCACCATGTTCATGGCGATTTTAAATCATCATCCCCAGTCATGGGAAAGATCGCCACCAGCACCGGAGTTTCGGTGCCTGAAAGGCTCAGGACATGTTCGCCTCCAAACGCTGGTGAACCTCACAGACTTGTCCCGATGACGAGCTGACTTTTACCATGATTTTAAGCGATTTTAGTGGGAATTTTTACAATTTTGGGGGGGTATATACTAGGGATATAAATTGATATATCTCAATCAATATATATATATATATATATTATATTTATTTATTTATTTATTTATTTATATATATATATATATTTACATACCCAATGTGGATATGTTGGGATATGAATCGGGATATTGATCGGGATGTTGACCAACAATGGGATTATGATTGGACAATCGTGGAATGAAAGTGGATCATTTGGCATTTAGCCAACAAAAGATGGGGGTGACCAGCAAAAACACTGGTGATGATCGTCATGTGAGGGTTCCTAAGTCATGCGGGACATCGAGGTATCATCCAAGTTATTGGCAAAGTTGAATTGGGAAACCAGTGGTGAACTGGAGTCCCCTAATTTTAGGATACCCTCATGTAGAGAGACAGATAAAAAAAGGAACCAACGAAAAACAAATAATAGTAAATAGGTGGATGGACAGATAAATTGACAAATAATTGAATCGCTCAACAAATACGTTTGAGGATACAATAGATGAGACCTGACCTATACTTCAAGGACCCCAAATCAGCTCAGTTCCAGGCTCTCAGTTGAAGGCTCCTGTGTCCATTGGGATCCCCATCAGCGCAGCGAAACACAGATGGCCCAAATCCGTGGCTAGCCTACAGACATTGGGTCCCAAAGCAATTGCAAACCCCACCAAGATGTTTGTTGGATGAGATCAAAAAATAGTTGCGGCCAAATTTTGTTCAACAGATTTCAACTATTTATCCTCTGGTATCAGAAAAACCGTCTGGTTCTTATGAAAAACCTTCCATTTCTGTTGGATTTGGCACCAGTCCATCTCGTGGACGCCCGGAGGCCCTCGCTATCTCGCACCTGCGATTGAAGGTAGCCACCCAGCGCAAAGGACTTCAGTGCTTCGAGGCTCCTGGGCGCAGTCATGACTTTTTGGGGTTCTAATTTTGAGGGTCCCCTCCAAAATCCAAAATTAAACCATTTATGACTCTTTTATATTATATAGTTCTTAAAACCAATGCTTTTGGGGATCCCCCTTTTTAAGAAACCCCCATTCGGATATCGCCAGTTCACAATTCACTGCAAAATCATGGACTACCATGGAAAAGTCAAACCAAAAAAAAAGAATGATGAATTTCAACTGGACGATTGACAAGGTCGAGCAAACAAGGAACAAGCACACTATGCGGTAATGGGTAGGGGGATATATATATATATACATATATATATATACAACCTAATGGACAAAGTATTCACGTCATATGGACGAAGCATTCACGTCAGGCCTACTGGTTGGTTTGTAGGTATCCCCATGATTGGTTATCATCGTCACCAATAAAATAGGTAGTATAACCTCCTATTATCATCAATCAACAATGGCATCTTTAATGCTTCATATGTGCCATGGTCATCCCACCACTAGGAATCCTTAGTCACTGTTGTTCCCATCTTAAATGGTGGTGGTATGACCATCCCCCAGTATGGATGTATCCTCCAACGTTAGAAAAAGTTAGTGATGATGTGATGTATCTCCTTCCCGATGAATGTGGGGGCTTCATGGGTTTCCTAAAATAGGGCTACCCCCAGTTCTCATCCATTTTTGATCATTGTTAGATGGGGATGTTCCATGAAAAATCCAAAAATCATCCCCTCACAAAATCACCATGGCACCCACCATGGCACCCCCTAAATGTCGCATCCTTCCACCGCGAAAATCGTATCGCTTTCCACCCGCCACCAGAACTAAGGTGGGATAACCTGGGAGACATGGATACCCCCTGGTAACATAGCTATGGAATTTAATGGCTTTTTTCATGAGATATCGATGATTTAATCTGAGATAATGGGAATATAGTGGGATATAACTGATATAACCATGAAAACTACCATAGCTATTGAAAATCACCTTTTAAAATAGCAAATCAACTATAAATGAGCCATTTTCCATAGCTATGTTAGTCTGTTAGTTTACCAGAGGGTAATAGTGGTTATCATATTGGGGTTGTATATCGATCGACAATGGGATTGTTATGGCCATATGGATGGGAATCTATTATATAGTCCCTATACTGTAATATAACCCTGGGGTCAACAATGGGAATATCATGGGGATACAATATGTACGTGTATATATATATATATATAACCAGAAACATTGGACGAATGGTTTTTGGTCATGCAAAAAATAATGGAAATCCAAACAATCCAATCATAATGGGTGTATACATCCAGTTCACTCAATGGATTAATGACCATCCCCCAATATGGATATGTCCCACTCTTGACCATGGCCATGGCGCATGTGTACATGCAATCCAGTATGCTTATGGATGAGATCTAGATACTGATGATCCCAACCCCAACCATTGATGATACACTTCCTGGAATAGACTAGACTACATAATAGAATAATTTATAAAGATTGGGTGGAACATGAAAGTGCAGCATCTCTAAGTAAAAAGTCCTGTGTGGACCCATTTGATGCAAAATCTGAAACCCCAAAAACCGCAGGGTTTTGATCACATTCCCCATTGAATCATTGATGATTTTGGGGTGTCCCAAAACCAGGATCACCTTTTGAGCCCAAGCCCGACGCCTGTCACATCCCATTCATCAGCCAGGCTCTCCTGGAAATAGTTTACTGTAGGTGTTTCTTCGGATCAGTCCGAAGAAACATAGTATATGACCTGAAAAAATATAGAAAGGTACTGTGTGTATTTGGGTGTGTCTGAAAATAGTGTAGCCCTAAACCCAATGGTTAATGATCATTATCCCTATTAAATGTCTATAATTGGGAATATACACTATATTCAGACAAACCCATTTATTGATCACTATTTGAATCAGTCTTTTATGTTTCTATCTTTTTGGGGGTTGCTATAGACTAATATTCACTAGTATCGCTTGAAAACAAAAACTTGTGAACATAACCATGACATGGGTGCGATGAGTACTGTATGGTGTCAAAAGTTGGCACTTCAAATCTCCGCTTCTCTACATTGAGAACCCTCAAAACATGGCATCCACAAGATGGAGAAGATGACCGTTTAGATATGTCAAAATAGATGTTGCATATTGTTGCATTAAATTAGCCAGGGCAATCTCAGAGAACATGTGAAATATATGTATCATATATATATATGTACTGTATATGAATATATGTCACATGAAATGGCCAGATAAAATTTCAAAGTCTGTCAAAGAGTTGTGCGCCATGACCGCCATGATCAATGTCAGAAAATATGTCAGATGTGAGTAACTATGTCAGAAAAACTAGTTCTGTAGAATCTAGGTCAGTCTACGTGTCAGACTATCGGTCACAGTGCATGTCAGGATAAATACCAGAGTCATGTCAGGAATTTCACGGCGCAACATACTGTCCACTGCCAGCCGGTCGACCTCGTAGGTGGCATCCACTTTGGCCACCGCGACCTTACCTGGATCCAAATGGATCCAACCATGATCTGTGGAGGGAGCGAGCACTACAAGGTCTGGCATCGCTACAGAAGGCGAGGAGAAGCAAAGGAGAAGAGGAGAGGAGTGGAGAGGAGTGAAGTTTTTGCCATCCAAATCTAGGGTGTTGTTCCGAGCTTTGCTGCAAATCTCAATTAGATCAATTCTTTGAAACATATCGAGTTCGACATGCTGATCTTGGCTGCATACCCCGAGGTTTTGATTTGGCTTGAATGCTGCAATCCCCTGTCCCTGGCTCCTAAATTGTGATGGCATACGCGGCATATGCGGCACATGCATCTGTGGCCGATGAATCCATCGGCTATCGAAATTGCTCAAAGTTTACCGCAGGAACCAATTGAAAATGTATTCCACAGCTTGACAAACCACAATAAATCCATATAAATCCCATACTAGATTCACTAGATGTTGTGCAAATCCATCCACGTCATGATAGTTTCCCCTCAATCTCAGCACTAGTCTCCCATCTATCCTCTGGCAATCAAACATGGCCATGGAAATCCCCACCCATCTCTAGATGATTTTCCCATTCAAACCTCCATTTCGTTCGTGGTTTTTCCATTGCCATGTTTGATGACACCTAAGGGTAACCATACAGTGTCATCACACTAGTAAATCAGGATATCACATATTTCTTGTTATAACTTCTTATATTTATATCCCCATGAATATCCCATGAAATCCCTATTGACCACCATATCTAGACCTTCAGCCAATGGCCTTCAAGCTGTTTCGCCAGCTGTTCCCACACTGACGCCAAACGCTTGCAGTGCCCGCAGTGTGGAGAGTAGAATTCCACCTGAGCCGCAGGGTCCCTGCGGGGTCCCTAGGGGCCGTACAGGCCTGGACAGGATCACAAAGTAGTCGCTTTGCAATATGGAAACCCATGGTGAAATGGGGTACCGCCCTTCGAATATGTTCTAAACGTTCTAAGAAACCCCCGAAGTTGTAGCAATTTGAAAATTGGCACCGATAGAAAGGGGGAGAGTCTCAACAGGGTCCCAAAACCTTGAACCTTTACCCATAGCCAAGTGGGTTTGTCTCAGCTTACCCCCAAAAAAACTTCCGTGGTTGCTCCCTGTTGATCAAGTACAGTTTAAAACTGCCCCCATTCAAAATTCAATTGTTCACCTTTGAAATGGCGTTTCATCATCTTTCCCCATTAAAACTGCCATGCACGCCAAAGTACGAACACCGTCCCAGACTGCCAGCTGCTTCGCTGGGTACCCTGACAAACCACGGCTGCTCCATGCCCTCACCTGGTTTCGTGGCGCAAACGATCCCCGCTCCACTTGATCCCCGGGTCAGTGCCCAAAAAAAAAAATACAGGAGGGTACCCCTAGATTCATAGGAATTCCAGTGCTTAAATATGCTTAAATCAACCATTTGTTAAGGCCATTTTTAGCTTGAAGCATTGAAACTCATTGAAATTCATCCGATTCCTGGCACGGCAGACGGGCGTCTCCATCCTGGCCGAGAGGCGAACGCTGGTGGAAAAGTTGCCTCGGTGGATCCCTTGTCCCAGGATCGTAGCCGCGGAAACGAACTGTGGCTTGGAAGGGTCACCCAGAAAGATCCAGAAAGCTTGAGACAGCAAAATCCCCAGCATACCTCCCAACCGCATCCCCATCCCCTGTCCCCTATACCCCTTTGCCGCCACAACACTTGCAGTCAGCACCTGCACTTCTCCAGTTGCTGCGGGTGTTGCCGCTCCAAGTGCCAGGGCACGAAACCTGAGACTGTTGAGCTGAAACCATGGCTGGGCGCGCCATTTCTAAATACGAGCAAGTTTGGGGGACCCCAAGTTCCACCCATACCCAAAGGTCCAAGGACAGGCAGCCACATACTTGCAGCAAGCCAAGTGAAGCTAAACTTCATAGTCAAAAGTGGCTGCGCTGCAAGCACTAGACCAATTTCCAGGTGTTGATTCTGTCCGTTACAGCCCCACTTCACTGATAGTCCCAGCTGCAATGGCCTAAGACCAGCTAGAAGTGTGCAAAAGGTTGAAAACAGTTCCAAGTAGTGTCCACAAATGATGGATCGCGAAATAAAATCTCACCTTCAACACGTCTGAAGTTTTGTGCATCTTCGACGAGACACAGCACATTGAGCCATAGGATCGACATGCAGGCCGTTCCAACCCCCCTTGCAGCTCCACAATGGCGCGTCTCTACTCCTGTCTTGACATAGTCTCTTAAAACTCTGAGCTCCAAACTCCAAACAAAACAAAGATTTGTCCAGATTGTTTGCAACGAGTAAGCTTTTTTCGGCTTTTGCTCAGTAAACGTTCTATCTAGTGAACTTCATCTTGCAACATGTTCCAAGGGAGTGGCTTTGTGACAGTTTGAAAAAACCTAGACAAGTTCGAACACATGTCTCTTTCCAAAAAAATGTGGACCCATCAGTCGGTCCAGTTTGATGATTAAGATGCTGCGGCATTAAACAGGTTTGACATGGTTTGACCTTTCCATGGCGTCTCCTTGAGCGATAGAGTTCACTTGCCGCTGAGCCTCCAACCCTGAAGGCCGGAAGCAACCGTCTCAACATTGGTGTCACTCCTTCAAGGCTTCTCTGCTTCCCTACAGAAGTGCCCCAGAACTGAGATGCATCATATTCGTCCTACACTTTCATGCTGATATCTGAAGATGGTTCTGTGGTCCCGGTCTGAAATTGATCCAATTGATCCATTGCCAGACCTTTCCCATTGGTTCATCCGAACTGGAGAATCTACAAACAATCACCTCGTTTTGGGGGTCATCACTCACATCACCTCTCAAGCATCCGCTTGATGAAGAAAGACCTGCCTGCTTCACAGGAGATGGATTCATCGTTCAAAGTCCGGCAAAAAAAGGTGGAAGCTTCAACAAGGTGTGGAGACACCCAGCCACCCAACGCTTTCCCCACCAAAAACTAGACCATCAACGGCAAGAGTTTGTGGAGAGTCCAACCAACTCCACAGACATGGACAGGTTTTCCACAGATGATCCCGCCATGGTTTGGTTGACCCTGGCAGTCCTGCATTAGCTCCAGAGGTATTAATGCCAGCCTTGCAACAGCTCTCGAACCGCCAAATCCAATTCTCAGCAAAGATACCTTGAGGTGATCTAAATGACATGGAAACACCATCTGAGCCCTTGTCAACGGTCATTGTCTTCTCCAAACTTTTGGGGGGAGCCCCTATTGCAAATCTGGTTTTGTATATTACTTATGAAGATAGAAACAAATCTGTGCAAGGAAAAGAAGAGGACTGGAAGAGGACATGGACAGGAAAAGGCAAAGGAAAAGAAGAGGAAAGAAAGAGGACATGAAAAGGAACGGAAGAGGAAAGGAAGATGAAAGTAAGAAGACTGGAAGAGGAAAGGAAGAGAGGAAAGGAAAAGAGGAAAGGACAAGAGGAAAGGAAAAGAGGAAAGGAAGAGAAGAAAGGAAGAGAAGAAGAGAGGAAAACGAAGAAGACAGGAAGGAAAAAGAAAAAGGAAACAACGGGGAGGAAAGAACGAAGCAGCGTCTCTGATTCCGGAAGAGGAAAGGAAAGAAGGAAAGGGTCTAGATTATCTGTGGTCTGGGGCCAGGGTTTACTTTTGAATACATAGCGCTAGGGATGTCGCTAATTTTTCCTTGTGCATGTAAGTAACTTGTCTAAAATAGTTTCAAATGTGGACAGTATAGAGATCGCTTTTTGGGGCCTATCGCTACACAATGTTTGGTGGACGTTCAAGACAAAAGAGAACCCTCCCTACATGAGTGGTCTACCAAAGTTTTGACCGTACGTATAAATTCAACAGACGATGATGAATTGCTTATATGGGGGTTCCTGAAATGGGGATACTGCAGATACCCCTAAATCCTCCATTTTTGTTTGGGATTTTCCATGAAATCCCCATGACTATGGAAACCACCATGACTATGGCCCGATATTTGCGCAGGTGCGCACCTGAGAGGAAGAGGCCGTGGGACATAAATCCCGTGCTCAGTTTGTGGGGATCCCTGCAGTACCAGTGAATAAAGGTTGGTAAGGACACGTGAGGACCCACTATGAAGTACTAAAGTAATTTCCATATATACATATATTATATATTATTATATTATGTATTGTGATCAAGAACACACGGGGTGAGATACATAGTTTCCTGGAAGAAATGGCGACCAATCATGCACAAACATCAAAGTTGAAACACAAATTTGACCTCTTCAGGTTTCAGGTCAATATTCAGGCCACATCCAAGACTAGGTTTCTTCACAAGACTTGCACATTTTCCATCCTGGCAACATATATATGGTTCGCGTCCAGCCCAAGGTTACTGCATGAATGATGTTGGTGAAGTCTCAACGGCGTTGTCTCCTGAAGCCAAAATCCTGCTGGCTGATTCAGCACAAGAACGCTTGCCACCAGGTTCCAATCTCAAAGAATTGGTTTGTCTGAGAATTGCACAGTATCCCACAATCCACTGGTTTATCAATCACCAATTTCCCAACTCGGATGGTCATTTGGGGGATATACACCATTTTCAGACACAGCCAATTGGCGGCAAGGATTGGTCAAGAAGTTGGCTGAGAAGTTGAAACCAAAAAACTATATGCTGACAAAGTAAGCAGATATACATCAAAAAAAATCGAGTGACCCCACCAACTGACACTCTACGGTATCTGGCATATTCTGACTTTATCTGACGTATAATCTGGCATTCCGTCTGACGCATACTCCAACATTCCAACTGACATATATTCGGGCCTTTTATCTAATATACTTCTGACATTCTATCTGACAGTTTACCTGGCATTCTATCTGACATTTATTTGATATCTATTTTGCATCCTATCTGACATATATTCTGACAAATATTCTGACATTCTATTTGGCATAGTATAATGAATATAATGTGGCATCATATCTGACATATGTTCTGACATGCTATCGGGCCTTCTATCTACAGTATATCACACCTTTTTTCTGGCATCATATCTAAATCTAACTTATCCTCTGGCAGTTTTACCTGACATTCTGACATTTTATCTGGCATGTATTCTGACATTCTAAGTCTCGCATTTAATCTGGCATAGTGTTCAGATCCGCCGGGGCGAGCATAGAGTTCGGGTCTGGCGTCCAGAGAGCTGGCCTCGCTCACCAATCAGAGTCGCGGTGATGACGTTGGCAATCTTGGCGACTTGGCAGGTGGAGAACAACAGTTGTTCTCATGGGATGAATGGTCTGCAGTCTGTGGGTTTTTGTGGACAAGTGGTCATTCTGACTGAAATCCTGATGTCGTTCAAGAGGTCGTTCAGAGGTCATTCTAAGGTCGTTTGGGAGCCGAGAAAACTGGCTAAATAATGACCCTTGAATACACAGAAATTTTACAATCTGAAAATCAGATCCTTGTCTGAATTCCCCGGAACGGGTAGGGTCCTCTGTGTTTCTAGTGGACATGCACTTCTACTTACTGCCTTGGGTGCGCCCAGGATACATTCCTTATAAATGGCCCTGTCTCCAAACATGCTTTGTGCACGTGCATTGGTGGCACAACACGGGGAAGAGCCTCGGGCTCGTAAAGACATGGTTCTAGAGGGAAACCACTCAGGCCGGGGTCTCGTCGCAGAGATCACAAAGATGGTGCCAGATGCAATTTGCCAGTTCCAAAAAATAATTTAGGGTGGTTCCGGGTGTAATTTGGCTGCCGATTTGTTCTAAATGCTTCTAGACCTGTAAATATATGTAAATATATACTTATATGATTTATATATATAATATATATATATTTAGGTGGTCGTTCCAATGTCGTTCTGGATGTCGTTCAGAGGGTCGTTCCCCAACTAAATGGTACATTCCAAAATTACCAAAAACATCAGAAATAGCTGCGGAGGTGCCTGGAATTCTGAACGAAGGATCGTACAATACTACTGTACATCAACCCCCCTTTTTTTTGACTCAACTGACCTTTGGCCCCATTAGGAGAGTAATGGGATGTGATAGCATTTTGGCCATCTGAAATCTTAGCAATCAGGGGACCAAAGGGGACCAAAGGACAAGGGCACCAGAGCACCACAAGACCAGGAAGTGTCGGATCCAGTATGTAACCATGGTTTTTGTTCCAAAATCATCCCCTCAAAGTGGCTGTTTTCGACTCTACCCAAGAAGTGAAGAGGCATTTTCGTCGCATCGACACACAACGTCAATCTCTGCGCTGGATGTTCGAGTGTGTAGCAAAACAAATGACTGTTCTCACAGTCTCGCTTGGAGACAAGACAGTCCGGTGAGACTTGGTGTCATTGGAGAAGATTTAGCCTGTGAAAGGAGAGCAGAATAAACATGAATAAATGAATAAGTCATAAACTAGCTATCCTCCGGTGATCAACCGTGGCTAGCTGGGAAATCTAAGCGGAGCTTGCATGGGACTTGTCCATCGCCATGGTTGATTACCGGGTAGCATCATTGCTGTCGTCAACGGCATGACTCTGCCTTTCACTGCACAAGAATCGCACCAAGTCACCAAGGGTGGTGCGAATATCAAAAAGTAACGCTTCACATCATCGTGACATGCCGCTAAGGCTGCGCTAAGGGGCCTCTGCGCCTTGGTGGATCGCCTCATTCTCTTGTTTGTTAATATGTTTCCGCGCTGTGTTGGTATCAAAGCCGTGTTGACCAGCAAGATGACCCTCGCTCTTGATGTCCATTTTGAAGGCAGGCATTGGGGCGCGTTGCTGTGGTTGGCTCCCAGAACATCCCATGGCAGAAACAGCTGCTGGCTACTCTGCACTTCGGCCGATCTCAAAGAAAACTGATGGAGCCAAACCTCACGCCTCAACACCAGCACGCAAGAAGATGCAAGAAAAGACTAAGGCATTTATCTTTTGAGGAAGCCAAGGCATTTAAAACAAAGTGCAAAGCGCTCTGAGGCATCATTTAAGAAAGAAGGGGCCGTTGATACCTATTGTAAACCTCGACGTGTGCCTGATTGTATGTCAAAATCCATTAATGATCGAAGGAAGTTTAGAAGTCAAACTTCCGACAATATGGAGAGATGAAAAGCAGAGCAGGGCAGAGGCACAGAGAAGAGGAAGATTAGAAGAGAGAAGATAAGAAGAGAAAGAGTAAGAGGACAGAAGATACAGATGCGCGAAAAGGTAGGAAAGTCGCGAAACACTGTGTTTTTCCAATGATTTGTGGCTCAGGAGGGTCGAAAAGTAGGCTCGCTAAAGCGGCGGGTGCGGAGCCAGCTGGACACAGGAGCGATGAAAAATTGCACGCCGTTGTGGCGCGAAGCACATTTCCAAGTCAAAATGTACAAAACACACCATTCTCGGACCACTTTTGGAAGTTGAGATGTCGAAAAAGTGCACGCCGTTGTGGCGCGAAGCACATTTCCAAGTCAAAATGTACAAAACACACCAGGTTCGGACCACTTTTGGAAGTTGAGATGTCGAAAAAGTGCACGCCGTTGTGGCGCGAAGCACATTTCCAAGTCAAAATGTACAAAACACACCATTCTCGGACCACTTTTGGAAGTTGAGATGTCGAAAAAGTGCACGCCGTTGTGGCGCGAAGCACATTTCCAAGTCAAAAGTGTTAAAAACTGATGGTCTCGGACCACTTTTGGAGGTTCAGATGTCGAAAAAGTGTCGAAAAAGTGCACGCCGTTGTGGCGCGAAGCACATTTCGAAGTCAAAAGTGTAAAAAACTGAGGGTTTTGAGGCTTTTTGACGTGAAGATGTCGAAAAAGTAGACACTGATTAACTGAACTAACTTGACTAACTTAACTAACTTCACTAACTCAACTACCCTAACCTCGACGACAACAGCAACAGCAACAGCAACAACAACAACAACAACAACAACAACACCAACACCAACCACAACAACAACAACTACAACAACAATAGATCGAGAGATGGAGAGATAGATAGATAGATAGATAGATAGATAGAGAAGATAGATAGATAGATAGATAGATAGATAGATAGATAGATAGATAGATAGATAGATAGATAGATAGATAGATAGATAGATAGATAGATAGATAGATAGATAGATAGATCGATAGATAGATAGATGAGATCGATAGATAGATAGATAGATAGATAGATAGATAGATAGATAGATAGATAGATATAGATAGATAGATAGATAGATAGATAGATAGATAGATAGATAGATAGATAGATAGATAGATAGATAGATAGATAGATAGATAGATAGATAGATAGATAGATAGATAGATAGATAGATAGATAGATAGATAGATAGGTATAAGATAGATAGATAGATAGATAGATAGATAGATAGATAGATAGATAGATAGATAGATAGATAGATAGATAGATAGATAGATAGGTAGATAGATAGATAGATAGATAGATAGGTAACTAGATAGGTAATTAGATGAAAAAGAGAGAGAGATAGAGAGATCGATAGATAGATAGATAGATAGATAGATAGATAGATAGATAGATAGATAGATAGATAGATAGATAGATAGATAGATAGATAGGTAGGATAAGTAGGTAGGTAGGTAGGTATAGGCAGAGAAAGAGAGAGAAAGAGTGAGAGAGATCAAGCACCTTTCAATCCATCAGTGGATTCGCTTTGCCATCCCTGATTCACAACAACCAACCTCTCCTATAGGTTTCCTATTTTTGAAACTTCCGCCACCGCCTTGTGCGGTACTACTGGTACGCCTATCAAGCTTATATGAAGTTTTTCTTGCTCGAAAATCATGACGCGCTGCATGCAACGAGCTCTTCCTGAAACAACGAAAAGGGTTGCAACTTGGCAACATGTCGTGCATAAGCCTATGCCAACCTTTTCTCATCGCCGGACGACGAGAATCTCAATCTTCATCAGAGAACTCGATGCCATCGTCCATTTTCTGCCTGGCATTCGCAACCTCCCAGACTTCCCTTGGAGCTGCATCTGTGGTCATTGAATGTCATTGATACAACTTATAACATCTTATAACCATGGATAGAACTACAAAAACCATGACGTCCCAGCCCGGGGACAGCCCGGGGTTCAACTCCACACCTCAACGTCACCTCAACGTCACCTCAACATCCAAGGTCCAAGGTCCCTTAAGGTCACCGAGCCGGAGAGGCCACATTCCTTCATTGGCGCTCTGCAATCTTCGGGACAAGGCCTCCTTTGGCGCGGCCAAGCCCCCTTGGGTGCAGGGCCTTCAGGGGGTCCCTTGATGAAATCATATATTGGTGTAGTCACACCTTCCAGGGGGGTCTGGTTGAACATGGTCATCCTACCACAATTGGGAAACCGCTATCGCTGGTTGCAGCACTTCCTGTCATCAGCCTGTCCTGAAAAGCAGAAATCCGACACTGATGGACATCAAGCCTCAGGAAAAGACAAGTCAGTAGTTAAACACAGACAGCAACAGAAAATAGCGCAATTGTGGATGACTTTCCTATTCCAAATTGTGCTTCGGCGGGATCTTTGGATATCTGACACCCTCAGGATCGTACGACTTGATGGTGGCCACATATCTCTCAGCAGTGGCATCCTTGAGAAGCCAGCTCCAAAATTGAAAAAGGCGGATGATTGCGTCTTTGATTGCCAGAGGGCAAGAGGACTCTTGGCAAAACAGCTACAGAAGGTCTTGGATCTATCGCGTCTATCTCCAGGCCAATTTTGCTTGTATACATCAAGTGCATGTTCATTCTTCATGCGTTATGTCGTGTTAATCCCAGCATTGATTATCCATATTCATGTCAGCATCATTCACTTTCTGACTACAACCTCTAAATATTCCGCAATTGGAAATTAACTGTGTATTTCTGTGGCCCACTTTTTGGAGGTGACACGTGCCGAAGGTCCCGAAGCTTTGGCTATTTTAATGTGCCTAACTAGTATCGTATATTCATACGGGAGATTCAAGATACATAGTATGTTTGAAAATAGGCTTCTGAACATATCTTATGGCTTATCATCAAAAATTCCCCATTGAAATCCTGATTATACCCCATCCCATAAGTTGTAGGGAAAATGTGGGATAAACATCCCCTATGGCTATATCCCATAGGCATCCCATATGCCCTCACCACCCTGCCTGTAAAGCCTGGCGGAGCCGTGGCTCTGGAGCCGACTCAAAGCGGATCAGCATATTGGCCTCCGAGAAAAATCGAGAAATTTCGCACTGTCCCAGGGGAAAATCCTGGGGATTTGATCATGGGTTTTACCTTCTGGTAAACTAACATAACTATGGAAAATCACCATTTTTAATGGGAAAACTCACTGTAAATGGCCATTTTCAATAGCTATGTTAAATTACCAGAGGGTACCACATGTACAAACCCAGAATTGCTAGATGTCTGATCCCAAAAGGAAAGGTGTTCGATTTCTGGATGTCCTGCTATTTTCGTGATTGAAGGGCCAAGTACACCTCATGAATGTTCAGATTGGCTCGTAGATTTTCCCGATGGCATCAAATCAGTGGATTTCACCCAGCAAGTCTACTTGTGGATTTCATCCAACAACTGGCCGAGTAGGTTTTGGTAGAAAAAAGACCCAATGTCTGAATATCCAATGCTATCCATACCTGAAAGCCTCCCAAAACAAAAAAAAACACCTCTTGGGGGTTGCCACTTGTTCCAGACCTGCTACCACGACTGCTGGGTCGCCATGTTCCAGCCGTGCCTCGGGGTTGTTTGCAGCGCTCATGATTTCGGCCTGGCAGTCGACCAAAGTGGGAGGGCTATGGCTTGATCCCAAAATGTCTGAAATTTTGACGTGTCCCGACTGCGAAAAAACAAAAACTTCATCCATGAGACACAATCTACCTTGGGTCACTGAAAATGTGTCACTGTCACCCACCAATTCTGAGCCTCAAAGGTGTCAAAGAAAGCTAAGAAGAATTGAAACCTTGGAAGTCAGTGCTTGAAATGATAAGCATTGCGGCGTTTCGTTCTCCTGAGGCCTAAACAAAAAGCTGTTGCCATGTTGAAAGAACTGGTCCTGGCAGTGACGTAAGCAAACTGCCCGGCCCAAACGACCACAGCAGACCACCATTTTGAAGTATGGAAGTGTTACCATCCTTGGTGAAGCAACCAGTTGGTTCCAGTTCAAACGTGTCGCTGTGGCTAAGAAGTCGAAGAGGAGGCCGTATGGCAAATGATGGATGCAAAGCCTGAAAAAAGATCTCCATGTTTTCCCATCGTTGATCAGCAGTTTCCCATCAAAAATATTCATCTGTGCAGCTGTCAAAACTCCTTGTTCATGAAAAGGACATCAACAAAATTTGGTCGCTAACCACAGTTTCGTAGCAATTTTACCATCATTGCGCAATATTGATTTACAAGGGGTATCGCTAAGGCTGGGGGTAGATATGATATTATAGTATTTGGGGATGACCTCCAACTTTTTAACAAGCCAAAAGTTCCATTATCATCATTGTACATCCACCAAAACGTTGTTTTTGATAGAAAAAAAACATTGTTCGTCATTTTTGATGATAAAGACCACTAGTACCAACCTATCCCATGGTAAATTCCAGACTGGGAGCAGCACCCCGCGAACCACTTCTGCACGAAGGTCTCGGGTAGCAGCCCAAGTTCCTCAACCCATTGGTGGTTAAGTTGGCAAGTTTCAACCCGACAGTTGAGATCATCATCCGACTTAATGGATCATCCATGAACAATGCGGATCTAACACAGCTATGGAAGATGGCCCTCGAAAATAGATGGTTTACCTTTGATTTCTATGGTGGTTTCTGGGTTTGAACATGGTGAATTCCTTTGAACCCACCAACACGTTGACCACGGCCCCTCCAGGATCACAAGGGACCGACCCACAAGGGACCTAGGTCTTGATTCCCCTAGTGAATTGGGATCCCCAATATAGGGGTTAGATGTGGTTAGTACAATCCCCCACAATCATCAATGTACCACTCAGGATTCATGAATAATCAACAGGCCGCCAGTCCTTCAGCTTCGCCCGCATGTGTGGCTTCAACAAGCCCTCACAAACGTAGCCATCCACTGCGCAAGCAGTTGCCTAACAGGTCAGAACGAGAAGCAAAGTGCAGTCGCCGGTTAGTTACATTTACCATTGGATCATCACAGATACAGTAACAATTATCATTGATTATCATTCATTGACTATCATTGATTCTCATTGATTATCATCGATTCATTGATTCTCATGGATTGTCAATGAGTCAATGATGATCATTGATTCTAATTGATTATCATCGATTGATTGATTCTCATGGATTGTCAATGATGATCATTGATTCTAATTGATTATCAATGATTGTCATGGATTGTCACATCTGACTTGGAACATTGACAATCATCTTGATTCTAATTGATTATCAATGATTGTCTAATGATTACTATCCTTGGAACATTTATCACATCTGACTCTAGCCACATCAACACTTGGAACTTTTAAAATCAACGCTGATGAAATCTCGCTCACCTCGCCGCGCCAGTAGCCGGGCAAGTACTTGGGGCTGTCGTTCAAGACAGTCAAAACCTGGAGAAACCCATGGTGAGGAGATGATGGATATTTAATGGTCACCAACACAGGGAAGATTTGATGAGGAGAAACTGGTTATAGATACTAGATGGAAATTAGAGGAGATTTTTTTGGTTTTATCTAGAGATAAGAACCACTCGTAAGCATTATACAATAACCGTTCTAACTCTGATATGATGGTTGATATGATGATAGGAAGTTAATGGACTGGCCTTGAGTTTCCAGTTAGTTTTAGTGTGGCGGGTTATTTCAAGAAGTTCATGTCTTGGATTTGAAATGGGGCTAGCAAAAATAAGGATATACAAACACCAAAATGTGCGGGTAGGTAAACAGCGAGAATGGCGAGAGGGCCTCAAGAACCAGGCCAAACCCAGCCACCATATTAGTTCAAGGGACAAAATCAACGGATGGGCCAAAAATGAACCATTGTTGGGAGATCATCCTGGAATGTCAGCTGTTCCCAATCATGGAATGTGAGAATCCAGTTTGAAAAGGGTGTTGCCCCATTTTGGGGTTTACAAATCATGAACAATGAAGATGCACCACTTGCGATACCATGATTTTCGACTGCCCAGGCCATGTCTCGTGATTCCCCCTCACAACTGTTTGACTTGCGAAAGGTTTCACCCGAATTTTCGAAAAATCGGAAAATTGTTGATTTTTTGCGTTTTCTTTTCGAAAAGTCTTGCGATTTTCGCGCTGTGCGATTACCGGCCGGAGGAGCGCTTAGCCACTATCAGACACACCCATCTGTACAGTCCAACCAGCACCTTGAAGCACGTCGCTGGATCAAAGAACAACAGCAGTAGCCCGGCCACGTACCTCCCGCGCGTTCAACGGGCTGCAAACGTGGACTGCCTGGGTACACCAGGAGATGCCCCAGTTTGTTAGCTAAGTTGGTTGAACTAAGTCGGTGAACTAGAATTTATGATAGATATACTACAGATTTACATGTACATATATATATATATGTGTGTATACATATATATATATATGTGTGTGTATACATGTATACATGTATATATATATATATGTATGTATGTATGTATGCATGCATGTATGTACGTACGTACGTATGTATGCATGTATGTCTGTATGTGTGTGTGTATATATATATATTATGTGTACTGTATAATCCTCCTTGGAGTTCAGTGTGTAACCTGGGTACCACCATTTTATAGTGATAAAATGGTTTGGGGGGGTGGCCCTTTATAAAATGGGGGTGCCCAGGTAATTAGGGGGGTCTGCGCTGTCTATAAAATGGGGGTACCCAGGTTACTCACTTAACTGTCTGATGCGGCTGCCTGGGTCCATTTTGACCTTCTATAAAATGAGGATCAGGGTCCCAGGTGTGAAGTGCTGGGGCCAAACTCCGGTCACAAAAGAGAGTTGTTGATTTGGAATTTCTATTTTATAGAGGTGATCAAAGGTGAGAAATCACCAAGTCCCGGGTGAAACCGAGCAACCCAATCCAACGCATTGAATATTTTGAAGATTGTTCGTATATATTGTTGTAAAAATGATAATTGCTTTACTTCGTGTGATCCCCACCATGACATTTATACATTTTCTTACTGGCAAATCTTCTGGCATTCTACCTGACATATCTTCTGACATTCTATTTGGCATTCTATCTGGCATATCTTCTGGCATATGTTCTGGCATATCTTCTGGCATTCTATCTGACATATCTACTGGCATTCTATCTGGCATTCTGTCTGACATATCTTCTGGCATATATTCTGACATATCTTATGGCATTCTATCTGGCATTCTATCTGGCATATCTTTTGGCATATCTTCGGGCATATCTTCTGGCATATCTATCTGGCATATCTTCTGGCATATTTTCTGGCATTCTATCTGGCAAATCTTCTGGCATTCTATCTGGCATATCTTCTGGCATATAGTCTGGCAAATCCTCTGGGATTCTATCTGGCATATTTTGTGGCATTCTATCTGACATTTTATCTGGCATTCTATTTGGCATACCTTCTGGCATTCTATCTGGCATATCTTCTGGCATTGATTCTATCTGGTATATCTTCTGGCATTCTATCTGGCATATCTGCTGGCATTCTATCTGGCATATCTCATGGCATTTTATCTGGCATATCTTCTGACATTCTATCTGGCATATCTTCTGACATTCTTTCTGGCATATCTTCTGACATTCTGTCTGGCATATCTTCTGACATTCTTTCTGACATTCTTTCTGGCATTCTACCTGGCATATCTTCTGACATTCTATCTGACATCTTTTCTGACATTCTTCCCGTTGAGGTCCGGCAGTGCCCACTGCGATCTGGAAGTCGCGGTTGAGGTCCGGCAGTGGCCACTGGGATCTGGAGCTCGCGGTTGAGGTCCGGCAGTGCCCACTGCGATCTGGAAGTCGCGGTTGAGGTCCGGCAGTGCCCACTGCGATCTGGAAGTCGCGGTTGAGGTCCGGCAGTGCCCACTGTGATCTGCAACTCGCGGTTGAGGTCCGGCAGTGCCCACTGGGATCTGGAGCTCGCGGTGGAGGTCCGGCTGTGCCCACTGGGATCTGGACTGCGAGGAGGAGGCGGCGGGTGAGGAGGCGGAGGAGGCGGAGGAGGAGGCGGAGGCGGAGGAGGAGAACAGCTCTGATAAAATCTAACAACCCTCACCTGGCAGGTGGGGAAAAAAC